TTTTGTGCAGTCGTACTAACGACCGTACCACAAGTGAGGCCATTGCACTCACTCGTAGTACATCCACACGCTTGTGGACGCTCCAAAACGTTCATCAGATGGCCATCTGATGAACAAGCGGCAGGCATCGTTACTGTTCGATGTTGCCAGTTTACCCGTGGTTCGTACCTTCTGAGCCACGGTATTCCAAGGATGACATCAAATTTGTCATCCAAATCCAATACGATAAAGTCATCGTCATATTGGGTATCTTCTAGCGTATAGTGGATCTTCACTATACGCTTCATGACGGTTACGGATGCGCCTGTCGCAAGACGTACCGTCATCCTCGTAGGAGGTGTGTCACATTCACTGAATTTAAAGTGACCATCTTCTAGCGATTGGCGTCGTACAAAATTGTTGGACGCCCCACAATCGACTAGAGCTCGAAGGGACAACTTATTCGTCACTTCGAGTTTCAAGGTAATGAGTGAGACCTCATTACCTATAGCAGCAACGCACAACGTTTGTGTGTTGGGAGCAACCTTCATCAAGAGGTCTACAAATTCTCTTGACGTTGCTAGACCAGTAGGGTGCTCCGCACCTACTTATCCTGTCCGTTTTTTGACGGTCCATCCCGTTGTTGCGTCTTTGCACCAACTGCGGACCCTCGTCCCTGCCCCTTTCTCATGGGTGGACGGTCACTACGCCCAGTGTCGCGAGACACTGGACGAGGGGCACTACACTCGTAAGCGTAGTGTCCTGTCTTTTGACATCTGTTGCATCTCTGCAACTTCTTGTAGCCTGTAGAGCGAGCCTTCTCGCTCTCTACATAACAGAGTTCCATCGGCTCTGGACCTCCGTTGTCATATCGTCTCGGTTGACGATATGATGTCGAGCTGGCGCGAGCCTGTCTCAGACTGAAGTCTTCCTGCTCCGCAATGGAAATGGCTTGTTCTAGTGAATCTAGTTCAAGCCGGAACAGGTGAGTCTTGACGGGACCATCCGCAAGACCCTGCATGAACACCAAAACCAACGTGTGGTCATCCACCGGATTGGAACTTATACAACTCGTGAGATGTCGTATATGTTGGGCGTAAGCGTGCACATCACGCTTACCCTGCTTGAGCTTCAAGAGTTCGGTTCGAGCCCTGAACTCAGCTCTAGGCGGTTCAAACGTTTGTCTGAGCCGCGACTTGAAGACTTCCAACGACCCAAACGCATATGGGTCGTGCAACTTGAGCCCCAGTGCCCAAGTCTTGGCACGTCCTGCCAGATTTGACTGGGAAAATGCAACTTGCATATCCCCGTCGTCGATGCGACGCGCCCTTATGGCGTCATCCAATTCGACGAACCATCTCGAGAGGGAGTCTTCTTCGACCCCCCTATACTTTGAGATGTCAATCTTCAAAGTCTCGGGTCGACGCGAGTGCATCGACCCGCCAGCAGCAGCCTGCTGCTGTCTCAACAGTTCAAACTGTTGAGCACCCTGTTCTCTCAACAACTCTGCTTGTTGAGAACCTTGTTGGTGAAGCAAGGCTACTTTCTCGCGTTCAGCGTCAAGTTCATTTTGAATGAACTTGGCGATAGTAGCATGTTGGGCATCTCTTTTGAGAGCCTCTAGCATGACGCTAACAGCATGGATGCCCATGGTCGAACCCATTCGTTCAACCGCATCCCATTCGACATCGCTCAAATGGGAGTAGCCGTCACGCGTAGCGTGAAAGCTTTGGTCATCTTCATCATCCAACATATTCATGTTAGATGTGAACGTGGTCCTTGGACGGACTACGAAGTGCTACCAGGTGTAACGGGGCACCCTGAAGCTTGTACTGGTGACAGTACAAGCTACTTATTCTGATGACAGAATAAGGCGGTGCCTCGTAACTTCACGTACACTGGTACGTGCAGAGGAAGACGGTAAGAAGAAGCGAGTACTTGGTTAGAGTAAAAAGTAGAACTGTATTTATAATAGTTAATGTCTGCAATAAATCACTATTTATCTTCATCTAACTATGTCTAAATACAAATGTGTAAATCAGTTATCTGCTCATCACTCATTGCGTGCGTCTGTCGTGGCGCGTCTTCGTTGGTTGATATAATGGCCTATATCAACCAATTAGGAACTACTCGTAAGTGCTACAGAATATTTGTCCTTATGACAATATTCTGAGAATATAACTCTTATAGTTATATTCTATTAACAATTTCTTATAAATTGTTATGTAACAGTTCACCCCGTTACAGCACCGCCTCACTTTTACAAACATACAAAACTGCGCGCGGTTGACAGAAGTAAAACTGTTTAAAGAACGGTCAGCAATCTGGCAGGAAGAAAGACTGGAGTTGTGTTTCGCTCATGGCGGGGCGTGTGCTGGGTTCACGCTGATCGCAGCAGGTAAAAAGCAACCTTGATTGATCGGCGGATATGCCCTGTACGCCACGAAGACAAAGCTCATGGCATGCCGAGAATCCAAGTTACAACCTATCAGCTAGCTGATCTTTGCAGGGTGTTGTACCCGCTAAAGTCACCACACGCGGTGCCCGCGATCATCAACAAGGGTGCCAAGCATATCAGCGTCAGAAGCCTCACCGTAACAGAATCGCATCACACATTCCTCAAAGAAATGTATCTGAACGTGTGATACATAAACGTGCTGAAAGAAGCGTGTGTCTTGCTGCTCAAAGGCTTCACTCTTCTACGTACTGCTGTGTTAGCATAAAGGTCCGGAAAGGGTAAGTCCTGGACATGGCAACGGTGGAACCGACCCAGATAGATCCGAATCCAAGCCAATGCGACTGGTTCATGGTTCTCAATATTGCAGTCTTGGTTCCGTTCCGATCTTCTTAATGTCCTCATTTTCCGAGAGATCTTTTAACAATTGTGGACCAGATGTTATTGGATGCCTCTCTGTGTCGTGGACATCTCCTTTGACTTGTCTAGATTTCAGAAGTAGTATGATTCCAATGCACAGTCATGGTAAGATTTCCAGTGGATCGTTTCCATCTATAGCCTGTTCGTATTATTTGCTATCGAGAAACGTGTTCGTATCGTCGATGACGGAAGTAGTTGGAAGCTATGCGTTTCGAAGACGTCCAGATAATCACATCGAAGCAAATCCGGACCGAGCACGTGACTCACTAAATAGTCGACTCAACGTGCACTCGCTATGAACTCTTCGGTATCCGACACAAAACTACTTGCAGCAGCATGTTACGAAAGCTTTCGTCGCTGAAGTGGGAAGTCTATCGGGCAATGATCCATTTCTTTTTCCGACCTCCTACGCGGAGCGTGACAATTTATCGCAAAGCGTCTGAATGCTCCCAGAAAAAAAGTCACCTTGTTCGACAACAGAGAATGAATGGTAGTACTTGGCAAAGCTGTCGGTCATGTATGGAACAGCAGCTTATTTGCCGCCCATTCTCTTCCTTTCGAAAGTTTTTGCTCCGAATCTGACTCCATCCAGCGCTGTTGTCAGATCTTGATTAGAAGTTGTTGGGGTTATGTGTTCGGACCTGTGTTCGCAAAAGCTCTTTGTACGGTCATCGATGATGCTTTAGATTTAACGTCCGCTGCTCTATGCATACCTGGTTCTTCGTGATGCCCTTACAAGGGATACAGATTCGTCGATTTTCGTGCGCAATTTAGTCTGATGCTGATCATTTCCATTCGTGAGTCCTGTCCATGGAAATGATCCACATCGGGCAAAAGTGCACTTAAAAAAACGGGTAGAATAATGCTTTTGAAGTCACTAGATATCCATGATAATAGCTTGGCTACAAATTGGCTTCGCAGCCGCTTAGTTCTGTAGCTACGTGCTGTTTCACATTTCTGTCAGCAACGATGTCGGTCTTCAGATTCTAAGATGTTGCAGCGTAAGCCACAAACGGTTCTGCACCCGGTCTACCTGTTCTGTAACCGTTTCTGTTTGCTTCAAATATTGCGCTAGCTAGTTTGACCAGTATCGACGATAAACGAATTGCCTATCGCGGCTCTAGGACCGTTAGCACCTCTAGCACGTCCTGGTCCTCATCGTATGTACATTCGATCGCAAAAACGTTAGACATCGTTTTCCTTGGCAAAGAAAGCCAGTGACTGCACTACACATGAGTACATCCACTAGTCGTCGGTGTGCGACTCAATGGATGACGAAAGAGATAGATGCAAACTTTTGAATTAACTTACTCAGTCAGTCACACAAACTCTATAAGAGCATTTAGACACGAACGATGGCAGCAAGAGGTGCACGACGAGCAACAGGAGATGAGTCGGCAAGCTCTGCTCCTTCGACGAAAGAAAAATCCGAGGCGCAAGCAACAACTTGAAGGTGATCGATGTGTTGGTGGTGATCTTAAGCAAGATTATGCATGCGAGTTCACAGTAATTGTCGAGTTCCGAACCCGCTTCAACATGTATGTAGAGACCACGATGTCGAAGCAAGTCGACTGCATGCGTCAACTAGGTACTACATCCAAGTGATTTCAAGATTTAGACGTATCTCATGCACACCCTGCGATCGTGAAACGTACTTGAGCTAGTGCTCATACTCTCAATCGATTACCAGACACAACGATTGCAGTCGCCCGACTTAGAGGGAGCAAGCAAACGTCCTTCTCAGCAGTCAACTTCCAATATTCATCCGTTTCCATAGCTGTAGCTAGCACACGTATCGTACTAACCGCATTTAAGACGCATGAACTTTGTAAAACTAAACTCGAAGTCTGGTTGATATGCATCATACCATCACGACGTTGCACTGGTAAGAGCCCGTATCACGCAAACCGTCGTATCGTAGGAATACTCGCTATGTCGTGTGCCCAAAAGAAGCAATCTGCCCAAAACTGTTTCACTAAGTAAACACCTTGCGACATCTGCTGCGTCTATTTTTAGCTGGCCATGGTGTTCTTCTTTAGTTTCTTACCTCAACTGACTTGCTTCTTAAGTATACAGCGCAATTATACTTTAGTGTGGTCCACCTGACCTTTGCCTCAATTACAATTACGACAGCACCGTCGCTTACATGTCGGCTGCTCGAGACGTCTCGCGCGAGGCATTCGCAGCGTTGCCAGTGTTTGAGCAGGATTTTGAAAATGCGGTAGAGATGCTCACGACTCAGGACCAGAAGGTGGCGCAATTTTCGCTTGAAAATGCGCAGCAGACGATGAGCCAGCGAGCGAAACGCGTCACGTACGAACAGCTTGATGCCGCATCGTTTTGCAGCGATAGAAGGAAGCGGCGACGCGTAGAAGCAATGGGTACAAATCGTAACAAGTCTGAAGGTGGTTTTGAGGTGGCAGATACTCAATTGAATGCTCTATGTGGAGATGCTGCACATCAAGTGGGTACAAATGACAGACAAGAGACACGAGACGACAGTTGTGGCTGTGAAGTACCGTCGGTGTCGGGTGAAGTAGTGCCTAAATCTCACACGATGTCGAGAGATGGATGTATAGAGCTGATTAGGGGGCGAGTCGGCCGATCCGAATTACGGATGGAAGGCGATGATAAGTATGAGCAGTTGTATCGTGCGGCGAAGTCAATGTGCAGTAAAATGACTGCTGCTGATACAGCGAAGACATTGAACGATTTGGATGCCGTGCCGAGTTTGTTCAGCACTGGGTCGGGAAAGACGGTGCTGGTGTCAAAGTCACGGCTGCGCGCATGTGAAGAGAAGCTGAACAGTGACGAGAAGTCGGCTTGCAATGACAAGACTGCTGTTGCTGCTACCACAACAGTGGACGTATCTGATGCCGTGCCGAGTTTGTTCAGCACTGGGTCGGGAAAGACGGTGCTGGTGTCAAAGTCACGGCTGCGCGCATGTGAAGAGAAGCTGAACAGTGACGAGAAGTCGGCTTGTAATGACAAGACTGCTGTTGCTGCTACCACAACAGTGGACGTATCTGATGCCGTGCCGAGTTTGTTCAGTACTGGGTCGGGAAAGACGGTGTTGGTGTCAAAGTCACGGCTGCGTGCATGTGAAGAGAAGCTGAATAGTGACGAGAAGTCAGCTTGCATTGACAAGGCTGCTGTTGCTGCTACCACCACAATGGACGAGTTGGATACCGTGCCGAGTTTGTTCAGCACTGGGTTGGGAAAGACGGTGCTGGTGTCGGAGTCGCAGCTGCGTGCGTGTGAAGGAAAGCTGTATGATCGGAACATTTGTATAGACTCGAGCTGTAACGCAAGCCGTGAAAGTGGCATCGGCTTATTTACCAAGGGTAGTAGATCGGGATGGAAAGAAATTGCAAATGGTGGGGATCAAGCTAGTGATCTGGATTTGCCATCAAATAACCAGCCGAGTATGCAGTGTGGAAGCTTGTCTGTCGGTGTCACATTGTCTGGAGCCGGACGCAATCGAGATGCATCTGCTGCATTATGTCGGTCACGTAAAACATTGCACGGTCGTGCTATACCGCACAGCCCCCGAAGTCAAGGACTTAACTACGGCGACAAAGAAAACATTCATCCCAAAGACGTGCCGGTTTCAAAGGCTGCTGCATCCAAACCTTGCAAGGGATGGCGGCCGACATTGAACAAGAACCAAGTGAGTGTAAGACCTGCCGCGAAGTATCGCCAATGCCTGAGGCAGCAGAAGATGGCCAAAAGACTTTTAATGCCTTTTGTTGAACTTCGGTCAGAAGCAGTTAGCAAAAACCGATTTCACCCTCCAGTTCCCAGCAAGAGGTCGAGCACTTGCAACGCAGAGAGCAGTGGTCGCCTTGCAGTTCCAAGGAGTGTAAAAGCGAAAAGGATCGCACTTGATGTGCAACCTTTCGTTTATCTGGAAGTTATGAAGATCTCACTCAGCTCATTGATGGCGTTGTACAAAGACTGTGTCCTTGCTGAAGCAGATTCGGATCGTTGTCGACGTCAGATACTAGACATCATCACGGCAGAAAATGCTGTCGATGTTCACTTTACAGGCAACAATGGCTTAGTCTGTTTCTCCGACAACAATGTCGATGACGGACAATCTATCGGGCCCCGTGAGCTTTATCGTCAACTCAGAGCGAGAAAGCATATTTCGAAGACGATGGGAGCGACGTTTGATTGGTTTCTCAATCATTATCGATGGGTCGTGTGGAAATTGGCTGCCACGGAACGGTCTTTTCCTCGCCTGTTGCTGGGAAAGTATTTGACAAAAGATCAAGTAATCAAACAGATCGCTTATCGGTACCAGCACGACGTGACCGATGCCAAACGCTCGATTTTGAAGAAGATTTTGAATCGAGATGCGAGCTCGCTAAGTTGTGTGGTTCTCTGCATTGCTGCAGTATTGCCATATCCAGCGGATCTGCAAAACGACCCTATTGATCAGGAATGTCCGGCCTGTTTTAATCTGGCCCTCGTTCTCACCGACGGATGGTATTCCGTATACGCTGTTCCTGACGCTCCTTTAGCAACAGTATTATGGAACTTGCATACGAAGTCAAGCATCATTGGAACAAAGATTGCGGCGTGGAACGCATTGTTGCAGAATTCTGTAGAGGGCATTGATCCGCTGGAGTGTGCTATTGTTTGCGAATCACAGTGGAAACATCCTTTGGTAGCAAGAGAGGATTTAACGCGATGGCCGTACTTGCGACTACGCTACAATAGTACGCGTCGTGTACGGTTTGACACGCGTCTGGGAGTGGAAAGGTTACACCACGCGGTCTCTTCAAACTCTATGCAATACAAGCAACAGCCACAACTTCAGTTTTCGTTGTTGAAAAGCGTCCCCCTCAAGTGCTTAGAAGTTGGTGGCGGGATGGTTCGATCAGTGCGAGTTCGGATGACCCGCATTTCGCCTGTTCTTCATCTCCAGGCGAAGGATTGGACGTTAGGACCACGAATACTCTGTGACGACCAGCTACCGCTTTACTTCCAGCTTCGGTCCGAGTATGCTCGGGCTGCTATGCTGAAAAAGCATAAACAAGATGGTGTGGACATCGTAGAAACGGAGTGGTTGGATCGTGATCAGGACAATGCTCCTCCACCCATTCCATTTATCAAGGTGGACGTGGAATGCACGCACACCTGTGCCAACTATCACCGTGGTTTGGGTTATGGTATCCTGACAATCTGGCGTCCTTCGGAGGAGTTATTGTGTGGTGGAATCAAAGAAGGTATTGAATATTTTGTCAGCAAGTTGAACGTGAGGTGGAAGCTCGATGGTGGGCGTAGTCATGATTCATATGTGCAACTAAGCTCAACTAGACATAGCACGTTCGAAAAAGTTTGCAACATGGTGTCGTCCTTAGGCGACGGAAAGAAGAGCAATGCTAAGCTGAGGTGGGGTGAACGTATTTGTGTCGACATCCAGCAAGCAACAGATCGGTACCGGTCAACTTTGGAAGATGGACTTAGTGGTTACGGAAACGACTGGAGGCCAAAAGTTGATGTTTGCGTTTACGTGGTGCTGGTCACAGCTCCAGTAACACAGGACGATTCAACTGCGGCAGCGAAGAGGCACAAAGAAGCTTCACTGCTCGATCCCGCCATTAAGCCTGTGGAATCGCGGTATGTCAACCACGTGTTTGTTACTGACCAGAGTTGTCGTTTGATGAGTATCCGGGTCACCGGTATGAACGTCAGTGTGCCGAAGCTACGACACAATAGTCCATCAAAGTGTGCATCATCTTCATCATTCGTCTTTCGTCGTGGGAATAAAGATGTTTGGAAGGAGGGCTCAATTATATGCTTGAGTGGTTTGGAGATTTCACACTACGACGAGCACCTAGATGTGTTGGACTGCATCTTGGTGGAGAGCACACAAATTGTGTCGTCTCCATCAGAGCGTTCCCTATTCTGGGAACGTTTTCGTCTCCTCCAGTGCGAATCAGGTATTCCGGCAAAGCATCTTTCCGCAGTGCAAGCTCTACCTTCTTTTGGCAGCTTTGCTGAAAAACTTGCGCTACTCAAGAAGCACGTGGAGCGCGAAATCTTGGGGATGGACCTTGCCCCGTCCCAGAGTTGCGATGAGCATTATGCTACATTAGCGGAACAAAACCGACATGGTCGAGATCGATGGCCCCACGAGGGAGGTGCTGACGCGACGGGAACGGCAAGAACTGACCAGGCGGTGAGCAAATCGAGTCAACTTTCGTGGAAAGCGAGTGTTTTCAAGATCACATTGCTGACTGGAACTAGTAAACTTATGTTCCCGAGCGGCGTGATAGCATCTGCATGCGTGAACATTGGGATCGATGACGTCGTATACCGAACCGTGTATCTTACTCGGAAAGTGTTGTTTTCGATGGAGGCATTGCTTTTACAAGCAGGGATGCTTTGTCGAGAAGTAGATGGCGATATCGATACCAAGCATGGAGACGCAGTCTTAGTGGATACCGTCACTAAGGTGCTACGTCAGCCCGATATGAATTACGTATTTCGATTTGAGGTGAGCCGAATAAAAAATGAGTGTCTGGCTGGTAGCTGGAAGCCGTGGGAGCATCTCCATGCATTATATTGGCTAGCAGAGACGGTCACCGCGTGTGAGCATCGCACCAGCGGCACTATTTGTACTGGTATTGCGTACTAATAACCATCAAACACGCCGCCGTAGAAAAATGCGGATGCCGCAGGGGACCAAGTGCTTATGCCGCATCCGGTATCAACATGATGTAATTCATGGTAATGGTCGTATAATGATGTGACCGATTTAGGGTTTGTTGATCGCTTGTTAACTCGGACAAGTAATTGCGAATGGTTGTAGCTGACCTGGCTTTTCATCCCTCTCGACAAGAGAGGTTGGAAGAAAGAAGTGGCTTGCCAAGAAGTAGCGCGAGAAGAGTCACTGGATGCAAAATGGATAATCGGCATACACATTATAGCAAGGAAGCTATTGCAGCTTCAAGGTGGAAGCTTCTAGGAGCAGTCTGGTACTAATACAGCAACATGACAATGGTGGCAATGAAGTCAACGAAGCACGGAGGCATCAGTGGTACAAAAAAGCATTCTGGTTTCGTGGCTGCAACAGCTCCATTATATCGTACCGGTCTCTACTTGGTGACTGCAGCGTTGCTTGAGCAATAAATGCATGTGATGCAACCCCGGATCTTGGAATGCAACTCAAGGCAAGTCATCAAATTGAATTTGTTGCTTCCTTTCAAAGGTTGTTGAAGTCTATCGCTAGACCATCGACATGCACGACACTTGCTTCCTTCGTGGATGCAGTTTGGCACGCTCGGACGCATCGGATAAGCTCAAGTTACCCTTCTTCACAACTTTGATGCGCAACGTCTCGCAATTGCCATTGACACAGGAAACAGCATTCTGGCATGGGAATCACTACCGGTTGCACAGTCTCGTATCAGAAGACAAGCGTTTGCCTGTTGTGGACGTGGCACCTTTTGCGGTTCTACACGAGGCTTGATAAGATCGTAAACTTGGTTGCCAGCGTGAAGGAGATTTCGAGGGAACCAACATTTCTAGTATCGAAAGTCGCTACAACCGTAGGAAAAGGGCTCTTTCTCACCTGATGGACATTGCAATTTGTGAATGCGAAACAGCAGCAACTACTGCAGGTGGAACACGGGTTCACACATGTCTTGAATTATAAATTCAAGATTCAAGGGGACATTTGGTTTACACAGGAGTCAGCCACGATACGTTGTCGCCACCGGCACTAATGTCTAGGCTTAAGACCTTTTTGACAACTTGCACACGATGAACTTGTAACTGGACGATCACGAGCTCCTCTTCCTCTTTGAAGACCGACCCCCCACGCAACCTGGCTTAAACAGCCAACAGCTGCAGTCCCTATTCAGCAGACTCATGTTTCGATGGTATCGTTACTACCACTGGGTTTGATATTGATACGCTTTCATACACGACGCAGCATACAAAGACTACAGAGAGTGCAGCGATCGACAAAACCCACGCAACAAGCTCCTCGGCAATCATCATTTAACGTCCGCTGAGTATACATTGCGCTCTTGCATGATGGAATTCGTGACGTCGATCTCACCGCCGTCATCTTCGCTTGCTGGAATCTCGCCGCGGCACACCTCGGCAAAATTGTGCGGACAGCCGCGGTCGAACGGATTGTAAAACTCATCCATAGGAGTTTTCAAATACGGATACTTGTCTTTGTTGAAATGCTCGTTCGTCGTCAAGTTGCGGCTGATATTGCGCAGCTGGATAGCCAACAACGTGGCCGTCGGAAGGCCAAAGACGATCGAACAGATGAGGAGGATGGCGTGGATGCTGTGCAGCACCAGGGTTGACGATCCCGCAGATGTATGATGATCTCCGGCTAACGCCCATTCCGGTGGCTGTAACCATCGCCACGGTAGCGATACACTGTTACCATAATCATCCGCGACGCTTGATGTGGGTGGGTGCAACGGAACGTTGCCTGATAAAATGCTCATAGATATTGCGCCAATTACGAAACAAAAGCTTGACAGCGTAGCGAGAAAAATCAGGAAGCTACGGTGGTTGCCAATCCCAACACAATTGTTGATCCATGGACAATGGTGATCGAAGCGATACACGCAGCGCCTGCAGGCTGAACAGTGTTTCGAGCGCTTGGGCTTGTACGTGACGCACGTCGGACACGGCACAGCAGTATCCTCTGTTGCCAACAGTTCGTAAGCTGGACGGTTGGAGCGCGGCACATACCCCGGGTCTTTGATGCAAACATATGTGTACGTAATGCAAGTAATCGCCAAAAGTGCCAGCATCGCTCCTTGGTACTGTGCTGTATGAGTCGGATTTTGTGGTGGCAAGCACGGTACCGCAAAAACCAACGACAGCGCCGCTGTTGTGCAAATCATCCCGAAGAAGAACAGCACCGATGCACCTCTGTGCGAAGCCCAGGCCACTAATCGATCCGACGCACCGGCTTTCAAGGCGCTCGCTGTATCGTAGTGTGCACCTTGTCGCGCGATATCCATCGCTGTTCTGCCGTGCTTGTCCCTAGCGTTAACTGGTGCTCCTTCGACGACAAGTTGCTTCGCAAGAAAAGCATCTCCTAAGGCACAGGCAATCATAAGCGGCGTCTGCTTCTCAGAGTCGCAAATTTTCTGGTTTGCCTTGTATCCCACGAGCAACATCGCTGTGTATTGGAAACCTTCAAAAACAGCCCAATGCAAAGCAGTAGCTCCTCGGCTATCCGTCTGATTAACATCTGCCCCCCGAGACACGAGCAGACTCACAAATGCTGCGTTACCCGTACTAGCCGCGTAATGCATCGCCGTCATCCCCGACGAATTCACAGCATCGACCGATGCTCCAGAGTCGATCAGCGTGGTTGCACATGCCACTGACGTACACAACATCAAAGCAGTTGCGCAATGCTTTGACTCTCCACAACGACTGTCCAGAAAATCTTGCAGCGTGCCACAAGTGCATTTCTCGTGTTCTTCCTGTTCCTGCGTCTCGGTACTCGCGTTGCTGATCGAATCTTCCTCCATCTGTTCCACTTCCAGCTCGTCTTCGTCCGACGCGCACTCGGGTGTACCATGTCCGTTCAGATGCAAATGAATGCGTCTCTTGCCATTGCTCATTGTCTGCTTGTCCAGCATCGCTTCAGCGTCTCTCGGGAAATACTTGGTAGCCACCGCCACCAAATAGGCCACCACGGTCGGGTGCTCATACAGCACAGCAAGATGCAGCGCGTTCATCTGATGTCGAGCTTCGTGCACTGTCAAGAGACGGAAGACGCTCGTAGCCACCCGTCGCTTCCGGACTTCAGCCAGCACTCGCTCTGCCCTCGTCTCTTCCTGTCTCGCCGCAGCTTGAACTGCTCGGCTCACCGCCATCTCCACAGCACTCTGAGCTTGGAAAAAGTCTCCTTTCACACAGGCTGACCCAAGGACCTTGGCAGGCGACGCAACGTAAGCGTACGGACTCGTGCCCGCGTCGTCCTCGTGGCCGCCTTGACACCTGTCGTGCTCATCATCATCATCACCACCACCACCACCATCGTCATCACCGTCTTCGTCGTGAGCAAAGAGCGAAGACCCGTTTCCGGCCCGCAATTGGTCGTGCTCGGGCTCGTCAATGACCGCAAACGGCGAAAACGCCGACGACGACGGGGACGCCGCTGCGTAACTGGGCGACACGAGCGGCGCACTCGGGTTCGGGGTAGCGCCTCCACTGCCACTGATCAGCGGCGTCCACTCGTTCGCTGTAGCGGCCGTCGGTGGCGGGTCTCGCATTGGCTCGGGGCTGGGGGACGCAGAGACGCAACGTCTCGAGTGGCGACGACGTGGGGATTCCCGACCACAGCCGTCGACTGATCGGTCGGTCGGTCGGTTGATCGGTTGATGGACGGATGGCTGGATGGCTTCCTTTGATTGGTCGATAAGATCCCGTCCTGATATCTCTCGCGTCGCGCTTGACCTCGTCAGAGTGACTGGCACGTCGATGTCACTCACACGAGGTCAATGCCCGATCTTTTCCCTCGACGTGATTGGAACAACATGGCTACATCGGACGCCCCGCCGCAGGTCTGGGACGCCTCGACGCAGACGTTCCACGGCGGACAGGACTGGCAGTTCCTCGACAACTTCACCGAGGACTTCAGCGTGACGACGAATGGGCTGGGCACGCCCGCGCCCGCGCTGGAAGCAGCGACAATGGCCATGCGCACCGTGCACCACTATCCCCCCGCTGATTTCCAGCCGGCGATCAGTCACTTGGCTGCGTTTCTGTGGCCCGAGACGTGGCGGCAGAACGCGTCGCTGCTACTCATGGGCAACGGAGCCAGCGAACTCATTGACCTCGTGATTCGCAGCGTCGCTCGTGGTGGCTGGCGGCCAGGGGGGACGCTAACGCAGTACAAAGAGTACGAGCGCTCGAGTCAAGCGGACGGGCGCGAGACGCTGGCTTGGAACGACCGGACGGCAGCGCTCACGTGTGTCGTGAACCCAACGAACCCGACGGGGGACTACATGGACGTGGAGGAGATGAAGCGCTACATTGCGACCAATTGTCCCGATAATCACACGATCATTGTGGACGAGAGCATGCAGCCGTGGGTCGGGCCCCACTGGCGGAATGACTCGCTCATGCACCAGCGCGAGTGGGTGAAGCAGCTCAGTGAAACCCGCAACATCCATGTGTGGGTCATGGTGAGCTGGACGAAGATCTGGTCCTGCACGGGGCTCCGGATCGGCAGCGTCGTGGCCCCCACGCCTGCACATGCAGCAGCGATCAAGGCCAAGCAAGTGCCGTGGTCTGTCAATTCCATGGCACTTGTGTTCGTGTCTGCTGTAGTCAAGGACGAAGCATACCTGCAAAAGACGTGGGAGGTCACGCCCAAGTGGCGTGCACACGCCATTGACGAGCTAACAAAGCGCTTCCCGTCATGGGAATGCTTTGGCAAACCTTTCTTGTCGTGGATCTGGCTGGATACCAAGTCCGTCGACACGTGTGAAGCAGCATGCAAACTTGCGAAGGACCACGGCGTGCCCATTCGTAGCGGAAAGCCTGGATACAATCTCCCCACTTTTGCACGCATAGCCGTCCGCAGTCCGGACCAAATGGCCGTGCTGCTCAAGGCGTGGGAGACGCTTCAGTGAGCTCCTCCTTGGTCGAGTGCACGCTCTCGAGCTTCCACGTTATCGATCGTTTTGCAAGTCACGAACAATGGGCGTCAACCTGCTCATCTAAGCAGCGAAACTCCCTTCTATTACAGAAAAAGGTTAGTCCCCCTTGGTCTTGTTTTGTTCCTAACGTCTCTCTTCAGTCTCGAACAGGCGACATGCGGTGCTCCAGTCTCTTGAATTTCCCCTCCCACCCTCGCACCACGTCCGTGTACTTGTCGATCAAGTCGTTCTTCTCGGCCAGCTCGGCCTCGAGGTTCAGAATCTCCAGCTCCAGCTCGCTTGGCTGCGGCAGTCCTCCTTCCTTCATTGCTTCGCACTGCGTGATGTCCGCTTTCACGTCACCTGGTGCTGAAGCCTGCGTGTCCCCACACGACAATTTACGCACTGAATCGATCAGAAACAGCTGCTCCAGCTGCTTCGCATGGAGGAAAAACTCCTCCAGTTGCGTTTCGAGCACCGCCGTATCGGCTGCGTCTCGGACGGGATTAAAGCGGCAGTGCGGCGGGTACTGGATGGGAGGACAGACAAGAGACAAGCAGCGAGCAAATGAGGCATTCATGTCCGACAACGCGGTCTCACCTGCAGAGAGAGGTGCTGCAGTAGCGGCATCTGTGCCGTTCCTCTCTTGCTGCATATCGCCGTCTTTCATTAGACCGTCGACGAAATTGTAAAGTACAAATTTTAGGATAGTGTGACAAAAGTTTACGACAAGATAGCTAAAAATAAAGTGGTCTCCCACCGTTTTACAAGCAGTGGACAATGTCCCGAATATTTGAGGAGAAGCAAATCGACGACATGGAAATGGAGAATTCAATACTTTGCGATTGAGAATGGTGTAAAGATAATGTAACGAGGCCACCCGACAGTTACCGCCATAAAGAGATAAACCTGGTATATGTGCTATTCAAGCCTGAGTTTGATCAGTGATAATTGCTGTGGTTGATAACCTCAGTCATCCAATGATGACAGGTTAGTGTGCATCCACCAATAATCGTTAGACTGAAGATTACGATGCAAATAGTTTAACCTTGGTATCAGGTTGATGAATGAGGTTTATTACCGGTAAATCTAAGAAATAAAAAGAGGGATTCTGAAAGGGGATTCATAAAATGCCCGGTCGTTTTTGATAAATGCCCGCATACAAAGGTTTACTTAGTATTCATCTATTCTGGATGTTTGCATCCCTCTTTCTACACAGGTCAGACATCAATACTGCACTTTTTTCGTTTTCTATACTCTATAACCCTACGTCTACCTTGCATGTACCCTTTTCAATACCCAAGTTACATGGCCGACACGAAGGAACACATTGCTTCCATTCCACAAGGGTTCCTCCACGAAATGGCATTGCAGCGAGTGACGGGCTCACCTTCGAGTTAAATGCCATAAAAGGAACTTACATCAGGCGTATATGAAAGTGTGGCAGCTGCCAAGGGCGTGGCATTCGCCTACGCGTGGCGGAATGGATTCGCATTGCGTATCGGTAGGCAGGACGATTATCGAGTGTGTATATGGGATGTGTAACGGGGTTGCACGTAAAAGGGTGATTTGCACCAGGTGTGTCACACACCTGATGGTTCCCCTGGGAAGGTGATATTGAATATCTTATCGGTTTGTAGGGCCTGACGAGTGTCATCCATTAGGTACGAAAGATCTTTGAGTAGGATTAAGATATTCTATAAGTTTTAACATTTAAAAAATCAGTTCCCATTTTGATTTAAAGGACACGTGGCTTGCGAGCCGTCTTGATAGTTGATCACTGATCACTGAGAGTAAGCAGCACCTCCTTGAGGTAGCTACTCTTAAGCACTGAGTGCTGTCGATTCACTGAATCGTTAGGTTACCTGGAACAGGGACCTGAAGCTGTAAAGCTTGTTGACTTGTAGAGTCGTTAGTTCTTTAGAACTAAGTTTCTCGTAGAGCGTTAAGTCTTCCTCTGAATTAAGGAGCTGTGTAATTCCGCTACAGAATTCGTAAAGGGGAGAAGACATCAATCAAAGCCTTCGACTATCACCAACAGGCAGAATAGAGGTCTTTTAGTGTTGACTGCCCAGACAAAATGACAATTTGGTCGAGTAGCGATTCTTATCAGTTGTAATCAACGTGCAGCTAGCATCGTGGATGTCCGCTCGCAAGCAAAGAAGAACAGACTGTACTGCCAGCATTAAGACGTAATAGTCGGAATCCAAGTGTGGTAGACAATATGAGGAGGTTATATAACTGTGTTGCAAAGCCAGTATTTATTCTTAGGTATATTTTGGGGTGCACGAGCAACGACGGCTTGCTAATAATCATAAATGATGTGAAAGAGCTGATACGTGATATGGAAATGCAAGATCTGGACGGAAAGCAGCCATTGAAGTGCTGTTTCATCGTCTACAAGATGAAGGCAGCATGAAGCAGCAAGACTTGACGTCAACAAACATGTCGCGCACCTCGTTTTCGTTCCATTGGTATCTGCGGACTTCACCCGATGTAATAGCGAAGCCCTCAAAATTAATAAAATTGCGCACAAAACTAATGCTGCAAAGATGCCGTTGATGCACACGGTGGGAGTTAATGGCACGAGGGCCACGTCTGCGTCGTCTTTCGCGTTTTTATCCAGATGGGGGTGATAGAATGTTGAAAACGCATTCACAAAATGACCGGGCATTAAAAGAGACCCTTTCATAAATGCTCGATCGTTTCTGTTCATGATGAAAACTTTGTGTATGATCAAGCGTCATCGCGATGAAGCTTGATCGTAATCGTTTTGACGACACAGAAACTGAAACTTTAGAATTTGTTCCGATGAAGAAAGAAACGACTAAGGTGAGACCGTCGTAGTGAATTTAGAAATGAGTAGCTGAATGCAAGTGCGAGTGCTATCAAGACTTCTTTACTTTCCGATTTGCGTTCTGACTACTCGTTGTCCCTATGCTGTAATACCTCCATAGGTTATGGGCTTACACGCGGTGGGAGCGAACGATGTTTTAGCGTAGATAAATACTTTGCATGGGATTTTAGACGCGGATTGTAACGGGGTCACACTAGCCTTTGGCTGAATTGGTCAAAGACCTCCCATAAATGATATGGATGAATGTGTGTGACTCTAGATTTTATATCAGCAAGAGAATATCGATTGATCGATATTTCCAGGTTTACGGTACTTACCGTATACGTACTTTGTACCGTCATCATTTGATGACTGAGTGATGTGGCAACCATCCATTTAGATCGAATACTAATATTTGTATTTAGGATAATTTAGGGTACATAAAGTAGGATTTTTTTCTTGATATAAAATCTAAACAAAGTTCAGTTCTCATTTTGAGCAGAAGTCCCTAGATCCCCCCCTTTCGCACCTTGCATTTGACAGCTCTTTATAATTGTCGTGGGTTAGAGAGCCTTTAGACTCCGGTATTCCCCTGTTGCACATGGTGCGTGTAGTTCCTTAGAACTACAGTAGCTGAGCTGTTAGCTCATGAGTCCACCCGAGTTCCGTAGAACTGGGTGACCCTTTAACCTGATATAATAGTTCCGTAGCACTAAAAAGCTGTCAGCCGTAAGCCGTTGGCTTGTTGAGTAAATCTTCATCTGACTTAAAGAGCTGTGTAGTTCCGCTACACGGATGAAGATCGCCAGGAAAGGGCTTTTGGAGCACATCAATGTAGTGACTCCTGTAACGGGGCACCCTGAAGCTTGTACTGGTGACAGTACAAGCTACTTATTCTGATGACAGAATAAGGCGGTGCCTCGGAACTTCACGTACACTCGTACGTGCAGAGAAAGACGGTAAGAAGAAGCGAGTGCTTAGTTTAAGTAAAAAGTAGAACTGTATTTATCATAGTTAATGTCTGCAATAAATCACTATTTACCTTCATCTAACTATGTCTAAATACAAATGTGTAAATCAACTACCTGCTCACCACTCATTGCATGCGTCTGTCGTGGCGCGTCTTTGTTGGTTGACATAATGGCATATATCAACCAATTAGGAACTACTCGTAAGTGCTACAGAATATTTGTCCTTATGACAATATTCTGAGAATATCTCTCTCATAGATATCTTCTATTAACAATTTCTTATAAATTGTTATGTAACGATTCACCCCGTTACATCACCCCCCCTTAACCATCAGTCACTTTAGTGACTGATTGACTAAATGGATACTCGTCCCAAATCATTTGGGACAGGGTTTGCACTTGTTGGTCCGAGTCCACTTCCCAACATCTCATCGCATGGTTAACAAGCCCATGCGATGCGCGAGCAAGGCCGCCGAGAGCGCGTCCGCACGTCTCTGTGCGGACGCCGAAGCAGAAACAACAGCAACTGATGTCTCATCGGTTGCTGGAGCGACCCAGCCTGTGTCACTTGGTGATGCAGGCGCTGGTCATGAAGACACTCGTGTCTTCACAGAGTACGAGCTCGGTGTCTCGTACTCTCCTGATACGGATGACGGATCCGTATCGACGGCGATTGAATCTAAGCCGCCTGCCAAGCGTGGCATGGACGATGCTTTGCGTCGCAGCATCTTTGGTTCATCTGATGAATCAGATGAACCATCGCCGAAGCGAAGGCGCTCGAGGTCGCGAGACTCGGGCGCTAACAGTGGTGTCGGTTCTCCTATGGACACCACTTCACAGCGAGTGCCAGTACTTCTGTCGGCACGTCGCAGGAAGAGCGGGACCGCAATGTGTTGCGTCTCGCTCCTGAGAAGAAGGCATGGATGCCTCTAAAATCCGTCATGGATCACTTGTCGGCGACGACGAGTGATCGTTATCGAACACGATTGTTCGATTCGTCAACGATCCATCACCTTGACCCCAGCGCGAAAAACTATCGCGCTGAACATGAAATTCTTCATCGATGCTTTCTTTAGACATCGATGGTACAGTGGGAATCACAAACGTGATGGTCCCTCACTACTTCAGGCGTGGAACGCCTACATCCATAACCTCGAGGATGTAGGTCTTGACGCTTGGAACGACAAACTTATCAAAGCTCGTGATAAGTTTGAAAAGCGAACCCCGACAGGTGCACGCTACAAGCTGCATCGTCTGTCAAGGGAGAAAGGATTACCCTGCCTCTCTTGGGGAGACTCGTGCCCATGTTGTGTGAACAACTCTGCACGAGCACCTAAGGAGGCTTACCTCCTTACCAGCCCGTGGTGGCGCGTACGTGTCTCTACTGAGATGTACGAAGGGATTGACAACCTGAAATCCCGTTACGACCGTGCCGGGAAGACTTTCTCCGGCGGTCCTTCTGCGGCACAGGATGTGCCGCGTCGTACTGCTCAACCAGACCCAGTACGTCGATCATCAGTTGGGAGCGGGGCTCCCAAGTATCGCAGGACGGGGGATAGCCGCGCCACCGGACGAGATAACTCGTCCGACGTCCGTTCACGTCGCGGTGGTTCAACAGCTGCTCAACTAGATAGCGCTGGCCACCTCGAGAGTCCTCTAATGGAGGTGGAGGAGGAGGAAAGACGCTCTCCACACGATCATGTGGATCGGTGTGTTCCCGAGAGCTTCTTTGATCGCGTAACGCAAGGGTTGCGCAACGATTTCGAACATAAGCGGGACAGGCGTCTCCAAATGGGGGACAATGTCTCGAAGCATCGAGCTGAGTTTGCCTTTGCTCAGCTTGAGAACGAGAGATCTCTGACATCTCTTCGTGACGAGCTAAGGGTAGCTCGTGGGATTGCTGATCGGTCTCGGGATGAGATAGCTGCTCTTCAGACCCTTGTTGATGCCCACCATCGGGAGCACAAGGCTCTCTGCGAGATGCTTGAGCGCAAGGGCGTTCTTCATCGGAAGAAGCAGCGTACTGATGGTACGGTTTAAGCCGACCAACGTAAAACGTGGGATGCGTTCGCATCTTACGTGGCAACTCGATCGTGTATGCATTGCCTAGGCGGTGCAATACACGAAATGGGCCGATGTACTTGGGTAGTAGTTTACTGCTACCCACGTAAGTCACTACATGCTTTGGTAGATTAACCGTAGACAGTAGGACTGAGTCACCTTTATTAAATAAAAGAGTGTTTGCCCTTCCATTCTTGTCAGCGTTTTGCTTTTGCTTATCCACCGCTTCGGCGATGGAGTCTTGCACAAAACGGACTACCGTTTCACGAGCCAGTATGAACTCATCTGATGACTCGTTAGCTTCAGTGTGATGTGAGCGCACTGCAGCAACATCAACCTTTTCTTCAGTGAGGGCTTCCGCACTCTCACTGGGATCATCTTCTTCAGTGAGGGATTCCGCACTCTCACTGGCATCAACTTCTTCGACATCGATGTTATCGATATCGGCATCAAGCGCAATGACCTCTTCTTCAGAGCGTGATGAGCGTGAACCAAATCGGTTTTTTGCTCGCGCGAGTCCCTCCCCCCCTTAAACCAGAGTTGCACTCTAGTAAGGTGGGTACACGCGGATGGCGCAAGCCATTCACGTAAAACGGTGTATGTGTCGTGGACGCATGCACCGAGTTGTTGATGGCAAACTCTACCATTGGCAAAAACTCACTCCAACTCTTAAAGGAGTGTACGTATCCTCGAAGTATCTCTTCAAGGACACGATTGGCACGTTCCGTCTGATCATCTGACTCTGGATGATCAGATGTTGACATCTTCAAGCGCGTTCCGAGTGATTTGAGCACGGAACGCCAGAAATCAGCAGTGAATCGTGGATCTCTGTCTGATACGAGTTCACGGGGCAACCCATGAAGTCGGAAGATGGTGTCAATAAAGACACAAGCACAGCAACTTGCCGTGATTGTCTCTGGTACAGCCACAAGGTGTACCATTTTGCTGAATCTGTCAACAAATACTAGAATACCCGTATTCTTGCGTGCGTCTTTGGGTAACCCGAAGACGAAATCCTTCGAGATGGATTCCCAGCACTCAGCCGGAACCGGTAGAGGCTGTAAAGGTGCACGCAGTGAAGGACTTGACTTCACTCGTTGACAGACTTCGCATGCGCGAACATACTTTCGCACAAACTGATACTGGCGGGGCCAGTAAAAGTCTCGACTTACCGTGAGATGTGTTTTCTCTCGGCCACGACGTCCTCCTATAGGAGCATCGTGATACTCGAACATGATCCGCAAACGCAGATCAGTATCATCTGGAATGACAACACGTGGTGTGTCACCAGAAACGGCTGTATAATACAGTAAACCGTTACGAGTAGTGTATCGATCTGATGCAGATCGATACGCAGACGACAATCGTTTCAACGATTCTCGAGATGGTTGTGAGAGATGTGTCAACAACTTCGCAATCTCACCATCTTGGGCATTCGCCCGCCTCACATCATCATACAACGTTGTAGATGGGACTGAGGACGTCATAACCACAACAGTGACTGTCTCACTGTTAAGTTTTACTACTGGTTCAAAGTCGGGACGACGTGAGAGTGCATCAGCGACGACATTAAGTCGTCCTGGTTTGTACTCGACCGTAAAGTCGTATTCCGCAAAGAATGACAACCACCGCGCCATTCGTTGTGAAAGGTGCGGGCTGTTCACTGCCGTGCGTAATGACGCATGGTCAGTGTAAACAATGAAGGGTCTATCTCCTAATAGATAGACTCTGAACTTCGCGAGTGCATACTTCATGGCAAAGAGTTCCTTGTCATGCACTGGATAGTTCCGCTCAGCTGGTTGCAGCTGACGCGACTGATAGCAGACGACGCGTTCGACGCCTTCAAGATCGTACTGCATTAATGCACAGCCGATTGCGAAATCGCTGGCATCACAGACCACATGAAATGGCCTGTCCTGATCGGCTATTGCTAGGACTGGTGATTGTATCAAGCTCTGCTTGATACCCTCAAAGGAGCGCTGACATTCAGCGTTCCATAACCACTTCTCGTTCTTTTCCAACAAACGAGAGAGGTGTACATTCATCTCGGCGTAATTGCGTGAATACTTATGCAAATACGCCGCTAGCGCAAGGAATTTTCAAAGACCTTTGACATCAACCGGCACAGGCCAGTCGGTGATCGCCTTGATCTTTTCGGGATCAGGACGTACACCGTTCTTACCAACGATGCACCCAAGAAGTGGTATTTCGCTTGCTGCAAATATACACTTCTTGAGGTTAGCATACAATTGATGCTTTCGCATGATTGTAAGAACCTGTCGGACGTGGTACCTGTGAACCCCAACGTCCGACTTTCCATCCATAGCTCAACTATGGATGAATACGTCATCGAAATAACTCGGCGCGAATTCTCGTACTGGCATCAACAGATGTGATACACATCTGTTGAACGTGGCAGGGGCATTACTAAGCCCTTGTGGCATTACTAGCCATTCCCAGAGCATGCCGCTAGGCGTGCTAGCTGCGGTATAGGGTATATCCCGTTCTCGCATGAGGATTTGATAGAAGTCATCCATCAAATCCATGGACGAAAAGATGGTACTCTTTGACATACCATCAATGATTACGTCCTTCCTCGGTATCGGCGTCTGAGCCGGTACCGTTGCAGCGTTCAATTTGTTGAACGCGTGCACTATCCGCCACCCTCCTGTTGCTTTTCGCACACAGAAGGTCGGAGAGCTATGTGGGGAAGTTGATTCCCTCACATGGCCCGCAGCTAAACGATCGGCAAAGAACTTGTCGATCGCAAGTACTTGTTCACGAGGCAGTGGCCACTGCTTCATGACACAGTACTTCGAGCCTGGTTTAAGCTCGACCTCGTGTCGAATACCTTTATCCTTCGGTAATTCGCACGGAACAGTTTCAGGGAATACATCCTTGAATTCAACCAAATCTTCATAGAGAGGATTTTTCTTGAGCGATTCCCATGATTGGGAGTCATATCGCTCAATTCGTGTCTTTTCATCTAGGACACTCTCGTCCATAGATGAACTACTGAGAACTCTCTCGTTCTCAGTAAACACTGTTGCTGACCTTACGTCGGTTACACACTCGTCGTCAGCGACGAGTATGCAGATCTGCTTGACTTTGCCACTACGCAGATCACGCAAGAACCTTTTATGTTCGAGCGTTGGCAACTGAGTGATCTCCGAAGTCAAGTTCGGAGGCGCAATCAGATCAAGTGTATAAGCGCCTACACTTGATCCGTTATTGACTAGGACATTCAATGTCTCTGTCATTTCCTGGGGACTTATTCCCTCAGGCCTCGAAGGACTTATTCCTTCGGCTTCCCTGGGACTTATTCCCGCGGGTTTCGGGGAACTTATTTCCGCCGTATTTGTAATCTTGGGACTTATTCCCTTAATTCCCTCTAGCTGTACTTAGTGTCCGTTCAACATAAACATGTTGGACGTAATAGACGACAGCTTTCACATCATACGTGAAGGCTACTCCCATCTGAGTGACTCAGAATGGGAGACAGTCGGCCATCAGTGTGCTCTTGGGCGATCCCGGCATCAGTGGCAAGTTAAAGTTGTAACGGGGTGAATCGTTACATAACAATTTATAAGAAATTGGTAATAGAAGATATCTATGAGAGAGATATTCTCAGAATATTGTCACAACGACAAATATTTAGTAGCACTTACGAGTAGTTCCTCATTGGTTGATATAGGCCATTATGTCAACCAACAAAGACGCGCCACGACAGACGCACGCAATGAGTTGTGAGCAGGTAGTTGATATACACATTAGTATTTAGACATAGTTAGATGAAGGTAAATAGTGATTTATTGCAGACATTAACTATGATAAATACAGTTCTACTTTTTACTTAAACTAAGCACTCGCTTCTTCTTACCGTCTTTCTCTGCACGTACGAGTGTACGTGAAGTTACGAGGCACCGCCTTATTCTTTCATCAGAATAAGTAGCTTGTACTGTCACCGGTACAAGCTTCAGGGTGCCCCGTTACACCTGGTAGCACTTCGTAGTCCGTCCAAGGACCACGTTCGCGTCCCACATGAATATGTTGGATGATGAAGATGACCAAAGCTTTCACGCTACGCGTGACGGCTACTCCCATTTTAGCGATGTCGAATGGGATGCGGTTGAACGGATGGGTTCAACCATGGGCATCCATGCTGTTAGCGTCATGCTAGAGGCTCTCAATAGAGATGCCCAACATGCTACTATCGCCAAGTTCATTCAAAATGAACTTGACGCAGAACGCGAGAAAGCAGCCTTGCTTCACCAACAAGGTGCTCAACAAGCAGAGTTGTTGAGAGAACAGGGTGCTCAACAGTTTGAACTGTTGAGACAGCAGCAGGCTGCTGCTGGTGGGTCGATGCACTCGCGTCGACCCGAAACCTTGAAGATTGACATCTCCAAGTACAGGGGGTCGAAGAGGACTCCCTCTTGAGATGGTTCGTCGAATTGGATGACGCCATAAGGGCGCGTCGCATCGACGACGGTGATATGCAAGTTGCATTTGCCCAGTCAAATCTGGCAGGACGCGCCAAGACTTGGGCACTGGGGCTCAAGTTGCACGACCCATATGCGTTTGGGTCGTTGGAAGTCTTCAAGTCGCGGCTCAGACAAACGTTTGAACCGCCTAGAGCTGAGTTCAGAGCTCGAACTGAACTCTTGAAGCTCAAGCAAGGTAAGCGTGATGTGCACGCTTACGCGCAACATCTACGACATCTCACGAGTTGTATAAGTTCCAATCCAGTTGATGACTACACGTTGGTTTTGGTGTTCATGCAGGGTCTTGCGGATGGTCCCGTCAAGACTCACCTGTTTCGACTTGAACTAGATTCACTAGAACAAGCCATTTCCATTGCGGAGCAGGAAGACTTCAGTCTGAGACAGGCTCGCGCCAGCTCGACATCATATCGTCAACCGAGACGATATGACAACGGAGGTCCAGAGCCGATGGAACTCTGTTATGTAGAGAGCGAGAAGGCTCGCTCTACAGACTACAAGAAGTTGCAGAAATGCAACAGATGTCAAAAGACAGGACACTACGCTTACGAGTGTAGTGCCCCTCGTCCAGTGTCTCGCAACACTGGGCGTAGTGACCGTCCACCCATGAGAAAGGGGCAGGGACTAGGGTTTGCTGTTGGTGCAAAGACGCAACAATGGGATGGACCGTCAAAAAACGGACAGGATCAGTAGGTGCGGAGCACCCTACTGGTCTAGCAACGTCAAGAGAATTTGTAGGCCTCTTGATGAAGGTTGCTCCCAGCACACAAACGTTGTGCGTTGCTGCTCTAGGTAATGAGATCTCACTCAATACCTTGAAACTCGAAGTGACGAATAAGTTGTCCCTTCGAGCTCTAGTCGATTGTGGGGCGTCCAACAATTTTGTGCGACGCCAATCGCTAGAAGATGGTCATTTTAAATTCAGTGAATGTGACACACCTCCTACGAGGATGACGGTACGTCTTGCGACAGGCGCATCCGTAACCGTCATGAAGCGTATAGTGAAGATCCACTATACGCTAGAAGATACCCAATATAATGATGACTTTATCGTATTGGATTTGGATGACAAATTTGATGTCATCCTTGGAATACCGTGGCTCAGAAGGTACGAACCACGGGTAAACTGGCAACATCGGACAGTAACGATGCCTGCCGCTTGTCCATCAGATGGCCATCTGATGAACGTTTTGGAGCGTCCACAAGCGTGTGGATGTACTACGAGTGAGTGTGATGGCCTCACTTGTGGCACGGTCGTTAGTACGACTGCACAAAACCTTAGTGTACCAAACGGTTACACTTCGGAGCAAAGTTCCGGCGGCTGTGAGGAAACACAGGCTGCGCCGAAGGTCCACCACTTGTAACGGGGCACCCTGAAGCTTGTACTGGTGACAGTACAAGCTACTTATTCTGATGACAGAATAAGGCGGTGCCTCGTAACTTCACGTACACTCGTACGTGCAGAGGAAGACGGTAAGAAGAAGCGAGTACTTGGTTAAAGTAAAAAGTAGAACTGTATTTATCATAGTTAATGTCTGCAATAAATCACTATTTACCTTCATCTAACTATGTCTAAATACAAATGTGTAAATCAGTTATCTGCTCACCACTCATTGCGTGCGTCTGTCGTGGCGCGTCTTCTTTGGTTGATATAATAGCCTATATCAACCAATTAGGAACTACTCGTAAGTGCTGCAGAATATTTGTCCTTATGACAATATTCTGAGAATATAACTCTTATAGTTATCTTCCATTACCAATTTCTTATAAATTGTTATGTAACGATTCACCCCGTTACATCACCCCCCCTTAACCATCAGTCACTTTAGTGACTGATTGACTAAATGGATACTCGTCCCAAATCATTTGGGACAGGGTTTGCACTTGTTGGTCCGAGTCCACTTTCTAATAATTCATCGCATGGTTAACAAGCCCATGCGATGCGCGAGCAAGGCCGCCGAGAGCGCGTCCGCACGTCTCTGTGCGGACGCCGAAGCAGAAACAACAGCAACTGATGTCTCATCGGTTGCTGAAGCGACCCAGCCTGTGTCACTTGGTGATGCAGGCGCTGGTCATGAAGACACTCGTGTCTTCACAGAGTACGAGCTCGGTGTCTCGTACTCTCCTGATACGGATGACGGATCCGTATCGACGGCGATTGAATCTAAGCCGCCTGCCAAGCGTGGCATGGACGATGCTTTGCGTCGCAGCATCTTTGGTTCATCTGATGAATCAGATGAACCATCGCCGAAGCGAAGGCGCTCGGGGTCGCGAGACTCGGGCGCTAACAGTGGTGTCGGTTCTCCTATGGACACCACTTCACAGCGAGGTGCCAGTACTTCTGTCGGCACGTCGCAGGAAGAGCGGGACCGCAATGTGTTGCGTCTCGCTCCTGAGAAGAAGGCATGGATGCCTCTAAAATCCGTCATGGATCACTTGTCGGCGACGACGAGTGATCGTTATCGAACACGATTGTTCGATTCGTCAACGATCCATCACCTTGACCCCAGCGCGAAAAACTATCGCGCTGAACATGAATTCTTCATCGATGCTTTCTTTAGACATCGATGGTACAGTGGGAATCACAAACGTGATGGTCCCTCACTACTTCAGGCGTGGAACGCCTACATCCATAACCTCGAGGATGTAGGTCTTGACGCTTGGAACGACAAACTTATCAAAGCTCGTGATAAGTTTGAAAAGCGAACCCCGACAGGTGCACGCTACAAGCTGCATCGTCTGTCAAGGGAGAAAGGATTACCCTGCCTCTCTTGGGGAGACTCGTGCCCATGTTGTGTGAACAACTCTGCACGAGCACCTAAGGAGGCTTACCTCCTTACCAGCCCGTGGTGGCGCGTACGTGTCTCTACTGAGATGTACGAAGGGATTGACAACCTGAAATCCCGTTACGACCGTGCCGGGAAGACTTTCTCCGGCGGTCCTTCTGCGGCACAGGATGTGCCGCGTCGTACTGCTCAACCAGACCCAGTACGTCGATCATCAGTTGGGAGCGGGGCTCCCAAGTATCGCAGGACGGGGGATAGCCGCGCCACCGGACGAGATAACTCGTCCGACGTCCGTTCACGTCGCGGTGGTTCAACAGCTGCTCAACTAGATAGCGCTGGCCACCTCGAGAGTCCTCTAATGGAGGTGGAGGAGGAGGAAAGACGCTCTCCACACGATCATGTGGATCGGTGTGTTCCCGAGAGCTTCTTTGATCGCGTAACGCAAGGGTTGCGCAACGATTTCGAACATAAGCGGGACAGGCGTCTCCAAATGGGGGACAATGTCTCGAAGCATCGAGCTGAGTTTGCCTTTGCTCAGCTTGAGAACGAGAGATCTCTGACATCTCTTCGTGACGAGCTAAGGGTAGCTCGTGGGATTGCTGATCGGTCTCGGGATGAGATAGCTGCTCTTCAGACCCTTGTTGATGCCCACCATCGGGAGCACAAGGCTCTCTGCGAGATGCTTGAGCGCAAGGGCGTTCTTCATCGGAAGAAGCAGCGTACTGATGGTACGGTTTAAGCCGACCAACGTAAAACGTGGGATGCGTTCGCATCTTACGTGGCAACTCGATCGTGTATGCATTGCCTAGGCGGTGCAATACACGAAATGGGCCGATGTACTTGGGTAGTAGTTTACTGCTACCCACGTAAGTCACTACATGCTTTGGTAGATTAACCGTAGACAGTAGGACTAAGTCACCTTTATTAAATAAAAGAGTGTTTGCCCTTCCATTCTTGTCAGCGTTTTGCTTTTGCTTATCCACCGCTTCGGCGATGGAGTCTTGCACAAAACGGACTACCGTTTCACGAGCCAGTATGAACTCATCTGATGACTCGTTAGCTTCAGTGTGCTGTGAGCGCACTGCAGCAACATCAACCTTTTCTTCAGTGAGGGCTTCCGCACTCTCACTGGGATCATCTTCTTCAGTGAGGGCTTCCGCACTCTCACTGGGATCATCTTCTTCAGTGAGGGCTTCCGCACTCTCACTGGCATCAACTTCTTCGACATCGATGTTATCGATATCGGCATCAAGCGCAATGACCTCTTCGTCAGAGCGTGATGAGCGTGAACCAAATCGGTTTTTTGCTCGCGCGAGTCCCTCCCCCCTTAAACCAGAGTTGCACTCTAGTAAGGTGGGTACACGCGGATGGCGCAAGCCATTCACGTAAAACGGTGTATGTGTCGTGGACGCATGCACCGAGTTGTTGATGGCAAACTCTACCATTGGCAAAAACTCACTCCAACTCTTAAAGGAGTGTACGTATCCTCGAAGTATCTCTTCAAGGACACGATTGGCACGTTCCGTCTGATCATCTGACTCTGGATGATCAGATGTTGACATCTTCAAGCGCGTTCCGAGTGATTTGAGCACGGAACGCCAGAAATCAGCAGTGAATCGTGGATCTCTGTCTGATACGAGTTCACGGGGCAACCAATGAAGTCGGAAGATGGTGTCAATAAAGACACAAGCACAGCAACTTGCCGTGATTGTCTCTGGTACAGCCACAAGGTGTACCATTTTGCTGAATCTGTCAACAAATACTAGAATACCCGTATTCTTGCGTGCGTCTTTGGGTAACCCGAAGACGAAATCCTTTGAGATGGATTCCCAGCACTCAGCCGGAACCGGTAGAGGCTGTAAAGGTGCACGCAGTGAAGGACTTGACTTCACTCGTTGACAGACTTCGCATGCGCGAACATACTTTCGCACAAACTGATACTGGCGGGGCCAGTAAAAGTCTCGACTTACCGTGAGATGTGTTTTCTCTCGGCCACGACGTCCTCCTATAGGAGCATCGTGATACTCGAACATGATCCGCAAACGCAGATCAGTATCATCTGGAATGACAACACGTGGTGTGTCACCAGAAACGGCTGTATAATACAGTAAACCGTTACGAGTAGTGTATCGATCTGATGCAGATCGATACGCAGACGACAATCGTTTCAACGATTCTCGAGATGGTTGTGAGAGATGTGTCAACAACTTCACTATCTCACCATCTTGGGCGTATGCCCGCCTCACATCATCATACAACGTTGTAGATGGGACTGAGGACGTCATAACCACAACAGTGACTGTCTCACTGTTAAGTTTTACTACTGGTTCAAAGTCGGGACGACGTGAGAGTGCATCAGCGACGACATTAAGTCGTCCTGGTTTGTACTCGACCGTAAAGTCGTATTCCGCAAAGAATGACAACCACCGCGCCATTCGTTGTGAAAGGTGCGGGCTGTTCACTGCCGTGCGTAATGACGCATGGTCAGTGTAAACAATGAAGGGTCTATCTCCTAATAGATAGACTCTGAACTTCGCGAGTGCATACTTCATGGCAAGGAGTTCCTTGTCATGCACTGGATAGTTCCGCTCAGCTGGTTGCAGCTGACGCGACTGATAGCAGACGACGCGTTCGACGCCTTCAAGATCGTACTGCATTAATGCACAGCCGATTGCGAAATCGCTGGCATCACAGACCACATGAAATGGCCTGTCCTGATCGGCTATTGCTAGGACTGGTGATTGTATCAAGCTCTGCTTGATACCCTCAAAGGAGCGCTGACATTCAGCGTTCCATAACCACTTCTCGTTCTTTTCCAACAAACGAGAGAGGTGCACAGTCATCTCGGCGTAATTGCGTGAATACTTATGCAAATACGCCGCTAGCCCAAGGAATTTTCAAAGACCTTTGACATCACCCGGCACAGGCCAGTCGGTGATCGCCTTGATCTTTTCGGGATCAGGACGTACACCGTTCTTACCAACGATGCACCCAAGAAGTGGTATTTCGCTTGCTGCAAATATACACTTCTTGAGGTTAGCATACAATTGATGCTTTCGCATGATTGTAAGAACTTGTCGGACGTGGTACCTGTGAACCTCAACGTCCGACTTTCCACCCATAGCCCGACTATGGATGAATACGTCATCAAAATAACTTGTCGCGAATTCTCGTACTGGTCTCAACAGATGTGATACACATCTGTTGAACGTGGCAGGGGCATTACTAAGCCCTTGTGGCATTACTAGCCATTCCCAGAGCATGCCGCTAGGCGTGCTAGCTGCGGTATAGGGTATATCCCGTTCTCGCATGAGGATTTGATAGAAGTCATCCATCAAATCCATGGACGAAAAGATGGTACTCTTTGACATACCATCAATGATTACGTCCTTCCTCGGTATCGGCGTCTGAGCCGGTACCGTTGCAGCGTTCAATTTGTTGAACGCGTGCACTATCCGCCACCCTCCTGTTGCTTTTCGCACACAGAAGGTCGGAGAGCTATGTGGGGAAGTTGAATCCCTCACATGGCCCGCAGCTAAACGATCGGCAAAGAACTTGTCGATCGCAAGTACTTGTTCACGAGGCAGTGGCCACTGCTTCATGACACAGTACTTCGAGCCTGGTTTAAGCTCGACTTCGTGTCGAATACCTTTATCCTTCGGTAATTCGCACGGAACAGTTTCAGGGAATACATCCTTGAATTCAACCAAATCTTCATAGAGAGGATTTTTCTTGAGCGATTCCCATGATTGGGAGTCATATCGCTCAATTCGTGTCTTTTCATCTAGGACACTCTCGTCCATAGATGAACTACTGAGAACTCTCTCGTTCTCAGTGAACACTGTTGCTGACCTTATGTCGGTTACACACTCGTCGTCAGCGACGAGTATGCAGATCTGCTTGACTTTGCCACTACGCAGATCACGCAAGAACCTTTTATGTTCGAGCGTTGGCAACTGAGTGATCTCCGAAGTCAACTTCGGAGGCGCAATCAGATCAAGTGTATAAGCGCCTACACTTGATCCGTTATTGACTATGACATTCAATGTCTCTGTCATTTCCTGGGGACTTATTCCCTCAGGCTTCGAAGGACTTATTCCTTCGTCTTCCCGGGGACTTATTCCCGCGGGTTTCGGGGAACTTATTTCCGCCGTATTTGTAATCTTGGGACTTATTCCCTTTACTTCCTCTAGCTGGGGTTGCGCAACCACAGCGAGATCCTCTACGAAAGACTCTCCAGTCGATCTAGGATTATCGTTTCGCTTAACCTGAGCGATCGATTGTTTCTCTTCTAGATGTTCCCCGCTAGGGATACATCTTTGTCCCAGTCCACCCGACTTATTCGAGTGGTGGACCTTCGGCGCAGCCTGTGTTTCCTCACAGCCGCCGGAACTTTGCTCCGAAGTGTAACCGTTTGGTACACTAAGGTTTTGTGCAGTCGTACTAACGACCGTGCCACAAGTGAGACCATCGCACTCACTCGTAGTACATCCACACGCTTGTGGACGCTCCAAAACGTTCATCAGATGGCCATCTGATGAACAAGCGGCAGGCATCGTTACTGTTCGATGTTGCCAGTTTACCCGTGGTTCGTACCTTCTGAGCCACGGTATTCCAAGGATGACATCAAATTTGTCATCCAAATCCAATACGATAAAGTCATCATTATATTGGGTATCTTCTAGCGTATAGTGGATCTTCACTATACGCTTCATGACGGTTACGGATGCGCCTGTCGCAAGACGTACCGTCATCCTCGTAGGAGGTGTGTCACATTCACTGAATTTAAAGTGACCATCTTCTAGCGATTGGCGTCGCACAAAATTGTTGGACGCCCCACAATCGACTAGAGCTCGAAGGGACAACTTATTCGTCACTTCGAGTTTCAAGGTAATGAGTGAGACCTCATTACCTAGAGCAGCAACGCACAACGTTTGTGTGCTGGGAGCAACCTTCATCAAGAGGTCTACAAATTCTCTTGACGTTGCTAGACCAGTAGGGTGCTCCGCACCTACTTATCCTGTCCGTTTTTTGACGGTCCATCCCGTTGTTGCGTCTTTGCACCAACTGCGGACCCTCGTCCCTGCCCCTTTCTCATGGGTGGACGGTCACTACGCCCAGTGTCGCGAGACACTGGACGAGGGGCACTACACTCGTAAGCGTAGTGTCCTGTCTTCTGACATCTGTTGCATCTCTGCAACTTCTTGTAGTCTGTAGAGCGATCCTTCTCGCTCTCTACATAACAGAGTTCCATCGGCTCTGGACCTCCGTTGTCATATCGTCTCGGTTGACGATATGATGTCGAGCTGGCGCGAGCCTGTCTCAGACTGAAGTCTTCCTGCTCCGCAATGAAAATGGCTTGTTCTAGTGAATCTAGTTCAAGTCGAAACAGGTGAGTCTTGACGGGACCATCCGCAAGACCCTGCATGAACACCAAAACCAACGTGTAGTCATCAACTGGATTGGAACTTATACAACTCGTGAGATGTCGTAGATGTTGCGCGTAAGCGTGCACATCACGCTTACCTTGCTTGAGCTTCAAGAGTTCAGTTCGAGCTCTGAACTCAGCTCTAGGCGGTTCAAACGTTTGTCTGAGCCGCGACTTGAAGACTTCCAACGACCCAAACGCATATGGGTCGTGCAACTTGAGCCCCAGTGCCCAAGTCTTGGCGCGTCCTGCCAGATTTGACTGGGCAAATGCAACTTGCATATCACCGTCGTCGATGCGACGCGCCCTTATGGCGTCATCCAATTCGACGAACCATCTCAAGAGGGAGTCCTCTTCGACCCCCCTGTACTTGGAGATGTCAATCTTCAAGGTTTCGGGTCGACGCGAGTGCATCGACCCACCAGCAGCAGCCTGCTGCTGTCTCAACAGTTCAAACTGTTGAGCACCCTGTTCTCTCAACAACTCTGCTTGTTGAGCACCTTGTTGGTGAAGCAAGGCTGCTTTCTCGCGTTCTGCGTCAAGTTCATTTTGAATGAACTTGGCGATAGTAGCATGTTGGGCATCTCTATTGAGAGCCTCTAGCATGACGCTAACAGCATGGATGCCCATGGTTGAACCCATCCGTTCAACCGCATCCCATTCGACATCGCTCAAATGGGAGTAGCCGTCACGCGTAGCGTGAAAGCTTTGGTCATCTTCATCATCCAACATATTCATGTTGGATGTGAACGCGGTCCTAGGACGGAATACAAAGTGCTACCAGGTGTAACGGGGCACCCTGAAGCTTGTACCGGTGACAGTACAAGCTACTTATTCTGATGACAGAATAAGGCGGTGCCTCGTAACTTCACGTACACTCGTACGTGCAGAGGAAGACGGTAAGAAGAAGCGAGTACTTGGTTAGAGTAAAAAGTAGAACTGTATTTATCATAGTTAATGTCTGCAATAAATCACTATTTACCTTCATCTAACTATGTCTAAATACAAATGTGTAAATCAACTACCTGCTCACCACTCATTGCATGCGTCTGTCATGGCGCGTCTTCGTTGGTTGATATAATGGCCTATATCAACCAATTAGGAACTACTCGTAAGTGCTGCAGAATATTTGTCCTTATGACAATATTCTGAGAATATAACTTTTATAGTTATCTTCCATTACCAATTTCTTATAAATTGTTATGTAACGATTCACCCCGTTACACCACTCGAACAAGTCGAGTGGCCCGGGACAAAGATGTATCCCTAGCGGGGAACATCTAGAAGAGAAACAATCGATCGCTCAGGTTAAGCGAAACGATAATCCTAGATCGACCGGAGAGTCTTTCGTAGAGGATCTCGCTGTGGTTACGCACGGACTACAAAGTGCTACCAGGTGTAACGGGGCACCCTTTGTTTGGGGTGCCACGAAACTTTACGTACACTAGTACGTGCACAGGAAGGAAATCTTTTCAAATTGATCGTTTGAGTAAAGGGTAAAAAGAGAACTGTAATCAATGTAGTTAAGCTATCAATATAACTTCAGTCTTTATCGAACTATAATGACTTACATTGTTGTATAACGACAAACTGCTCACCACTCATTACGCGCGTCTAGCAGCGATTGGTGGTAATCTTAATGGATATGTCTTTTACTAACCAATCTTTGAGCAACGCACGAATATTATCCGAAGTTAATATTCCTCCAATTTTGTATAACCCGGATAACATTGGCAGAAGATTGTCACGCTAGACAATCTCCCTATTGAGATCGTTTAGCGTCAATAACGCGTAGCAGACTACCCCGTTACAGTTCGAGAATATTCTGATGACTCGCTCGTGCCGTGTACGCATAATTACAGAGCAACGTAGCGATGTGATGCTACTAGTTTGTTTGAATCACACCCTGCAGTGTTCATACATTCTACTATCCCGTCATAATGTCGGTATAGATGCCGCAAAGATGAAAGCGAACTCGTACAAGCCCACATAGTGCAGCCTTCGTCGTCTCCGAGTCAACCAAGTAGTTGCACTACTTTCAGAGCGCGGCTTCATTAAGAAGCCGTGACCCACAAAAACTGCCTTACAGATGCTCTATGTAACGGGGCACCCTGAAGCTTGTACTGGTGACAGTACAAGCTACTTATTCTGATGACAGAATAAGGCGGTGCCTCGTAACTTCACGTACACTGGTACGTGCAGAGGAAGACGGTAAGAAGAAGCGAGTACTTGGTTAGAGTAAAAAGTAGAACTGTATTTATAATAGTTAATGTCTGCAATAAATCACTATTTACCTTCATCTAACTATGTCTAAATACAAATGTGTAAATCAGTTATCTGCTCACCACTCATTGCGTGCGTCTGTCGTGGCGCGTCTTCGTTGGTTGATATAATGGCCTATATCAACCAATTAGGAACTACTCGTAAGTGCTACAGAATATTTGTCCTTATGACAATATTCTGAGAATATAACTCTTATAGTTATATTCTATTACCAATTTCTTATAAATTGTTATGTAACGATTCACCCCGTTACACTCTACCCAGACTGTTAAACAGATGCTACCAGACTATTTATAAGAATACGTACATGGATCTTCTCTGCCGCGAGCAGCGACTACAGGAATGGGTGCAATACGTGACTTGATTACGTCGTTTAAAGATTAACGGCTACCACGACCGACTCGACTTCCAGCGACCTACGCGCAACATCAATCTCATCCTGAAAATTCACGCGTCTTAACTGCTCATAGAATGCCGAGTGCGAAGTGGGAGTTTGTGCGTATTGGCGTATACTTTACCGGTAGGTAACTGCCCTCCCACGTACGGACCGGGTGCGTCCGTACACCCTACTGACCGTAACGTCCGTGTTTGTTTATGTGCCCGTGTAGTTCCCGTTGTAGCCACGTACATCTACGCCCAGCCGGACTGTATCAGTATGATCGTGAACAAGGTGAGGATTCTAGCTGGCATTAGCCATCGACCTTCGACGTGGACTCATGACACAGCCTGTTGTTGACTATGCCATGCGTTATGGTGGTGACAACATATGACAGTGGAAATACATCCAGTACCCACCCCAATCTGTGTCCCGCGAGGAATATTACAAGAAGATGCGCGAGGTGGCCGAAGAGGACAAGTGACGGTGTGCTGACTGACCAATGATGACCGAGACAGGCGCTGCCTTATGTAGGCTGGAGCTAGACAGTGCAGTTCTTATATGACACGAGCTATGAGGACGACTGATGTACATGACGCAGCGACAGTGAACAACTTGATTGTGATTATGGAGAGGGCCGATTGCTGGTCACTACAAGGCAGTCTCTTCTGTTGCTCACATTCTTTGCATCTCTTGACGTTGGCATTACGCCACCCCTCGCCTGTCGCGTCAATCCCTGCCCGTCTATTAGTGACTACCTCGGCTCCTGACGCGTTGCTGTCTGCAGAACACACTCTGGTCGGTCTATTGTTTCCGGAGCAAGCAGTAAATTCGTGTGTCATTGTGGATCATGTGCAAGTGGCGCTGCTCGCCACGCAGACACATGAGCAGACCGCCAAAGCTAGCGTAGATAGCCACCATGTTGCCGCCCTCGTGGTCGTACTGGAACACCTTGCCGTACATGCCGTAGTCGTATCGGTCCAAGAGCGTCGGCTATAGATTGACATACAACAACAGCAATTTGGTGTTACACAAGGTGAATCAATAACGTCACGTCTCCTCTGCATCCAAGTCAACAAGCTGAGGACGCACCTTGCCCGACTGATTATATGTGCCGTCGTCCGGCTTCCCCTCGAGATCGAGTGTACTAACAAGTGCCAGCGTAAACTTCTCATTCTGACGTAGACGGTAAACGTCGGAATTAATGTCCAGCGTCAACTCCAGTTCGTACGACACGCCCTTGCACACCACGCGGGTCACTACCAATCAATGCACTCCCAATTAGTGATCGACCATATCTCGGGACCTGAAGTACCTGCAGCAATGGCAATAGCAAAATAAAAACACAGCAGCAGCAGCGTAGCCAGCAACACACCTTTGTCGAATTTCTTGCCGTCCGGATTGAGCTGCCGCACCTCAAAGATGTCCTCAAACAGTTCAGTCGCCATATTGGCAATGGACAATCACAAAGTGGTGTCCGTTCGTCCACCCACCAATGTCCAAGCCCACGCGCTTTTCACTGAGCATATCCTCTCGTTTTTTATATTATAGGATCCCCCAACCGACGGACGAAATCTATAAATAGAGCCGCGTCGTACGTAACGAAACCGACTCAGAGCCAGAGCTCGCTCGAACCTCGATACCACATCTTAAGGTGCGGGAGGCTTGAGTCGCGACTAGAAACCCCTTGTTCGCGGCATTTCACCCGTTGATTGACCGTAAACGAGACGGAAGCGTTGTCGGGATACTTACTCTCTACGGCGAGACGAAACGAGACGCTCGAGGAAGATCGACTCGGAGAACGAGCGATGGCCTCCCAGCACGAAGACGAGTATGACTACCTGTTCAAGATCGTGCTGATTGGCGACTCGGGCGTTGGCAAGTCGAACCTGCTGTCCCGATTCACGCGCAACGAGTTCAACCTCGAGTCGAAGAGCACGATTGGCGTCGAGTTTGCTACCAAGTCCATCGTGGCGGAGGGCAAGACGATCAAGGCGCAGATCTGGGACACGGCTGGTCAGGAACGCTATCGAGCAATCACGAGCGCGTATGTCAAGTGTCTCCCTGTAATTAGTTGATCCATGAAATGATGTGTGTGTCTCAATTTGTGTGTGTGTGTGTTTGTTTTTGTGCGTGCAGCTATTACCGTGGGGCAGTAGGATCGCTGATGGTCTACGATATTACCAAGCACGGGACCTTTGAGAACGTCGAGCGCTGGCTGAAGGAACTGCGAGATCATGCAGACGCCAACACGGTGATTATGCTGGTCGGTAACAAGAGCGATCTTCGAGATCTCCGTGCTGTATCAACCGAGGAGGCAATGGCGTTTGCCGAGAAGAATAATCTGGCGTTCATCGAGACGTCAGCTTTGGAAGCCACGGGAGTGGACACAGCGTTCCAGCGCATTTTAACCGAGATTTACAAGCTCATGAGTCGCAAGACGATGCAGACCGAAGAGAATGCGACGACGGTGAGTCTGCCTGCAGGCAACAGCATTGCTATTACGGCCGAGAACACGACTGAGAGCCAGAAAAAGAAAAAGAAGAGCGGTTGCTGCTAGGGCGTCTTGTGTCGCGCGACAAGGTTGAACAAGGTGGAAGAATGGAGAGCTAGAAAGTTAGGAAGCGAGCGCCGCGGCACTGCATCGCGATTGCGTTGGAAGCTGTCGCAGGTGGCAAAGGGTCGCACCCAGGTTCATTGTAAATCTCAGGCTATACACAGCAGCATGTTGTTCATTTGCAATTGGTCCAAATAGTCCCCAGCGTGTCTGCGGTGGACTCAAAGTCCGAATCAAAATGGGACCGTGTGCCCATTCTATCGACCAACCAATGGGCACCAAAAAGCGGAGACGCGCGCAGGCCGCGAGCATCGTACGTCCCATTATTCTCTGGCTGTTGCGATGTGGATAGACGAATTGGTGTATTGATGTTGTGTGTGTTCTTCGCTGCAGAGAGATGAACAGCCTCCAACGTCCGTAGAACTCCAGCATAAGGAGAAGCATAAGGAGAAGAAGACGACGACGAAGCCCAAGTTCAGTAAACCCCCGAGTCCTGAGCCAGTGCCTGCAAATGATGCGCATTTCGAACCAAAGAATGTGCAACTGACTGGTTCTGGAGCGTCCATTCGTGTAGCAGCTGCTAGCAGTGTGAAGAAGAGTGGAAACAAGGAGAACAACAAGAGCGTCGAGTCTACGGCAGCAGCTCAAGCTACTACTGCAACCAAGAAGAAGGCGAGAGGACAGGCTAAAGGGAGCGAGATTGATGCTTTGTTCACTCAGTTGAAGACGGAGAAGAAGAAGAAGAATGCTGAAGACGAGCAGCACAAGCTAGCTGAAGTGGAGGCTGAACGCCGTGAAATGAAGGAGAAGCAGCGACTACAGCAGCAAATCAAGAAGCTGGAGGCACAGAGTAAGTGTGTCGAGTCAGCTCGGAGGCAGTGCTTGCTACACCGATGGCCGAACTAACTCGTCTCTTTGTGCCTGTGCCGGTTCAGACACGAATTCCACTGCAGTCGGCCTCAATCCGGACCCACGACCTGGTAAATGCCTGGCTGGAACTGTTGTGATTCAAATTTCTGGCTAACATTCGTATGCATTGCTCAGTCCGCTACGATGAGAATGGACTGCCCATTTACACGGAATCTTCGCTGCAGATCGGCAAAGGTGGCGGCTCGAAGGACTGCCCGTTTGACTGCTGGTGCTGCTTCTGACGCGACATTGTTTTCGACCAATTGCATCCTCTCCTTTTTCACGCTCAGTTGCTTGCTTGAGCTGGTGTTACTAGAATATTGCAATAAAACGATTGGCATCAAATGGACACTTCCTCGCGTCCAAGGAAAAGGCTCACAAGCGCGTTGCACCAACGCGCTGCAGCGTCTGAGCCATCCCGGACAAGTGCCTTCGTCCACGGGTTTGCAACAGCTCCTAGTGCGATGGACATCCGCGCTTTTGGCCTTGAAGACCGGGCAGAGGCTGTAATTGCCAGAGACAGGGACACCTGGACGCTCGCGAACCTGTCCAAATGGCGTCACGGCACTCTCGATCAGACTGACAACAATACGTGGCACACTCAATGGAAGGCCCAAACCGATACGAATCTCAGCACTAAGGCGTACGTGCGGCAACGACAACGAGCGTACCGTCACCAGTGTCTCTTGTCCAGCAAGATCAAGCCCACAGAAGCACAACCAACGTGACTCGTGCTCTCTCGACACGGTGTAGATCAAGCTATATCGAATGCGCTCTTCATACTTATGCAGAACTTCCAGACAGTGTCATACGTTCCCACGTGCTTGTCAGCTTCAGCTACTCCTCGTCTTCCTCCAAGTCACTGTCGTAGAAGATGCTCTGGCGGATGCTGTTGATCTGTTCCTCGTCAAGCTGCTGCTGCGTCCCCCGCACTGAATTCACTCCTGTTGCATAGACCCCTCCACAGCCATCCGATGGATGACCAGGCTCAGGACCTTCGTACGTCAACATGTTGTGCAGACTCAAGTAGTACGCTAAAAACGCTGTCGAGAACTTGTCAGTCCCGCCCAGTTCATCCAACCCTTGGACCATCTTGTTCACCTTCTGCTTGTTCACAAGTGCAATGCACGGGATCATCCAGATCCCAAGCTTATCCACTAGATACTCTGCTTTCTCGGCATTGATCCGAGCAAACTTGGTCTCGACATGAAGCGGCGCCAGACGAGCCAAATGGCCGTCCACGAGTTGACAAAAAGCGTTCGCCGGCGTGAAAAAGTGCACCACGACCTTGTCACTTTTCTTCATTGTATTGAAAAACTCGCGCGTGTCGGTGATCGTCGTGTACTCGCCGTGGCCTCGGGCGCGGAGCTCCTGCACCTTGCGCATCTTTTGCTGCATGGCCTGCAGTCGCTTCTCACGTAAACGCTCGAGCTCTTCGTCATCAGCTTCATCGAGTTTCCTGATGGTCGCATCCAGTTTCTGCTCCTGTTGGTCAAGTGTCTCCAGCACCTTTTCGCCAATCAAACTTGCCACCATTTCAGCAGATGTGGACGCCATGTTGGTGGTCTTTTGGTAAATGGCAACGCTTGACGAGACGGATCTAGACGATGGATTGATTGGCTGAAAAGAAGACGGACGGCTGGCTGGTTTTGACCAATTGGATTCGAGCAACGAGACAAACTAGGAGGAACGGGAGCGTCTCATTACTGAATGACCGAGGCAGTCGATACTAAAGGCATTACCGGCCGACGTGCAGGCTGCGTACACAAGCAGTCGAGTCCTCTAGATAGCCCGCTCATTCTCATAGTCGAGTAGACGCTGGACGAGCTCTTTCTTCTGTCCTTGCGTCGAAAGATCGCGCTCTTTCAGTTTCTCCTTGAGCGCCGCCGGCTTGAGTGCCTTGATCGCGCGCGCATCCAGAGGCTCATCTAAAGCGGGACAAACAGCCGGTCAATCACTACAAATGCACACGCTCACACCCACCATAGCACATGGATTCCTGCAGCACTGCATGACGCACCGTTGTCCTGGACTTGCACTGTCTTCTTGCCTTTCGAGCGTTCCGCAGCAGCTGCATCATCAAGTGACACATCCAAAACATTAGCCAAACTCATCATGGTATTTCCTCACTCCACGCATCGTTTCATGTTCACGAACCAGCCTCCTCGTCCTGCTTGCGCTGCTCGGCCTCCTCCCGACGGCGCTTGACCTCTGCCAATCGCGCCAAGTCTTTCTTCGCTTCGTCCGTCTCTCCAGCCAAGTGCTTTTTTAAATAATACGCTTCCGCCCGCTCCTTCTCAATAGCTTCCCGTTCCCGTCGACTCAACTGCTGAGGAGCCGAAGTTGCGTCCATGTCCTTGGCCTTCATGACCTTGCTGCTGGGTTTACTACTATTCGGGTTCTGCTTCTTAGCAATAGCAGCAAACCCTACTTTCTTCTCCTGCTGCGGCATGACAGGACCGTCTGCTTTGGTGGAAAACCCAAACAGTGAGTTGCTCTGCACGCGCTCAAACGCCACGAGCTTCTCGTCTTCTTCCTCGTCCGAGTCGCCGCTCTCCTCCTCCGAGTCGTCGCTGCCGTCCCCGCCATCGTCCCGACGAGCCTTACGCACGCTCTGTTTCTGCTCTTCCTGCTCGTCCCGCAGCGTCATTTCCTCGAGCGACGTCACAAACTTGCGCGTCCCGCCCTTCTCTCGTTTCTTGCGTGCTTTGCCGCCAGCAGCAGCGCCGCCGCCGCCGAGTTTGCCCCCTGTCTTGCCTCCTGTGTCCCGCATCGCTAGACGTCGTCTCGCCCTTTGTGAATGGTCGTCGCGTCGGCGATGGACAGATGATCAGAGAACAGTCCGCTCGGTATGCGCTTGCGTAGGCTCGATATGCTGAGTCACAAGTTACGTGCACCACACAACGATAGACCGTCCCTGGTCTTCTCGATTTTCATTGGCGCCCTCGAGAGGAGCAAAGCAATCGACCGGGAGTCATGGCAACGATGGCGAGCGAGGACATCGACTTGCTGCTGCAAGACGGCATCCAGGCGGCGGCGAACAAGGTGCTACATAGCGTATGCACGTCGATTGTAGAATGTCTATAGTAGCAAGCTGTTGGGCGCTTGTAGGGTATTTAAGACCTGGTATGTTGTTGATTCTAACTTGCTATGGGAGTTTCTTGTGGTTCTTGCTCGTTGACTTGCAGTTTAACCATGGAAAACATGCAAGAAACGAAGAAAAACATGACAGTCGAGAGGAGGCAGAGGACGGACGTCGCTCGTCCAGTCGTCGCAGCAGATCACGCAGTCGCAGCCACTCGCGTCGTCGTCATCGGGAGCGCTCTCGTTCTCGACCCAAGAGACGACGTCATTCACGTCGCTCTCCCTCCCGTTCTCCACGTCGCAATCGTGGGAGTCCTCGACGGGACAAAAGACGCAGCCACAGTCGCAGTAGAGAACGACCGTTGAGAAAAAGTCGCAGCAGGGAGCGGCCGCCGAGAAAAAGTGGCAAGAGCAAAAGCCGATCGCGCTCGGCTCCTCCAGTAGAGGCGCGAGAGCGAAGCACGTCGGCAGAACGTGCAGAACGTGCTAAGCAGCGTGAGCTTATGGAGCTCACTCGCGACCACCGTACGGTGTTTGTGGGACAGCTGACGCAAAAGGTGCGCGAGAAGGATCTCGAGCGGTTTTTCACCAAGATTGGAAAAGTTGAGAGCGTCCTCTTGATTTGTGACAAGTTTACGAATCGCTCTAAAGGCTTTGCGTACGTGGAGCTGTCGAATTTGGAAGATGTCCCGAAAGTTCTGCTGCTGAATGGACAGGTACCGGATTTTCAGGTGTTTCCCATTATGATCAAAGCATCTGAAGCCGAGAAAAACTTTGCTGCAAAGAAGGACTCGGTGATGAACGCTGCTACTACAGCGAGCTCAACTCTACTTTCGGCTGACGCGTCAGGTGCTGGTCTGGCTGGCGTGATTGCTGGTGGAGGAGCAGGCGGGATGTCGGCGTCAGCACTGTCAGCGGCGAGTCGTATCTATTGCGGCAACCTCCACACGAATATAACAGAGGATGACTTGCGGATCGTGTTCCAGTCATTCGGTGAAGTGCTGTCGGTGACTATAAACCGCGACGAAATGGGCCGCTCCAAGGGGTTTAGCTTTATTCAGTTTAGTAGCCCACAGGAAGCTAACTTTGCGTTGTCCAAAGGGAACGGACTCGAGCTTGCAGGCAACTACCTGCATCTCGGTCCAGTGAACGAAAATGCGATGGGCAGTGGTAAGAGAGGCGTAGGTGGAGGAGGTGCAGGCGGTGCCGACAATGGTGCTGCAGGTGGCCGATGGAAGCTAGAGGATGATGAAGGCACCGGGCTCAGCATGAACGCGCTGTCGCGCTCGGCTTTGATGGCCAAGCTCGCTGGCAATGACGTGAATCTGTTTCCAATGGCAATGGGGGGTAGTGTCAGACACGTTGGGAGTTATCCAGTGTCTGCCACTGACATGACCAACAGCATGGCTGCAAGTGCCGCTCAACGGGCGGAGCAGGCAGCGGCACTGATGTCATCGATGGAGATCGAAGGCAGCGAGTCGTTTTGTTTCGTGGTGAAGAATATGTTCGATGTGTACCAGGAGCAAAAGAGCGGGAACTTGGACTGGTCCGTGGAGATCCAGCAGGACGTGGAAGAGGAATGTGGTCAGTATGGGCCTGTGCTTCATACATACGTTGAGAAAGAGAAGCAGGGCGGTCTCGTATACGTGCTGTTCGACAACGTAGTCAGCGCTGTATCGGCTGCCAAAAAGCTGCACGGTCGCTGGTTTAACAAGCGCCAAATCAGTGTACGGTACTTGTCGTCGCAGGAGTATGTCGGCATGTTTCCCGAAGTCCGGTCTGCTGTACAGACCGCGCGTGCCAAGAGTTCCCAGTAAGCCCACAATCTACATTTCTGCTCACCTTGTGCTCATCTACGCAGGCTATGGATGCGAATGAACGGAGTGAAGGACCTATCACACTAGCTCAGACCGTAGCAGATAGCTGGGGATTCGCTGACGATGACAGACACCCAGGTGATCGGCCATCACTTGTCTTGCAGCATTTCTCGCTAGAAATGCTCGTAAAAAGGTGGGTTGATTTTTTTTGCTCTTTGATGTGTTGTTTCTGCTGTTCGTAGTGACGGGTTGACTTCAACAAGGTTACCGTGACAGCACGAGCACTGACCCTTCAGGCTACACACACAAGGCACCCGCCGCGGCGTCATCTTGTCGCTCTATTTATGCGTGGCAGACTTCTACTGTTTGTCTCCTGCCTCCTGGACTGCGTCTTCTGTCTGCATCGCTTCAGCATTTCGTTGCTGCCTAATGAGCTCGGCTGCTAACGTGCGTTCAACGATTTGGATGAGAGTGTCCACCTGCGTCTCGGAATAGCGTCCAGCGCAGTCTTCTACGATCAAATGAATGTCCACGAGCTCCATGGGAATATGATTGACGAACTGCAGCTTTTCGGCCGCAGTCAGCGGTGGCAGATCCGCCTGCGCTAGCTCCCTGAGAAAGTCCTGGATGCAATTGGCACTCAGCGTCGAGCAGCGCGAGTGACTCTGTGTCAGAAACTTGATCACCTTGTGGTCCATCCAATTACGCTCGGCATACTCGACCATGGCTGACTTGTGTAACCGCTGTTCTTTGCGCTCCTGCATGAGCTGGAGCACCTCCATGTCGCTCAATGAGTCCTCATGGACCAGTAGCACTTTCATGATATTTACGTGTGTGCGATTTCAAGCTGAATGGCTCCAAAGGCTTGAGCCGCGGAGTGGACACAACAGATGGCTACACTGGAATTAGTGCTTTCACATAGTAAAACTACAAGTGTCTCTCTAGGTCGCACGCAATTTCCCCACACCGAATCCCCCGAGTCCTAAAAATAAGGCTAAAATTAACAATAAAAAGTACTTGACTCGGATCCCAGACCGCCACGACGTCGAGCGACCAGAGCTCGAGACAATGCCGCCCCGACACGTCGTTCACCTTCCTCACTGTCGACGTTGCGCGTCCCGTTGCTCCCGCTCGCGCTGGTTCTCCGGCTTGCCCCCATCGGCACTCAAGCTCGGATTCAGCTGTCGGGACCTCAAGACCATCGTCGACGTGGGGGTGTCCAAAGATCGATGAGCCCGCGACGCCCCTGCGCGCGTGGACCGCCTGGATCCCCGAGCCATCCTTGGTGCCGGCCGTACCCGAGGCCGGATCTCGGGCGTGTCCTGCATCGCAAACGCAAACTCGTTTTCCAGTGAACGAAAGACGCGCGGCGACGTGGGCGGCGAGTCGTCCACCAGTGGCGACAGAGCCAGACGTGGATACGTCCGGGCGTAGACAATGCCGCCACAAGTGCGGCGCTTTGGTCGTTTCGGGGGCGGCGGCGGGTTTTTCCGGTCCAACATCCGTGTCGACGGCGGCGGCGTCACTTGCACCGATCGGAGCGATGTGCGGTGTCGTACACGGTCCGCCAGCTCTTCTTGGGTGGCTACATTTTCACAGTCGTGCGGTCGTTTACTCCCACCCACGACAAGTGCTACATCACTCGTCAGCAGAGATTGACCGTTATCATCGTCCCTTCTGCCATCCAGACTCCGCTCGTCGTCGTTCTCTCTTCGACTCGACGACACGAGCACCTGCTTATCATCATCGTCCTCCTCCTCCTTCTCCATCTTCTCTCCTCCCTCTGCTTTGGCTGTCGTCGTGTTTCTCCGAGCCATCAAATGACTCGCACAGAGCTGGGATTCCCTCAGTTTAGCCAATGGCGACACCGAAACCTCGAGAGGTACAGAGCTCTCCACTCCCCCGTCTTCTCCAGCTACGCGACGTCTCTTTGTCTCCCTCGGCGTCTCTTCTTCTTCTTCCTCCTCCTCCAAGTGACTCGTCACCTTCTCCGTCTCCTCTCGCCTTGAAACACTGCGCCGTCGCTTCGCACAAACCACCAGCGTCTGCTTCTCTTCCAGCTTGGAACTGCATGCAAACGACTGCTCCATTGCAGTCGTCGAGTCAAGTCGCCGCTTCTTCTTCTGCTGCTGCTTCTGGTCCGCAATCGCAGCGGCGTCAACGGGGGAAGGCGGCGACAGTAGCGCGCTCGCGGGCCGCCGTCGCTTGCCGGTTGCAACGTGGGGAGCCATGAGCGACCAAGCGGATGCTGAGCGTGGTCGTGCGGGAGGTCTGAACGTGCGTCTGGAGCGACAGTCGGCGCGCGTCTCTTGTCTCGTGTTCTTTTCGCGCGCGCGCTTGTTGTGGCGCGTTTTCCCCCCTTTTTGCATACTTAAGCTCAAGTCGAACGCGCGGGGGTGGTTTTATTCAGTGGTGTGGCGGTGGTGGGCGTGTACATCAAAACAGGCTCGGTCCTTGTCTCGGACTCGAAAACAAGGAAACACACACGCGCGATGGGTCGTTGCTACAAGATATAAAAAGCTGCGACGAAAGAAAGAGCTTTTTGTTTCGGGTCTTGTTTCTGCAAAGTACAGGGAAGGTTGCATGAAGGTCGTTTGATGCCAGCGAGCGCTCGGGACCGCAAGCTGAGGGAGCGGTTGTGTGACTACAGTCAGTCAGTCGGTCCGTCCGTCAGTCGGTCCCCTCCACTTTCGCAAGAGCCACTAACCCCCAACGAGCTCTGGACGCAAGAGCAGGAGTGAAGAGCATGTACAGTCGAGCAATCAGCCGCGCCGTTTCGCAGACCACGCGCCAAAGCGCGCGCATGGCGTCGACGACGAAACACTCGTCCGTGAACGGCAAGGGGGCGCTGGATGGGGCCTACAAGACGTTCATGAAGAGCACGCCGGTGTACGTGACGACGGTTCTGCTTGCAGCGCTCGTGGGAGAGAGCGTCTATGGCTCGGTGACCAACTACGTCTGGGAGGCGAGCAACCGTGGCGTACGTGACTGTAGCTGCTGATGAGTAGGAGGGGATGGGGGTGAGGGAGCTGATGTGTACGTGAGATGTGATCGATCTGTTGCAGCGGCTGTACCACCACGTGGACTGGTCCAAGTTTGAAGAGGAGGAGGAAGAAGACGAAGAGGAGGAGGAGCAGGAAGAGAAGGGAGAAGAAGCAGCAGAGGAGGAGGAGGAAGAGAAGGGAGAAGCAGAGGGAGACGTTGAGAGTATCCACGAGTACAACGACGAAGACAAGTAGACTGACGAGGCCCAGTTTGTGTACGTCTAGTCTCTGACGGCAGAAGCCGCTTCTTTTACTCGTTGCTGCTAGGAGAATCGAGAAAGAATACGACGGACGGTGTTTCTGCTAGTTGTTGCCGCTGCACCACTCGTGTGCTCTTTTGTCTGTTGTGCTCAGGGATGGAAGAGTGCGGCGTGTCTAGGCGGGGTGCGATTATTTGAAGGCACCTCGTGGTGTTTTTTTCTATACCAGATCTAGCTCTGTTGGTTGCTCTCCGTCGAAGCTGACGCTGCACTGCTGTGGCTATTGAGCAGCCCTTTGCCGTTCAAAATCCTGTTGGCAGCCGCGATACGGTACGCCTTTGAGTTTCCAGGTCGTCGCTTCACCTTCAGTGCACGCTGGTCGAGCATTTTCTGCCATGAAGTGACACACAAGATCAGCAACTGTTAAAAAACTGCAACGACCGCGCCATCGATAACAAGCTCCACAAGTTTTGTACCTCGACGTCGCTGAGCTTGCAGCCAGCAGCTACACAGCGCACCATGGCAAAGTACATCACGTCCGCAGCCTCTCCCGCTACATCAGAGACTGATTCAGCTTCTGCGAGTTCCTGTGCTTCCTCTACAAGTTTGCTGCGCAGTAGTTCGGTATCGTCAAACAGTCGCTTGGTATACGACCCCGGTGGTGCGTCTTCGTGGCGGCTGAACAGCATACTCTCCAGTGCACGAAGACCGCCATCGTGACCCCAGCACGTGCGGGTGTTGAGGTGGCAAAAGCCAGTACCCGTCTGGCTCACCGTGAAGCGCAGGGCGTCGCTGTCGCAGTCCATATCGATCCGAATGAGCTCCTGGGTGTTGCCACTGCTCTCTCCTTTTTTCCACAAGCCACCGCGCGACCGAGAGTAGTAGACGCCACGTCCACTTGACACCGCAGCCACGATACTCTCTGCACTCGAGTACACGAGTCCAAGTGCGACACCAGCTTCATCTGCAACAACCGTTGTGAACAGACCATCGGGACGATCAGTCCGCAGACACTGCACGAACGCCAATGCAGCATCTACCATCGCTTCACCATCGCTCGTTACGAAGTCACCTGTCTTCTCGCCTTCCCCATGGCAATATCCCGGAGCGATCACATGGATCTTGCAGTGATGAAGGTCTCGAATCATCGCTAACACCTTCTCCGAAGTGTAACCTGCTGGCAACCCAGTGCTGAATTCCACTACAAAGAAGAACGTGTCCTCCATGCTCTTCCTCACGGTCTGCAAACCAGCCAACAGAGCATCAAGTGCGTCCGTGTCACTGTCAATAGTAAGCACCACACCACTGGCAATAGGCGCCAATCTCTCCAGCTTTGCGCCAAACTCTGCAACGTCCAGCGACAGTACGGGAATACACAGAACCACTCGAGCAAGTGGCAGTTCCGACACTGCGACGGCCACTCGCTCGAGCTCTGCGTCTTGACTCGACACAGCGTTCACCAGCACCTGATTTAGTCCCTGATCGAGCCACAAGGCAATTTCTTCCATCATGTCAACGGAAAACGGACCCAAGAGAGTGCGTGTGTCCAGCACAGTCGCCTTGAGTGCGTTCGACTGCAACGTCTTGTGGTCGTCGCGAACAGGTGGCGCCAATTCGAGCAGCATTTGATGTGGCAGCGACGTGTACACGAGTCCCAAAGTGCTAAGACGACGCAGTTGAGAGCACTTTGCGTCGTCCGTCACGGAGGCTGGTGGGATGAAGGAGACCGTGGGGATCAGCATGGCCAGCGTGACGTTTTGACTGTTTGGGTACAGTGGAGCTTGTCGAGCATGGCATCCAGCAGAACATACCGGTATCTGATACGGTAACCGTACTTACATGATGCGATGGAGCATCGGATGAGCTTTTTTTCAGTACTAGTATCTCTACGAGCGCAATTTCCTAGTACTACTGTAGTACTTTTTCTCTAATTTAGTACTCGTAATTGTTTGTGGCACGGACCTCCATCGATTGCACAGCCGCGAGACGCTTGTGTAGCAAGTAATATGAGGCATCGTCTACATTTGGACAAAGGATCGATCACGCTTGGACTTCCTTCCTTCCAAGGAGCCTATCTGATGCTAGCTAAAGATCTTATACACCTTCTACATACCAACTACATTCTCAAACTTCGATATCGATCCACACGTTATGGCGTGATGCCAATTCTTCTCGATCGCTAGAATGTAGTAACTTTCATTACGACATTTATCGCTGGAAACTGGTCTACGTGGCTGTCGCAATGCCAACCGACGGTCAGAACTACCAACAGGCTTCGTCCATTCCAAATGGAGCTAACCAAACATTTGTTCAGATCTCGCAGTTGAGTTTACAAATATGCGTGATTTGCCTGCCGCGACTTTTAGCTGTCTACAAGCTGCATCCATCATCAACTTTTGGTGACGACTTCACCAAACTGCAAGCGAAAGTGCCTGAATGCAAATTACTTCCTAATGGTGCGGCATGGTACGGATCCCCTCACCTTGAATGTGTGCAGTGTATTCTCTTCACGTAGCTGCTTCTTTTAGGTTTCAGATACTTTAGACTGCATAGGTTTGTAACTACCTCATCGCTTTATGTCATCATGGACGCGATTTGTCCATCGCTCTCCAGCTCGATTCCGGCTGTTTCATAATGGCAGTAGTAGCTGACTTTACAGCTTCTTGTAAGTAGACAGATAAAGATTTCGTACGAACATAGGACAAGCAGCTCGCGCTCGTTAATCGCTTGCTGTTTACCACTTCATGAAGCACATTATTCCATGTAAATCAATGGCCTTGAAATTGAATGCACTCCTGATGTTCACTACGTCACCTGCAGCTGTACTTGCAATCAAGATCGTGTCGATGTGGTAACCACATCGCCGTTATTTCAGGTAGAGGAATATACATGAGGCGACACAACTGACCGAAAGACTCTTTCTCCGGCGTGACACTGTAATTCCTCGAGGATATGCAGACCGTCGTGGCAAAGATGCTTCATGCAATTTGCACTCTTTCGGCGTCGTCGCCAGAATTAAAGTACTGATCGTACCTCAAGGCGCTGATCGATGACTTACCGACCTTGCAAGACATCCCATTGCAAAGAGTAGCAAAGCTTGTACGAGGTAGCATCGGTAGGAGACGAACACATTTATTACAGTTGTGGATGAGCTTTTGAGAAAGAAAAGCATGCAACACTTTTGAATTTTACCGCTTACGGTCGCTCAAGAAAGCGCAGGTTACGCACGTGTGTTTAGACTTTTCTGTTACGAGCTGGTCGTCCATAGGCCTTCTCTCCGATCAAAGCACTGTATGAGCGCTTTATTAGTACCAACGAAACACAAGAAATTCCCGAATGGCTACAGTAGAGTCTGCAGAATCGGTGCAGTCACCATATCGCAATCACAAGTACGCTCACGCTGTTTGCAACGAATTACGACGAGTGCCACAAAACCCAGCGACGTCTTGGCGCTCGTTCTCCAACTCCATCACTTTGCCCAGCGTGGCTTCCCTTCGGCCCGTCTTGTGGAATCTTGAGTTACGGAGTCGGGAACAGCATCTTGCGCACCGTGGGCTTCAGGTCGTAGTAAATCTGGTCCAGGCGCGTGTCCAGCGTGTTGTCACACACAATTTTGCCCTGTTTGGCATACAGCACCACGCCACCGGCCTTGGCGGCCGACAACATGCCATCAGCGACCTTGTTAAGTGTCACCTTGACCTTGCTCACATCCAAGTTGGCCTCCTCCTTCATGATAGCAATGTACTTCTCCGTGGCCTCGTTTACCACCATTTCTGCGAGTGGCACGTCTTTGGCGCGCACAGCCACCACCACGTCTGCCTCAAACAGCTTGATCAGGCCCTGCACGATAAGATCACGCAACAGCACCTTGTTCTTGTCATCAGAGGTCGTGTAACTCTTCAGCTGGTTCTGACCGTCTGCAATGAGCGTCTTCAGCAGCTCGTCACGAGCGATCATCTTCTGGCGTCGCGACGCGCCGATCTCGGCCGAGCGAGCACTACACAACCGCATCCATCCACAAAAAATCACCCACCCACCGTCACGATTAGCTCACCCGTATCCTCTCCTCAAACCAACCACAGCACGATCCCACGCACATGCGCTTGTTCACTTCGCGCTCCTTCTCCTTGCGCTTGTACTCGTCCTGGATCTTGAGCTTCGCGTCGTGCACCAGCAGCTGCTTCTCCAGATTAAAATCATGCTCCGTCTGTCAAGATCAAATAACGTCCCAGTCACAAGGTGCCGATTGGCCATAAATATGAGTCCGTCACATCTTTTTTCCCTCTTTTTCTCGCTCTTTTGCTTCGACTGCCTCTGACGAGCTCCCGCGCCCGAATGGCGCCATCGTTTGGCCCCGAGCCCCGCTCTCCCAGCTTCGACTCGACAGCTCTTCTGCTTTTTCTCCCTTTACCTTGATGCGGATCTCGTTGGCTTTCTCATGCGCTTCCTGCAGAATGAAGTTCACCATCTGCTTGATCTGTCGGTCCGCATCGCCCGCGTTCATCTTGAGTCTGTCGTCTGCACTCCGCTCGTAGATCCGATCTGATCCCGCACGATTGAAGACAAAAAAAAGTAAAAGAAAAAAAGCAGACGAAAAAAGCAGTTTTTACATTCGGCGTGATGCGTTCGTTTCGTACTTGATCGAAGCAGACTACCACCACCACCGACACGCACAATAACAGCCAATCGCACGCCACTATTTCTTTCCTCCGACAAGACCCCACGACGAGTCCCATCATGAAGGTCGCTCCGACTCGCGCCATTGCGGCAGCGCGTCGCAGCTCCCGGACGCAGCTACAGCGCGCCCTGTCTACGCACACAGACGTGGACAACCACGCGTTCGTCCATGGCATGTCGAAAGAACAGGCCAGAAAGGCGCTCGACCGCCATGCCGCCATTCGTGCGGACCATCACGCCGCCAAGCGCGACTTCCTCTCGTCCAGTCAGGGCGAGCACGAGGTCGACGCAGACGAGGCGAACCACAAGCGCGTCATTTACCGCAGCAAGCAGCGCGGCTGGCTGGAGGTGGATCTGCTGCTGGGCCGCTGGGCCAGTCAGAACGTCATGCAGCTCTCGAGCGAAGAGCTGCGGGAGTACGAGGACATTCTGAACGAGGAGACGATTGACATCTTCAACTACATTTCAGGCAAGGATCCACACGTGCCTGCGCGAGTCGACACGCCTATGATGAAGAGGTTGCAGACGTACTGTCTCTCCTCGCCCTTGGGCAAGGCGTCGGTGGAGGGATTCGCACAGAACAAGAAGTTCATGAGCAACTAGAGCACAGAAGAAGGAGACAGCGTCGCGGAAATGACTCGTGATGCTTGTGAAGCACTTGTGTGCTGTCGGAGAAAGGGGTTGACGGCGTTGGGTGGTCATATGTCGTACCGTTGGTTTTAGCCGTCGGATCACGTACATTATTACGCAGCAGGAACAGAAAAGAGAGCGTGTGGCCGATGCTATACCGACTAAACGAGTTGTGCACGCTCGTGGCAACAGTAGACGACTTTGTTAGCAATGCGCGATCGGACAAAGGTCAAGCAGAACGGAACGGAAGGTTTTCATGTTGTGATACAGCACGTTGTGGCCGTTGGTCGCTGGTAAAGTGAAAGACACGAGCGCCGACGTCAATTTAACGGGTGCGCACTTCCATTGTATCAAACGAAGAAAATAAAGACACACTACCAGCTTGACTAACATTCCTAGTCTTCTTGCATACTTGGAATTTGTAAAATCGTTCCTGGCCGTGTAATTTGATCGGGTAGCAAAATAGATGTTGAATGTGACCAATGCAGATTATGGGGCCGTCAACACAGCACGGAGATAAGATGACAGTTTTGCACTTAAAAAGCTCAAATAGCAGCGTCTTACTCGTACTATTAGTCGTGCTTCGATAAAAAAAAGTGGTTGACTATTTGTTTTTTGGAAAATTGTTTATTCCACCACACCTATTTACTAAATCCACCACCCTTTTTACTATTTACACTTCACCATACCAAAAAATCTTCGACCTCCGACAGGCTCCGACCGGGACAAAGCCAGTACACAATCGGGTTTGTGTGCAATTTTGTGCTAATTATTGTAAGTGGACAGGAAAGCTCAAAATATGATTGATTGAGGCAAATTTAACTGACCTTTTCGGACGCAGCTACAAATTGTGGACATGTTCCCGTCGCAACACCAAACATGGAAGGAAACAAATGGTTGCACTGGGATCCAGCGCATGTCCGATGTGATGGCGACGAAGGGGCTGTGCCCGACACATCGTTTCATGTTAATTTCGAATGTGCCAGATCATTTCGTCTGCAGTGATGAGATTCCTCAACACGCCAAATGATGCGCCAGCAGATCGGCACGTGGAGTCCTGCTAAACAGGATTCTACGTGCCGATCTGCTTCTCTTCATCGTGTGTAGTGCCAAAGTGTTGTAAAACTACGGCATATGGACAGTGGACGAGCTATTCATGGTGGTGCTCCCATGTGTATGTACGTGCACCCTGCTGTTTTGCGCGTGCGTCGAGTGAGGGAGCAAACGAATGCGCTTGCCGGGTAATTTTGCAGACTGTGTATTATCTCGCAAATCCAACCTCGCGCTTGCTACCTCTTACCACCTGTGCGACCTGCCGTGCTACCGTGCAACCTTTTGCGCTATCTCAAGACCTCTCGTGCAGGATATCTCTCTGTGCCTTCACTACTACGACTACTGTGGTGGAGTGGTGATCGCTCAATTCTTGAGACGATCCCAACTCTCCACTGGCGCCCAGTCGACCGAATAACGGAGGGGGTACTTCGATTTCGTGTTTATCTCTTTCCTCACCTTGTGTACCCGTCGGTAGGGCCGATTGCACTCTTCCAGGTGGACTCGTGCTGAGGGAAACTGGGATCGTGTTGGGGATGGGTTCGTGTGATCGGGCGGAAATCTTCGCGCGATCACTGAATTATCGGTGGGTTACTGATATAAGTTACCCTGATCTCAACGAGATCGCCTTGCCCACTCTGGGGGTTCTTGATACGCAAGCCTTCTGACCACTTGAGCCGTCTCGCGAGCTAAAGCCTTGCCTTTACGTGTTTGCTGCGTCCGATCGCAGTTGTAGTTACCTGAGAATTCTTGAACGCACCTGGCCAAACAATCCAGATGCGACACTTACATGGATGGGTAACGCGACTCGTTATTCTTCGGGAGGCCAAAGATCCTGCCCGGAAGAGATTGCGTGCGTCTTATGAAGTTAATTGAATGTTCTTTAAAGCTAACCAATCAACCTAAAACCAACCCCTGTGCCTTATCCGTATATCCTAACCGGATGCCACGCGTCACCGTTTCAGGAAGATCGTCCTCTCGTATTGATGTGACCTACATCAGGTGCATCGGCAGTCGAATCTTCTTGTGGTCCAACCGAGATATCACCACCACTTGACCTCGGATCGTGATCCCAGGTCCGGATCGTAATCCCTAGGTGAGGGATTACGAATCTTCCCTTGCCTTGTCTTACGATCAATCACGCAATCCAACTGGTCCCACTGTCATCTAGCCTTGTCCCAAGTGATATCAATACTGCTTACTGGGGTAAGTTGCGTTATTGCTAGCCACCCGTACCAGTTTGTGTCCACCAATCATAATGCTTTGAACCTAGCTGAGGTGTGCGATCCGCCCATTCGCCCACTATAATTACACCGTAAATTTTCTTGTGACCGCTTTGCCACACTACACAGTTTATCCTCTATACTACAACTTCCAACACTTCCCCCAACGCGTCGTCATCTACATCAGTCCTATCTTCTTCCTCATCTTTGAGCATCCAAGGCGCAGACAGGCTCTTCGTCAAGACATCCGCAAGCATGTCTTCAGTTGCAACATACCTCGCATTGACAATCCATTTATCTTTTGTGTCTCGAGCGAACTTAACCTGTACGTCCGCATGTTTCTGCGCGCTGAAGGCCATTTCATTGTCGAGCTGCTTGATGGCCGCCTAATTGTCAATACTCATAGTCATGGGCATCACCACAAGAACTTCGACCTCCTCCGACAAGTTCCGGATCCCGAGTAGCTCTTTTGCACCAGCTGCGGCGGCCACGAACTCCGACTTGGCAGTTGATAGTGCCACTACTGTCTGATGCTTCACCTGCGTGGCAGGTGAAGCAGCCCTTTGACAAGCACTAGCGCTCCGCTGATCGACTTCCGCATCTTCCTGTCGGCTGCGTAGTAGGCTTCAGTGCAACTCTCGATCCGAGCGGCACCACTCGTCACATCTCCTCCCATTCTCAGCTTTACGTCAGCCGAGCCTGTCAGATATCGCAACACTCGTTTCAAAATCTACAGGTCTTAGTCGGTGGGATGCATGACTGCGTCTCGTAGCTCAGTGCACAGCATAAGGGATGTTAATTTTTTCTATACCTGGCGATCCACATCAAGTTGTCAACTAGAGACTGAAACCAATGCACCGTTGGTCTCTCCGCCAGTCCGGCTCGGCTGTCGGCAGCAGCGTCGAGTTCTCGCTCTCGGATCTCAAGCCTCGATTTGTCTGCCACTGGCTAGCGTACCGACCTCGCGCTCTACACTACGTGTTTGTGGAGAAGCTCGTTGACTGTCTGCTGCTGATCGATCGTGTACCCATAGTCTTTATTGAACCCGAGACACATGCCGAGGAAGTTCTCGACACTGCCGATGTACTTGAGTTCCAGACTTTGCATGTCCGCTCCGAAGTCATCGAGAATCTGATCAGCCGTCGAGGCACCGAGCAGGCTATCAACGTAGGTCCCGACGATCACCGCGCCACTTTTGTTCGTCGTGTAGTAGACGCACGTGTCCGTCATCGATTGCACAAAATCGATGCCGGTTTGCGTCCTGTGTACAAGCTAGTTCCATAACTGGCCGGCTTGCTTTAGTCCACACAGAAACTTGATTAGTCGCAAACACACCTCGTTGCTTCCGTTTGCGTGCACTTTCTCGAGATCGTTGCTGGTAAGCTACATGCCTTCTGGGATGCCCAGATGTATCTCAATCTCACCCTCCTTGTACGACTTCAGATACGCACTTAGTACATCATAGCGCCGCGCGCGGACGTTCCACATGCGCGCTATCGCGAGGATTGCCTTACCACTCGTTATGTCGAGTACCGCTGAGAACTTCAGGGTCCAGTCGCGTCCTAGCACCTGCTTTCACCCCTGGCAACCAGGTGCGCTTTGTAGCGCTTGATGGAGCCGTTGCCATATTTCTTCTTCTGAGACCCATTTGGACCGTAGTAAGTGCACGTGCTTCTAATTCTTTACTATCTGCCACTTGCTGTTTGACTCGAGCGACGCGATCTTTTCCGTGCGTGCCGCTGCCCACAGTTGTGCGTCTAGAGTGCTCAGCGAAGCTTTGAAAGACTTGGAGTCCGGCAGCATCGTGTACTCCTCCCCGGCTTCCAAAACGAGAAAACACTCGATTTTTGCAAAACGGTCGCCAACAGCGTGCTATAGTCGGTTTTTGATTGCTGTGGCTTATTCGTGTAAATGTTTGCCCCTTCAGCTGTTGCTTGTTTGGCCGACTTTCTGATCATTCTGCTGGAATTTCTTGGCAGTGTTTCGGCTTCGCTTTCGTCATCCGATACTTTGTTTCCCGAGTCGTGCTGTACCGGCTCTCCGCGTCGCTTCTTCCTTTCTTTTGAGTTTGGCTTCCCACGGTGGAGTTGCTGGCGTCTTGCTGCAAAGCCTTTCTTGTCGACGGCGCTGGATCTTTCATAGCCTTCGTCGCTCGCGCCTTGATGTTTGACGGTGCAGGATCTCTAGCATTAGTCGTCGTCTTTTTCCTGGCTTTTGACGACGCTCGCTTTTTGATAGTCGTCGTCGTCACCGGTGCATGAGCGGCGTCATCTCGATCCGGTTTTTTTTCAGCAGAAGACTTTCAATCTCTTTGACGAGCGAGCCTTTCGAGCTCGTCGTCCGTTGCTGCCTCAAGAAATTTGCGTAATTGCCTGCTCGCGGTGGAGGTCATCGTCTCAATCTCTCCAACATGTCGAGCGGTGATGACAACTTGCTTGGTTGGAATACCTTGTATCTTCTGGTCCCATCATTTTTTTCGACGACGTAACTTTGGGTGCCTCTCTTACCGCGCGACGCATCTCTCGGTGTTGTGTACACCAGACACGGCTATCCAAGCACACCAACGTCTGCGACGCTGACTGCTCTCGTTTTCAGGAACCCCAAAGTAGACTTGCGGCATGGTTTCGCTCGCGTCGGCATCCTTTTCAGCACGTACGCTGAGTACTCGGAGGCGTAGCTACAGTAGGCCAATGGAAGCCCTGAGCCAAACAGCATGCATCGCACCATATTCATCACGGTGCGATGCATGCGATCCTCCTTGCCGTTTGATACGGATGTGTTCACTTTGTAGCTTGTCTTCTTACGCCAGTGCGTTGACTGAACAAGTCGAGATTGCGGTATTTGCCGCCGCCGTCCGTCCTGTGGACGTGCACTTTCACGTTATAATGCCTCTCGAAGAACACAAGAAAGCTTTCGAACACCTTCGCGGCCTGATCTTTGCCATGAAGATCCACACGTAGCTTGACTTGTGATCCGCGAAATTGATCCAGTGCCGGTTCTTCTTCTTCTTGTCCGTTGGTACTATCAGTCTTTTTTTAACGCTGCCGACAACACCCCTGACTACCTCGATCAGCGCGTTGCGACTGCTGTCCTTCTTGGGCCGCGTGATCTTTTCTTTCTTGCCTTCCAAGCAGGTCAAAAAATTCTCACGAGCTTTGTATGTCACTCGATTCCATTTGCGGGGTCACGAGCTAGACGCTCGACATCGTCGTAGTTTAAATGGGCAAAACGTCTGTGAAACGATGTCAAACTGGCTCTACGCGACGTCGTCTCGGGCGGTGCAGACTCGCGTATCAATGCAAAATCACCTGTCTCAGCACACCGGCCTTTTGTTTCTCAATGTCTCTATCGAACACGAAAACGTTCTGCTTAATTCGGACGCAAATTACAAGTTGTTCACCGCGTGATTTCCGCCTTGTCCCACAGACGAAATCCGCGCAGCATGAGTGGACCAAGGGAGATTAGATTGATCGTGAGATGCGGCACCATCTCGTGATCAATCCTTGCTTATCTGTACGATATTCTCTTTACTCTGGTAGCGAGAAGACACATCTCAAGCACATGGGTATCGTGCTCAAGCGTCTGCAGAAGTATGATGTTACTTTCAACGGCAAGAAATGCCACATTCTACGCGAGTCTATTGACTATCTCGGATTCACTCTTACATCCGAGGGGATACAGCCCCAGCAGAGGAAGATTCAAGCAATCCAACAGATCGCCGTATCCAAAACCAGGAAGGAACTACGCCGCTTTCTCGGGATGATTAATTACTACAGGGACATGGTACCGAACACGACAAAATTATGCCAGCCACTTAATCGCTTCACCAGCGCCAAAGTCCCGTTCGAATGGCTATCCAGTGGCACGGAAGCATTTCACGCTGTTCAGAAATCGTTTGCGCAAGCGGTCCTGCTCGCATTTCCCGATTTCGAGCAGCCATTTTACGTATATGATAACGCCAGCGGTAAGCAGATCGGCGGTATCATAATGCACAGAATTAGATCCTCGCATGCTACTCGAAAAGTCTGAACAAGCACCAAGTAAATTACACTACAATGGAACTCGAGCTTCTTTCGATTGTGGGAATTTTGCGCGAATACCGCACCATGATTCTCGGTTTTCCGGTGGTCGTTAACACCAGCCACAAAAACCTCATCTATCCTACAGAAATCAGCCTGCAATTCAAGTGCTGGAAGCTTCTCCTCTCAGAATACCGCCTCTCAACGCACTACATCAAGGGAACTAAAAACATTGGTGCTGACGCTTTTTCGCGGATGCGCTTTGACAACTTAGCGACAGCATCTAAGTTGCAGCTTGTGGAAGTTTGTTCGACGACCGGTGATCCAGAATGTGTCAGGCATGTTCCTGTCCTACGCGATCACCAAGATGAAGACGCCATAATTCAGAAGATCAAGACTTCATGCCTCAAAGGCAGCAACAACCCCGACTATCAGCTTCTACCGCCACTCGGCTGCACGCTTGTTGCGTACCAAAAGCGCGTCATTGTGCTTGACAGCCTGCGCGATGACCTAATCAATTTTAATTAGCGGAGTGATAGCCACCATGGCAGTGAATGCAAGTACAAGACGATGAGACAGGTGCTGTACTGGTCCGGCATAGAAGCCGCGATAAACAAGAACACACAGAAATGTATCGTTTAAAAGAAGGCCAAGGTAAATGGCGGCAAGCAAGATTACGATTTATTGCCACATCGGACAATCAAGACAGTGGACCGTTTCGACACCGTACATGTTGATCTAATTGGTCCCTACGAAGATGGATACTATGGTATTACAATGGTCGATCACGCCACGCGTTGGCTGGGAGTAGGTAAATAGCCCGATAAAAGTTCTTTGACCACAGCCGAGATCTTCGATCGTGAATGACTTTGCAGATACCCACGTCCGGTGAAAGTCAACCATGACCTTAGGACGGAGTTTATTGGTCAAGATTTACAAGATATGATAAGCAGCTACGGAATCCAGTCCAAGCCCATAACAAGCAAGAATCCACAAGCGAATGCGATTTGTGAAAGTGTTCGACTGGAGATTTTGAATGTCATCCGCTGCTACGATGGAGTTGAATGAAAGAAGACCATACAATAACCTGCGTTCTTCGTTAGAGCTAGCTACCACAGCATACTCAATGCTTCGCCAGGTCTGCTTCTCTTCGGGCAAAACATGATCACCCGCCAACTTTACAATGCAAACTGGAGCTACCTCTCCAAACGCCGTTTTGATGCAATCCTCGCTGACAATGACTGCGAGAACAGCAAGCGACTCGATCATTTTTACATTTGCGGCGACCACGTGATGCTACAGGTTCCCAAGCAATTTCGTGCCAAATTTTGCGCCGTGGCACAAGGACCGTTTCTTAAACGCACAGTTCATGATGACGGAACTGTCACAATTGACAACGGAAAATCGACCGAGCGCGTGAGCATCCGCCGAATTTTTCCATCCTGATGCTCACAGATAATGGGGGAGTATGAAAAAGGTGGTATCGTGGATGACCTGCGAGAACAGAAGATGATGACCAAGGTGATGATCAAGATAATGGCCAAGATGATTGCGCAACTACTTTCATTTATTGAGTGAGTCTAGCCTACCATATAACCCTCCAGAAAAAGCACATTATCAATCTTAAATTTGACTCCGCTAGTCTCTCAAGCAAGGCTAGCGGACCGATCACCCCTCTGCAACCCACGGGTGTGTCATTCAGCCGAGTAGCCTTAAAAGTTGGTGGTCGGGCTTGTTGCTTCCTTTGAGGCATGAAGTCTTGATCTTCTGAATTATGGCGTCTTCATCTTGGTGATCGCGTAGGACAGGAACATGCCTGACACATTCTGGATCATCGGTCGTCGAGCAAACCTCCACAAGCTGCAACTTAGATGCTGTCGCTAAGTTGTCAAAGCGCATCCGCGAAAAAGCGTCAGCACCAATGTTTTTAGCCCCCTTGATGTAGTGCGTTGAGAGGCGGTATTCTGAGAGGAGAAGCTTCCAGCACTTGAATTGCAGGCTGATTTCGGTAGGATAGATGAGGTTTTTGTGGCTGGTGTGAACGACCACAGGAAAACCGAGTAACATGGTGCGGTATTCGCGCAAAATTCCCACAATCGAAAGAAGCTCGAGTTCCATTGCAGCGCAATTCACTTGGTGCTTGTTCAGACTTTTCGAGTAGCATGCGAGGATCTAATTCTTTGCATTATGATACCGCCGATCTGCTTACCGCTGGCGTTATCATATACGTAAAATGGCTGCTCGAAATCGGGAAATGCGAGCAGGACCGCTTGCGCAAACGATTTCTGAACAGCGTGAAATGCTTCCGTGCCACTGGATAGCCATTCGAACGGGACTTTGGCGCTGGTGAAGCGATTAAGTGGCTGGCATAATTTTGTCGTGTTCGGTACCATGTCCCTGTAGTAATTAATCATCCCGAGAAAGCGGCGTAGTTCCTTCCTGGTTTTGGATACGGCGATCTGTTGGATTGCTTGAATCTTCCTCTGCTGGGGCTGTATCCCCTCGGATGTAAGAGTGAATCCGAGATAGTCAACAGACTCGCGTAGAATGTAGCATTTCTTGCCGTTGAAAGTAACATCATACTTCTACAGACGCTTGAGCACGATACCCATGTGCTTGAGATGTGTCTTCTCGCTACCAGAGTAAACAAAAGAATCGTCCAGATAAACGACGAGAAAGCCCTAGTCCCAAATACCTTTTCCGTGCACGCTTGATGTTCGTCCAGCACCGAAAAATTCCCATCGGGACCCGCCTATTCTAAGACTTTCCGAAAGGTAAGCAGAAAGCAGTATAACTATGGCTTGACGAAGCGAGACGACGCGCGTAGTACCCCATGTTTGCATCCCGCGTAGAGAGACACTTCGCTCCCGCTAGACGTAACAAAACCTCCAGAATGTGTGGTACATAGTATGGGCTGCGCTGCAAATACCGGTTGAGCCCACGAAAGTCGATCAGAAGACGAAGTGTATCGTTGGGTTTCTTCAGGAAGAACGCTGGCGATGCCAGTTTCGAATCAAATATCTTTCCAGAACGTCGATGCTAATCAGATGCTGAATAAACGCTTGGGCCTTTCCTTCGAGGCAACGAGCGACAGGACATGGCCTGGCGCGAACGGGCTGGTAGTTAGGCGAGATAGGTAGAGTGTAATCATCGAATCTCATCCTATTCAAGTCCTCATCGTACAAGCTCTCGCTATTACGAAAAAACTGATGATGTTTGTCGACGAGAGAGTTGGGTACTTGTCGGGAATGAGTTCTTCTGGGCGCACTGCACGTTCAGCGATTTCTTTGCTTTCTTCGAGGAACTCGTAATCGCTCACCTCGAAAGAGTGTGACCCACCGGAGCTCAGGTGCGCGTAATGACCATCCCACTGAACAACCTTTATTTGAAATTGAGCGTAGTTCCCAATGAAGTCATGATGTCACGACCAATCACCATATCATTTTGGCTCTTCTCCAAAATTTCGAACCTGTGAGTGATGATGGCCGAAGGCTTGAGGGATGCAAATCGGAACTGAACGACGGCACTGCCATCACTCGTCACCTCGCCATTTACTGTCTGAAAATTGGTCGTCGATGCGATTTTTATACGCCCGAGCTAGAAATTGGCCTGCATAGTCTTCTGGTTGATGATGTTTAATGACGCACCACTATCTAGTAGCGCATCGAAGGTGCCGTTAGCGTTCTAAAGATAAACCTTGATGCGCAACGGAGCGAGCTTGGTGCTGGTATGCTTCTTGGCGACCATGCCTACGAGCTTAAACTCGCTGTTGCTGTCGCTGTATCTTGACTCTCCTTCAAAATGGGGATACTTGTTCTTGCTCGGGACAGTTGTCTTTATCTCAGCGGGCTTGTGCTCCTCGCGCTGCTTCTTAATAGCGAAGCTCTCGCTGGAGTTGTGAGGTCTCGCTTTGTGGAACTTGCACCACATACCATTATCATCTTGGCGCTCGTTTTTCTTTTTGTCGTCTGTCACAGTCCGTTTGTGAAGACGAATCTCGTGTAAGTCACGATTTTCGCGTTGGTCGCGTCGATCTCTGCAGTCATAGCGGTCATTGAACGGTCCGTTGCTGGTCGCGCCGACCTTGACACCTTTCACCATGTCTTCCTTGACCATTCTAGCGATCCCGTCCATTCTGTCTTTCGCGTATTTCAAGGCGCTCAAAGTACATCGCAATTTCTGTTATGGTTTCTTAGGAGATTTCACAAAACGCAAGCTTGTCTTGCCAGTCTAGAGGTTTAGCTTGGCGAAAGTAGCGATAGTGTTGAACCTCCGAGATGTTTTGCGCATCCTGGGGCACTCGGAGTACATTTGAGCAAGCTCTCGCAGACGTGCCGAACAGCATTGAGCTGTTTCGTCGCGGCGCTTGGTAAGGCTCCAGAGCTACTCATCCAGGTCTTCACTGCAGTCCGCTGGAACAAGGAGTAAGCCGACCTCATGGTAGAAGTCCTCGAACGTATATCCTTTCTCGGAAGATTCGCTGGAGATGCTCTCGACCTCGCGCGATAGATCGCCGTTGATCAGCGTGAGCATTTGAACGGGGAATTGGTCTGCACCACAGCCTTTTCTTTTTGCGATACTCTTAAACTCCATGCTACATGTAAGCCAGTCCTTCGAGGATTCTTCGCAAAAGCATTAGATTTTCATCGTGGCGATGTCATCTGGTGCGGTCGCACTTTCTTGTAACGTCACGATTGTGTACGTGAGGTACTCAGCCTCGTTGTTCCGTCCCATGTTGAAGGCGACATAATTCTCGATCTTGATTGGACAAATTTGAATATCAAAGCACACGTCAATCAGCTCGATCCAGACGTTCTTCTGGTCCACCTTCACGCGCATCTTGGTTTTCCCGCGATTCACCACACGCAGTGCTGACGTCTGGCAGCGTGACGCTCTCTGGATCGTCGCACGCTGTCCAGTCGCACAGCAACGAGTCATTTAGTACCAGGTGCCGACCAGCACTCGAGTCTACAATCCAGTCGTCGTTGATGAGTGCATTGGATACTAATCCCGCCAAGCCTTATGTAACTGTCTCGACACCTTCCTCATCCTTTGTCTTGTTAGGAAAGAAATGCACAACGTTTCCCACCGTTCAACGTATGTTGCAGACGCGCGTGTCTCCTGATGATGCTGTCGTCGACGCTGCTACCGCCGCCTTCATCGCTCATGGGACGCACTTTTCATTGTCCTCACATGTCTGAGCGAATTGGGTGATCTCAAGCGCGTGAATAAAGAAGTCTGTGCGTCGCTTGTAATACTGCGGCACCAACACTGGCCTTATATCTGGACTGGCGTTCATCACGAGCTTTTCGGGGATGAGGGAAGCAGACGCGCCGGTGGTTTTTTTTTAACATCCATCAGGAAGAGATAGTGCGCATGCCATGAGTCGATCGAGCTCTTTCTCGTCCTAAACAATTCGGATACTTGCGAACTCATGACCGCAAGAATGCGGCATACGTCTCGTTCATCGCGCAGGCTTGCGTGCGCTCTCTTCTTCATTACTCGCTGCGCAGAACGCTGAGGAAATCATCATCTTCCGATCTAAGACAGCTGCCAAGTTTGCTTTTTTTTGTAGCTCTCCGGCCACAGGTAGCCGCAGGCTTCCCGGGCCATCTCGAGTTCTCTCTTTTACCCGCTGTAACAGGGTGAATCGTTACATAACAATTTATAAGAAATTGTTGATAGAATATAACTATAAGAGTTATATTCTCAGAATATTGTCATAAGGACAAATATTCTGCAGCACTTACAAGTAGTTCTTAATTGGTTGATATAGGCCATTATATCAACCAACGAAGACGCGCCACGACAGACGCACGCAATGAGTGGTGAGCAGATATTTCATTTACACATTTGTATTTAGACATAGTTAGATGAAGATAAATAGTGATTTATTGCAGACATTAACTATTATAAATACAGTTCTACTTTTTACTTTAACCAAGTACTCGCTTCTCCTTACCGTCTCCCTCTGCACGTACGAGTGTACGTGAAGTTACGAGGCACCGCCTTATTCTGTCGTCAGAATAAGTAGCTTGTACTGTCATCAGTACAAGCTTCAGGGTGCCCCGTTACACCTGGTAGCACTTCGTTGTCCGTCCAAGGACCGCGTTCACATCCAACATGAATATGTTGGATGATGAAGATGACCAAAGCTTTCACGCTACGCGTGACGGCTACTCCCATTTGAGCGATGTCGAATGGGATGCGGTTGAACGAATGGGTTCGACCATGGGCATCCATGCTGTTAGCGTCATGCTAGAGGCTCTCAATAGAGATGCCCAACATGCTACTATCGCCAAGTTCATTCAAAATGAACTTGACGCAGAACGCGAGAAAGTAGCCTTGCTTCACCAACAAGGTTCTCAACAAGCAGAGTTGTTGAGAGAACAGGGTGCTCAACAGTTTGAACTGTTGAGACAGCAGCAGGCTGCTGCTGGCGGGTCGATGCACTCGCGTCGACCCGAGACCTTGAAGATTAACATCTCTAAGTATAGGGGAATCGAAGAGGACTCCCTCTTGAGATGGTTCGTCGAATTGGATGACGCCATAAGGGCGCGTCGCATCGACGACGGGGAAATGCAAGTTGCATTTGCCCAATCAAATCTGGCAGGACGTGCCAAGACTTGGGCACTGGGGCTCAAGTTGCACGACCCATATGCGTTTGGGTCGTTAGAAGTCTTCAAGTCGCGGCTCAGACAAACGTTTGAACCGCCTAAAGCTGAGTTCAGAGCTCGAACCTAACTCTTGAAGCTCAAGCAGGGTAAGCGTGATGTGCACGCTTACGCGCAACATGTACGACGTCTTACGAGTTGTATAAGTTCCAATCCGGTGGATGAACACACGTTGGTTTCGGTGTTCATGCAGGGTCTTGCGGATAGTCCCGTCAAGACTCACCTGTTCCGGCTTGAACTAGATTCACTAGAACAAGCCATTTCCATTGCGGAGCAGGAAGACTTCAGTCTGAGACAGGCTCGCGCCAGCTCGACATCATATCGTCAACCGAGACGATATGACAGCGGAGGTCCAGAGCCGATGGAACTCTGTTATGTAGAGAGCGATAAGGCTCGCTCTACAGGCTACAAGAAGTTGCAGAGATGCAACAGATGTCAAAAGACAGGACACTACGCTTACGAGTGTAGTGCCCCTCGTCCAGTGTCTCGCGACACTGGGCGTAGTGACCGTCCACCCATGAGAAAGGGGCAGGGACGAGGGTCCGCAGTTGGTGCAAAGACGCAACAACGGGATGGACCGTCAAAAAACGGACAGGATCAGTAGGTGCGGAGCACCCTACTGGTCTAGCAACGTCAAGAGAATTTGTAGGCCTCTTGATGAAGGTTGCTCCCAACACACAAACGTTGTGCGTTGCTGCTCTAGGTAATGAGGTCTCACTCATTACCTTGAAACTCGAAGTGACGAATAAGTTGTCCCTTCGAGCTCTAGTCGATTGTGGGGCGTCCAACAATTTTGTGCGACGCCAATCGCTAGAAGATGGTCACTTTAAATTCAGTGAATGTGACACACCTCCTACGAGGATGACGGTACGTCTTGCGACAGGCGCATCCGTAACCGTCATGAAGCGTATAGTGAAGATCCACTATACGCTAGAAGATACCCAATATGACGATGACTTTATCGTATTGGATTTGGATGACAAATTTGATGTCATCCTTGGAATACCGTGGCTCAGAAGGTACGAACCACGGGTAAACTGGCAACATCGAACAGTAACGATGCCTGCCGCTTGTTCATCAGATGGCCATCTGGTGAACGTTTTGGAGCGTCCACAAGCGTGTGGATGTACTACGAGTGAATGCGATGGCCTCACTTGTGGTACGGTCGTTAGTACGACTGCACAAAACCTTAGTGTACCAAACGGTTACACTTCGGAGCAAAGTTCCGGCGGCTGTGAGGAAACACAGGCTGCGCCGAAGGTCCACCACTTGAATAAGTCGAGTGGACCGGGACAAAGATGTGTCCCTATCGGGGAACATCTAGAAGAGAAACGATCGATCGCTCAGGTTAAGCGAAACGATAATCCTAGATCGACTGGAGCGTCTTTCGTAGAGGATCTCGCTGTGGTTGCGCAACCCCAGCTAGAGGAAGTAAAGGGAATAAGTCCCGATATTACAAATACGGCGGAAATAAGTTCCCCGAAACCCGCGGGAATAAGTCCCCGGGAAGCCGAAGGAATAAGTCCTTCGAGGCCTGAGGGAATAAGTCCCCAGGAAATGACAGAGACATTGAATGTCATAGTTAATAACGGATCAAGTGTAGGCGCTTATACACTTGATCCAATTGCGCCTCCGAAGTTGACTTCGGAGATCACTCAGTTGCCAACGCTCGAACATAAAAGGTTCTTGCGTGATCTGCGTAGTGGCAAAGTCAAGCAGATCTGCGTACTCGTCGCTGACGACGAGTGTGTAGCCAATATAAGGTCATCAACAGTGTTTACTGAGAACGAGAGAGTTCTCAGTAGTTCATCGATGGACGAGAGTGTCCTAGATGAAAAGACACGAATTGAGCGAAATGACTCCCAATCGTGGGAATCGCTCAAGACAAATCCTCTCTATGAAGATTTGGTTGAATTCAAGGATGTATTCCCTGAAACTGTTCCGTGCGAGTTACCGAAGAATAAAGGCACTCGACACGAGGTCGAGCTTAAACCAGGCTCGAAGTACTGTGTCATGAAGCAGTGGCCACTGCCTCGTGAACAAGTACTTGCGATCGACAAATTCTTTGCCGATCGTTTAGCTGCGGGCCATGTGAGGGAATCAACTTCCCCACATAGCTCTCCGACCTTCTGTGTGCGAAAAGCATTAAGAGGGTGGCGGATTGTGCATGCATTTAACAAGTTTAATGCTGCAACGGTACCGGCACAGACGCCGATACCGAGGAAGGACGTAGTCATTGATGGTATGTCAAAGAGTACCATCTTTTCGTCCATGGATTTGATGGATGGCATCTATCAAACCCTTATGCGAGAACGGGATATACCCTATACCGCAGTTAGCACGCCTAGCGGCATGCTCTGGGAAAGCTAGTGATGCCACAAGGGCTTAGTAATGCCCCTGCCACGTTCAACAGATGTGTATCACATCTGTTGAGACCAGTACGAGAATTCGCGCCGAGTTATTTCGATGAAGTATTCACCCATAGTCGAGCTATGGATGGAAAGTCGGACGTTGAGGTTCACAGGTACCACGTCCGACAGGTTCTTACAATCATGCGAAAGCATCAATTGTATGCAAACCTCAAGAAGTGTATACTTGCAGCAAGTGAAATACCACTTTCTTGGGTGCATCGTTGGTAAGAACGGTGTACGTCCTGATCCCGAAAAGATCAAGGCGATCACCGACTGGCCTGTGCCGGTTGATGTCAAAGGTCTTCGAAAATTCCTTGGGCTAGCGGCGTATTTGCATAAGTATTCACGCAATTACGCCGAGATGACTGTGCACCTATCTCGTTTGTTGAAAAAGAACGAGAGGTGGTTATGGAACGCTGAATGTCAGCGCTCCTTTGATGGTATCAATCAGAGCTTGATACAATCCCCAGTCCTAGCAATAGTCGATCAGGACAGGCCATTTCATGTGGTCTGTGATGCCAGCGATTTCGCAATCGGCTGTGCATTAATGCAGTACGACCTAGAAGGCGTTGAACGCGTCGTCTGCTATCAGTCGCGTCAGCTGCAACCAGCTGAGCGGAACTATCCAGTGCATGACAAGGAACTCCTTGCCATGAAGTATGCACTCGCGAAGTTCAGAGTCTATCTATTAGGAGATAGACCTTTCATTGTTTACACTGACCATGCGTCGTCACTCACGGCAGTGAACAGTCCGCACCTTTCACAACGAATGGCGCGGTGGTTGTCATTCTTTGCAGAATACAACTTTACGGTAGAGTACAAACCAGGACAACTTAATGTCGTCGCTGATGCACTCTCACGTCGTCCCGACTTTGAAACAGTCGCGAAACCCAACAGTGAGACAGCCACTGTTGCGGTTATGACGTCCTAAGTCCCATCTACAACGTTGTATGATGATGTGAGGCGGGCATACGCCCAAGATGGTGAGATTGTGGAGTTGTTGACACATCTCTCACAGCCATCCCGAGAATCGTTGAAACGATTGTCGCCTGCGTATCGATCTGCATCAGATCGATACACTACTCGCAACGGTTTACTGTATTATACAGCCGTTTCTGGTGACACATCACGTGTTGTCATTCCAGATGATACTGATCTGCGTTTGCGGATCATGTTTGAGTATCACGATGCTCCTATAGGAGGACATCATGGCCGGGAGAAAACATATCTCACGGTGAGTCGAGACTTTTACTGGCCCCGCCAGTATCAGTTTGTGCGAAAGTATGTTCGCGCATGCGAAGTCTGCCAACGAGTGAAGTCAAGTCCTTCACTGCGTGCACCTTTACAGCCTCTACCGGTTCCGGCTGAGTGCTGGGAATCCATCTCAATGGATTTCGTCTACGGGTTACCCAAAGACGCACGCGGGAATACGGGTATTCTCGTATTTGTTGACAGATTCATCAAAATGGTACACCTTGTGGCTGTACCAGAGACAATCACGGCAAGCGGCTGTGCTTGTGTCTTTATCGACACCATCTTCCGACTTCATGGGTTGCCCCGTGAACTCGTATCAGACAGAGATCCACGCTTCACTGCTGATTTCTGGCGTTCCGTGTTCAAATCACTCGGAACGCGCTTGAAGATGTCGACATCTGATCATCCAGAGTCAGATGGTCAGACGGAACGTGCCAATCGTGTCCTTGAAGAGATAATTCGAGGATACGTACACTCCTTTAAGAGTTGGAGTGAGTTTTTGCCAATGGTAGAGTTTGCCATTAACAACTCGGTGCATGCGTCCACGACACATACACCGTTTTACGTGAATGGCTTGCGCCATCCGCGTGTACCCACCTTACTCGAGTGTAACTCTGGTTTAACGGGGGAGGGACTCGCGCGAGCAAAAACCGAATTGGTTCACGCTCATCACGCTCTGACGAAGAGGTCATTGCGTTTGATGCCGATATCGATAACATCGATATCGAAGAAGATGATGCCAGTGAGAGCGAGGAAGCCCTCACTGAAGAAAAGGTTGATGTTGCTGCAGTGCGCTCACAGCGCACTGAAGCTAACGAGTCATCAGATGAGTTCATACTGGCTCGTGAAACGGTAGTCCGTTTTGTGCAAGACTCCATCGACGAAGCGGTGGATAAGCAAAAGCAAAACGCAGACAAGAATGGAAGGGCAAACACTCTTATATTCAATAAAGGTGACTTAGTCCTACTGTCTACGGTTAATCTACCAAAGCATGTAGTGACTAACTTGGGTAGCAGTAAAATACTACCCAAGTACATCGGCCCATTTCGTGTATTGCACCGCCTAGGCAATGCATACACGATCGAGTTACCACGTAAGATGCAAACGCATCCCACGTTTTACGTTGGTCGGCTTAATCCGTACCATCCGTACGCTGTTTCTTCCGATGAAGAACGCCCTTGCGCTCAAGCATCTTGCAGAGAGCCTTGTGCTCCCGATGTTGGGCATCGACAAGGGTCTGAAGAGCAGTTATCTCAGCTCGAGACCGGTCAACGTCCCCACGAGCTACCCTTAGCTCGTCACGAAGAGATGCCAGAGATCTCTCGCTCTCAAGCTGAGCAAAGGCAAACTCAGCTCGATGCTTCGAGACAGTGTCCGCCATTTGGAGACGCCTGTCCCGCTCGTGTTCGAGATCGTTGCGTAACCCTTGCGTTACGCGATCAAAGAAGCTCTCGGGAACACACCGATCCACATGATCGTGTGGAGAGCGTCTTTCCTCCTCCTCCACCCCCATTAGAGGACTCTCGCGGTGGCCAGCGCTATCTAGTTGAGCGGCTGTTGAACCACCGCGACGTGAACGGACGTCGGACGAGTTACCTCGTCCGGTGGCGCGGTTATCCCCCGTCCTGGGATACTTGGGAGCCCCGCTCCCAACTGATGATCGACGTACTGGGTCTGGTTGAGCAGTACGACGCGGCACATCCTGTGCCGCAGAAGGGCCGCCGGAGAAAGTCTTCCCGGCACGGTCGTAAAGGGATTTCAGGTTGTCAATCCCTTCGTACATCTCAGTAGAGATACGTACGCGCCACCACGGGCTGGTAAGGAGGTAAGCCTCCTTAGGTGCTCGTGCAGAGTTGTTCACACAACATGGGCACGAGTCTCCCCATGAGAGGCAGGGTAATCTTTTCTCCCTTGACAGACGATGCAGCTTGTAGCGCGCACCTGTCGGGGTTCGCTTTTCAAACTTATCACGAGCTTTGATAAGTTTGTCGTTCCAAACGTCACGACCTACATCCTCAAGGTTCTGGATGTAAGCGTTCCACGCTTGAAGCAGTGAGGGACCATCACGTTTGTGATTCCCACTGTACCATCGATGTTTAAAGAAAGCATCGATGAAGAACTCATGTTCAGTGTGATAGTCTTTCGCACTGGGGTCAATGCGATGGATCCTTGATGAATCGAACAATCGTGTTCGATAACGATCACTTGTCGTCGCCGACAAGCGATCCATGGCTGACTTTGGAGGCATCCATGCCTTCTTTTCGGGAGCGAGACGCAACACGTTGCGGTCCCGCTCTTCCTGCGACGTGCCGACAGAAGTACTGGCACCTCGCTGCGAAGTGGTGTCAATAGGAGAACCGGCACCACTGTGAGCGCCCGAGTCTTGCGATCTCGAGCGCCTACGCTTTGGCGATGGTTCATCTGATTCGTCAGACAAACCAAAGATGATACGACGCGTAGCATCATCCATGCCACGCTAGGCAGGCGGCTCGGTTTCAACCGCCTTCGATACGAATCCCTCTTCCATATCAGGAGAGTATGAGACACCGAGATCATACTCTGTGAAGACATGAGTGTCTTCATGACGAGCGCCTGCATCACCAGGTGATACATGCTGAGTCGCTTCAGCAACCGATGACACATCGGTTGCAGCGGTTTCTGCTTCGGCGTCTGCATAGAGACGTGCAGACGCGCTCTCAGCGGCCTTGTTTGCGCACCGCATGGACTTGTTAACCATGCGATGAAACTGTTGGAATGTGGACTCGGACCAACAAGTGCAAACCCCGTCCCAAATGATTTGGGACGAGTATCCATTTAGTCAATCAGTCACTAAAGTGACTGATGGTTAAGGGGGGGGTGATGTAACGGGGTGAATCGTTACAAAACAATTTATAAGAAATTGTAGATAGAATATAACTATAAGAGCTATATTCTCAGACTATTGTCATAAGGACAAATATTCTGCAGCACTTACGAGTAGTTCCTAATTGGTTGATATAGGCCATTACATCAACCAACAAAGACGCGCCACGACAGACGCACGCAATGAGTGGTGAGCAGATATTTCATTTACACATTTGTATTTAGACATAGTTAGATGAGTATAAACAGTGGTTTATCAACAGACATTAACTATTATAAATACAGTTCTACTTTTTACTTTAACCAAGTACTTGCATCTCCTTACTGTCTTCCTCTGCACGTACCAGTGTACGTGAAGTTACGTGGCACCGCCTTATTCTGTCATCAGAATATGTAGCTTGTACTGTTTGTTAGAAAAAGGCACGGTTGAAGTTACAGTTGAGGAAACGGCTGACGACTTAGCAAGGCGTTTGAGGATCAGCTGAGTGGTTGATTGGACAGGTGCGTGGATGGGTGATTGATTGGACATGATTGATGGAGAACAAGAACAGCTAGTCCATCATGCTAGCACGAAAAAGACAACACTACAACCAATGTCAGAATACTTTTATCACAGTGCCACCGACTTCCTCTCCACAGCTTGCATCATGGCAAGCCAACAGGCTTCGAGCCCAAGAAAGGAAGGAAACGAAGACACCAACGCGTCACAGGCGCCGCCGGCAACCGGTCACGAAAGGGCCGCGCATGCTACGGTCGTCTCTCCCATCACGCTCGCATGGAGCGCGGAACCTGACGCACTGACGAGGGTTCTCGAGAATGTTACGGGTATCGACTTGCGAATGCAGAAGATGAAAGCGTCTCAAGCACGCATGGACGAAGACGAGCGCATGCGCGGCGCACACGAGATCGAAGTGTTCCGATCAGAGCTCGGGGTGGACTTCGCAGGGCGACTCCACGGCGGAGCAATGGAGCTTATGGACTTGCACGATTGGCAGCCTCAGCAGCAACTGCGGCGTGCACCAGCGCGGCTCGAAGACCTACGGATGCGAGCGGGAGAGCAGCTGCAGCAGCGTGCTAATCCGTTGCCTCATCCGCCTGCCTCATTTCCGCCATACCAGCCGCCACCAGTGCCCCAGGCGATGCCGGAAGCTCCAGGGCAGCCAGTGCAGTAGCGGCAACAATTGATGCCGATGCAGTATCGCACTCCGGATGCCAGGCAGCGCAAGCTGGCGATCCGCAAGTTCGATGGCACCGAGGTGTACGTTGGACTCGGGTCCGGCTTCTTCGACTGGGGCAAGGCGTTTTGGCGCCAGGTCGACATGGCACAGGAGTCTTGCGGTCTCCTGTGGAGCGAGAATGTGAAGACTGCCGTGCTCGGGCAGTACCTCACTGGCACTGCCGAGCGGTATTTCAGCAAGCAGGTCGACAAATGGTGGTCCGTGCTGCCTACATTGCAGTACGTGATGCAGCGCATGCTGGACACATTCAAGACGACGATGAACGCCGCTCAAGCAATGAAACTCTTCACGGCGAATAAAGAGAGCAAGAGATCCTGGCCAGAACGCTACTTGTATCTGGTCGCTGTCAGCGTCGCTGCGGGCGGCGCTGAGCAGCAGGTTCTGGACAACATTGTGCGCTACGCCTCGTCTGAGCTGTCGATAATGCCCATGGCGAAGTACCAGACGCACCGCATCGACTACCTCATGCACGCGGAAGAGATCGCGCCCTTTGCGCAAGCAATCGAGGTGGAAGCTTGATCAGGAAAATCCTTCGGGAAGGGGGTCTTCGCGCACGTGGACGAGTCCGTGTCGCGCAGGGAAACACGCAATTGCCACTGGTGTATAAGGTCGGCCCTGTGAAGAAGGACTGTCGCATCAAGAAGAATGACGACAAGAAGAGGGGCAGAAGCCCAAAAGACGGCGGCAGCATCACGCTAGCTGTTGGTGAAGGAAGAGGTCGCAACGGCTCGCGCGCCACCGGTCATAGTCTGGCGATGGCGATTGGTGACGACAGCGATGACGAAGATGACGACTGGATACTCGACTGCGATTCCAGCCGCCACCTTGTGAACGACGCATCCCTGCTGCGCGACGCGAGGGATTGCGATCAATAGTGCCACTTGGCAGATGGGGAGACCATCAAGTTAACGCAAGTCGGAAGCGTCGTGTCGACTGTGCTCGCGAGAGGACAGCAGCAAGATGGGACGCTGACAGACGTGTTTCTGGCGCCTGAGTTATCATGCAACATCATGTCCTACGGTAAGCTCGAGTTCAAGGGTTTCGGGCTCGTCTACGACGGCGAGTCGCGCGTGTTGGCACGGCGCAGCAATGGCCAAGTCGCGTTCGATGTGGTGATGACACACAATGTGCTCTACGTCCAGACAGTCGCAGCGGCTCGCTAGCCACGAGCTCCTAGCGACGTGCTCATGGCGATCCTGACGAGCCGAGCAGCTCTGGAAGACCCCGAGTCGGACACGCAAAGCGGCTCGCTGCTGCACTTCCACCAAAGGCTTGGGCATCTCGCGTACGACACCGTCGAGCGTATGGCGAGAGACTTCGCGTCCGGAATTGTGCTAACGGATCGCAAGCGCCCGACGTGCATCTCTTGCGCACAGGGCAAGCAAACAATGAACCTGCAGTCGAAGACGGAAACTGGATCAAACTCGCCGATCGACAGAGTTGGCGGGGTGATCTGCTCAGACTTCAAGGGTTCGATGATCCCGAAGGATCGTCTTGCACAATCGTTACCTTTTAAATTTGTCGATCGCAAGTCGAACAACTGTCGTCTTCCTGGCGCCTACAAAGGACAAGGCGGCCAAGAAGTTTGAGCACTTCCTCGCGTTCTTTAAGCGCCAGTTCGACTGCCGGATCCACGTGCTACGCACTGATGGCGGCGGCGATTACGCGAATGTCGACCTCTACTGCAAGCGAACGGGCGTCGCGCGGCAGATCAGCGAGGCGAGGAATCAGGCGTCAAACGGCAAAGCCGAGCGCATGCACAGGACGATCCTCAACATGGCGCGCAGCATGATCTTTGCCAGCCGACTGCCATTGACGTTTTGGGGCGATGCGGTTGAGTACGCGGCGTACATCCTCAACCGCAGCCCAACGAGCGCCAATGCGAAGCGCGCGTCACCGATCGAGGTAATAACGAAACAAGAGCCGAATCTGCGCGACATCGTCGCCTTTGGCTCTATCTGCTCGGTCTACCGGGACCCAGGCAAGAACTCGCTTGCGCAGCGCACATAAGTCGGTGTGATCATTAGGCGGAGCGACGAGACTAAGGGCTTTCGCGTCTTCCTCTTAAAGGAGGACAAGGTCACGATCACGCAGCGTGTGCGCAACGTCGAGACGCTCAGCGCAGAGCAGAACGGTTAGCTGCAGCGCGCGCTCGAGTATGAAGATCGAATCGTGGAGCCAGAGGCAACAGCAACAAGAAACAGAAAGTCGCCGGCTGCTGACGATGCCGCATCGCCGACGAATCGCATCGGCAAGGAGAAATCGAAGTCGTGGACACGCGCGGCTCACCGGACGCGCGGCGCAACCAAACACGCACAGGCGGCCGGCGATCAGGAGGAGCTAGCTGGCGACGACAGCGTGGTGGCTCATGTTTGTGAGTGCGATCCTAAGAACTACGGTGAAGCAATACGCAGCACTAAGCGTGAAGGCTGGGAAAAGGCAATGCGCAAAGAGCTCCAAGCCCTAGAAGACAATGGCGTGTGGCGCTTGATCAAGCGACCTCCGGGCAGCAACACTCTGCATACGAAGTGGGTCTTCAAGACCAAGACCGACGCGCACGGTGAGATAGAGCGCCTGAAGGCTCGATTGGTCGCCTGCGGCAACGAGCAAGTTTTTGAAGTCAACTAACAGCTTACATTCGCGGCTGTCATGGACATGTCGACCGTGAAGATGATCTTAGCGCTTGCGGCAATATGGTGTGTCCCAGCAAAGCATGGCGATATCCCCAACGCGTATGCCAAGGCTGACAAGGAAGCGCACTTGGATATACTACTCCAGGTGCCGCAAGCAATGACAATCGATCAAGACGCGCTCAAGATGGTAGGCGCAGCGAAAAAGAAGGAAGTAGTGCTGCAGCTACGAAAGAGCCTTTACAGCCTCAAGCAGGCTGTCCAACTCTAAAGCCAGCTCCTGCATGCTCGGCTGCTCGAAGCCAGCTTCCGGCATTGTATTTCCGACATGTGTCTATACTACCAAGTCGAGGGTGGGCAGTTGGTCATCGTGGGCGTCTACGTCGACGATCTACTTGCTACGGGCACGGACGCTGCAGCCGTCGACCGATTCTTTGTCAAGCTCGGCAGCTTGCCGATCAAGGACCTCGGTACCGCTAACAGGTTCCTCGGCATGCGTGTCAAAATTGACAACAGTGGCGGCTACGTGCTCGACCAGGCCGAGGCGATCGGCGAGCTCCTGCGTGAGCATGGGCTCGAGGACGCAAAATCGAAGAAAGCACCAGTGGGGCTGACTGCTACGACGTGCTACCAGATGACAGCGCGCTGCTCACCGAGACTAAGGTGCAGGGAGCGCCAACAATCAAGACGTTACGGTACCTCATCGACAGTCTGCTGTGGATCGCGCGTTGCACACGGCCGGACATTGCGCTCGCCGTGCACAAGGCGACGCGTCAGACTCATCAGCCGCGACTCCACGATATGAAGCTCGCCAAACGCATCGCGCGGTACCTGAAGGGGACGCGTGACTGCAAGCTTCGGATGGAACCAGAGAAGCACCTCGAAGTCAAGATCCAGCTCGAGGCGTACTCGGACGCCGACTTTGTGGCAAAGAAGAGCGACAGGAAGTCCTTGACTGGCGGCATCATCCACCTGAACGGCATGCTGGTCAGCTGGACGTCGAAGAAGCAAGGCGGCGTCTCGCTCTCGACGATGGAAACGGAGTTCGTCGCTGCATCGGAGCAGGCACGCGAGCTTCTTGGTATCAGGGAGATGCTAAACGAGATCGGTAAGCCGCCGGCGCTGCCGATGGTACTCCACGTCGACAATCAGGCGGCACTAAAGCAGCTGGCCGGCGAGGCGTCATCTCTTAAGGCCAAGCACATCGATGCTCGCACGAATTTCGTGTGCGACTTCGCTCGACGTGGATACATCGTGTCGCAGTACGTCCGCTCGGAGCAACAACTCGCGGATCTTTTGACGAAGGCGCTGGACGCAGTCAAGCTCGCGGCGCTGTGTGAGATGATCGGTCTCGATAAGGACGGTAAGTCGTAACCGAGGAGGAGTGTTAGAAAAAGGCACGGTTGAAGTTACAGTTGAGGAAACGGCTGACGACTTAGTTAGGCATTTGAGGATCAGTTGAGTGATTGATTGGACAGGTGCGTGGATGGGTGATGGATTGGACAGGAGTGATGGAGAACAAGAACAGCTCGTCCATCATGCTAGCACGAAAAAGATAACACTACAACCAATGTCAGAATACTTTTATCACAGTGCCACCGACTTCCTCTCTACAGCTTGCATCATGGCAAGCGAACACTGTCATCAGTACAAGCTTCAGGGTGCCCCGTTACAGGTACAGTGTACGAGCGTAGTATGTCGTGACAAAACTGCTTCAACACACCGTGTCATGTCCTGATCAAAGTTTCAGACCGTTTCACCTTTTGGAACATTCCCGCTATTATAACAAAAGTTGCGGAGTGGTGTAAATAGTTAAAAAAGTGGTGAATATAGTAAAAAGTGTGGTAGAAATAACAATTTCCTATTGTTATGGCCTGGATCGTATCAACTTTACATAATTTCAGGTTCAGCATTCGACTTTGGCAAAACATTTCGGCATTATTGAAATGGGCAGATTGCACAAACCCGGTATTGTAGCCTTCCTATACAAACGGTGCTAATGGAGGGGATGCATTTTCGCGATAGAACAACCTTCGCAAGGCGTGTATCCGATATACACCCTACCCCGTAACTTATGGAGTAGGGTGCTTGCATCATATTGGACCGTAAAAATTGGTTGGATGAAGCCAGGGTGTGTCCGTATACCTTCCTAAACAATTTTACTGACATCTGCCCGCGCGATATCCATCACGTCAATGACGTAACGATAGGTATCAATCTTCATTGGTGCGAGCCGCGCAAAACATTAAGATTCATGTAGGTTGCGATGCTGCTGGGTGAATACTAATCAGGGCGCGTCGTTTCGAGTTGAACGAAGGCACTACAAAACAGATCGCATGCGAGGTTCGTCTAACTGCGTGGAACTCCAACTCATGACCTTAGTATGGAAAATTCCGCTGATGCGATTCTGGACTTCTTGACACCTAAAACAGCGCATGTACCAGATGTTGATTGTCTGCTGTATGATTCCGACAGGCTCGCGAATGAATGGGCGATGATTGGGCGAGGTGTACAATAGTGGACAAAACCAAGCTACACATGTAGCTCGACCGGGCTATCGTGCGCGAGCCAGCCTGAATTGAAGCAAGCTGGCCACACTGGTGGGCCTGCTGGAAAGCCGACTGAATACCCTCGGCTTGCAGGTCGTTGTCTTTGATGTGCAAACTTGGACTGCAACCCTTTTGTGGCAGGAGGTCGAAATGCTGCACTCCGTGAATTATGATACAATGGAAGTGCGCACCCGTTAAATTGACGTCGGCGCTCGTATCTTTCACTTTACCAGCGACCAACGGCCACAACGTGCTGTATCGCAACATGGAACCCGTCCGTTCCGTTCTGCTTGACCTTCGTCCGATCGCGCATTGCTAACAAAGTCGTTTACTCTTGCCACGAGCGTGCACAACTCGTTTAGTCGGTACAGCATCGGCCACACGCTCTCTTTTCTGTTCCTGTTGCGTAATAATCTATGTGATCCGACGGCTAAAACCAACGGTACTACATATGACCACCCAACGCCGTCAACCCCTTTCTACCACAGCACACAAGTGTTCCACACAAGCATCATGAGTCGTATCCGCGACGCTGCCTCCTTCTTCTTTGCTCTAGTTGCTCATGAACTTCTTGTTCTGTGCAAATCCCTCCACCGACGCCTTGCCCAAGGGCGACGAGAGACAGTACGCCTGCAACCTCTTCATCATAGGCGTGTCAACTCGCGCAGGCACGTCTGGATCCTTGCCTGAAATGTAGTTGAAGATGTCAATCGTCTCCTCGTTCAGAATGTCCTCGTACTCCCGCAGCTCTTCGCTCGAGAGCTGCATGACGTTCTGACTGGCCCAGCGGCCCAGCAGCAGATCCACCTCCAGCCAGCCGCGCTGCTTGCTGCGGTAAATGACGCGCTTGCGGTTCGCCTCGTCTGCGTCGACCTCGTGCTCGCCCTGACTGGACGAGAGGAAGTCGCGCTTGGCGGCGTGATGGTCCGCACGAATGGCAGCATGGCGGTCGAGCGCCTTTCTGGCCTGTTCTTTCGACATGCCATGGACGAACGCGTGGTTGTCCACGTTTGTGTGCGTAGACAGGGCGCGCTGTAGCTGCGTCTGGAAGCCGCGACGCGCTGCCGCAATGGCGCGAGTCGGAGCGACCTTCATGATGGGACTCGTCGTGGGGTCTTGTCGGAGGGAAAGAAATAGTGGCGTGCGATTGGCTGTTATTGTGCGTGTCGGTGGTGGTGGTGGTGGTGACTGTATGTTTCGATCAAGTACGAAACGAACGCATCACGCCGAATGTAAAAACTGCTTTTTGCGTCTGCTTTTTTTCTTTTACTTTTTTTCGTCTTCAATCGTGCGGGATCAGATCGGATCTACGAGCGGAGTGCAGACGACAGACTCAAGATGAACGCGGGCGATGCGGACCGACAGATCAAGCAGATGGTGAACTTCATTCTGCAGGAAGCGCATGAGAAAGCCAACGAGATCCGCATCAAGGTAAAGGAAGAAAAAAGCAGAAGAGCTGTCGAGGAGAACCTGGGAGAGCGTCTCGGGGCCAAACGATGGCGCCATTCGGGCGCGGGAGCTCGTCAGAGGCAGTCGAAGAAAAAGAGCGAGAAAAAGAGGGAAAAAAGATGTGACGGACTCATATTTATGGCCAATCGGCACCTTGTGACTGGGACGTTATTTGATTTTGACAGACGGAGCATGATTTTAATCTGGAGAAGCAGCTGCTGGTGCACAATGCGAAGCTCAAGATCCAGGACGAGTACAAGCGCAAGGAGAAGGAGCGCGAAGTGAACAAGCGCATGTGCGTGGGATCGTGCTGTGGTTGGTTTGAGGAGAGGATACGGGTGAGCTAATCGTGACGGTGGGTGGGTGATTTTTTGTGGATGGATGCGGCTGTGTAGTGCTCGCTCGGCCGAGATCGGCGCGTCGCGACGCCAGAAGATGATCGCTCGTGACGAGCTGCTGAAGATGCTCATTGCAGACGGTCAGAACCAGCTGAAGAGTTACACGACCTCGGACGACAAGAACAAGGAGCTGCTGCGTGAACTCATCGTGCAAGGCCTGATCAAGCTGTTTGAGGCAGACGTGGTGGTGGCTGTGCGCGTCAAAGACGTGCCACTCGCAGAGATGGTGTTGAAGGAGGCCACGGAAAAGTATATTGCTATTGTAGAGAAGGAGGCCAACCAGGACGTGAGCAGGGTGAAGGTGACACTCAACAAGGCTGCTGACGGCATGGTGTCGGACGGCAAAGCCGGTGGCGTCATTTTGTATGCGAAGCAGGGCAAGATCGTGTGTGACAATACATTGGACACGCGATTGAGCCAGATCTACTACGATCTGAAGCCCACGGTGCGCAAGATGCTGTTCCCGACTCCGTAACTCAAGATTCCACGCAGAAAGACGTGCCGAAGGGAAGCCACGCTGGGCAAAGTGATGGAGTTGGAGAACGAGCGCCAAGACGTCGCTGGGTTTTGTGGCACTCGTCGTAATTTGTTGCAAACAGCGTGGGCGTACTTGTGATTGCGATATGGTGACTGCACCGATTCTGCAGACTCTACTGTAGCCATTCTGCCTTTATTTTGTTTGTTACGACAACACGTACCTTGTCAAAAGACGATATATAGGTCACGGAAGTAACGGGTTGGCTATCGGCTTCCATTTGCAGAAAAAGAGTCGTCTTCTCAAAGTGTTCTGTTCGATTTGGACATGTGCGTCAAATATCTAACGACAGTTTTGCGGTCACCAATACAGGTTATTTTCGCATTGTATGTTAATTTTTTCCTCCGCATTGTTCGGTAAATTTTTCTCCGAGATAAATCATTGTTCTCATCCCGCGTCCCACCCCGGTGGACTAAACCTCCCCATTCAGCGCCGGACGGACCCCTGATACAATTGTACACGTTGTTCGGCTTTTGGAAGATACTTACGATCCGGCACTACGCTACAATTACAACTGCAAGTTTAGCATGAGCGACAAACCAGTCACGACGTAAGAGCACGACGTTTCTTTAGACATTCCGTGCGTTCTGTTGTGGTCTTTCGTATGCTCGTACTAGGCTTTAATATGAGAAGCACATTATAAATGGGTTTAAGTTTCTAAAGCTCTTGCGGCAACTTCGGTCTTGACACTCCATCACCTTTAGTTTCGATGTGACGGTGCGGAGTTTTGCAGACAAAGCTAGACCAAACAAATATGGAAGTCAATCGTCGTTTTGAATGCCATGCAGCTAGAAAGTTATGCAAGTCGATCGCCTGGCCAGTGCCTTGTAGATGCAGAGCCCTACGACGAACGCCAATTGGTGTCAAGCACTTTTGCACTAACGACGGAGCCTGTGATATAGTGGAAAAGTTATCTGATGTGAGGATTTGTTTTGAACTTGTGGTGCTGGGTGGCGAAGAGTTTACACTTGTAGACGACAATGTCTCGAGCAAACAGCAGAGGATCGTACGCATTATGGAAGCTCACGGTATAAAGAGTGGAGGACTATTGAGAAACATGTGCCAGCAAGAGCGACTGCTGAGGACATGAACACCAAATTGGACGACGTGGATATGACTGATAACATGGTAAAGTCAAATTACGTGATAATGTAAGAGTGCAGTCAGCATGTTGAGACGTTGCTGTGGTCTCTATAATGCAGAATGTCCTAAGATGTTGACCGGAAAGACAGCAGGCGATAAGATCGAGGACGACGTTGGTGTGAAACGATTTATTGCACTGATTGCTCAGCACAAAATGCCGACATCCAAGTCGAAGCGCTTGGCGACGAGATAGTGCCATGGAAATAGCCATGACGCCCTCTGCATTCGTGGTCGAGCACACTGACGATGATACGGACTACACTATTTTGGCTACTTGTTCCTGGTTGGAACGTATCATGATGCACATCCAAAAATTTAAGATCGTGATAAAGAGGAGGCGAAGAAGCTGCTGCTGTCATTCGGCGGTCTACGTAAGATTCAAGTCACGGATCGCAGCATCGAAAGTACCGCACTCCAGAGCGTAGTGGTTGTCGACATGAGTATGGATCTTTTAGTTTTTTTCCCAGTGACTTTGTTTATCCCAGATAAGCTTCATTTCGAGAGGTGATGATCGATAATGTCGTTACGGGTTGCTTCTGCCGCAGTGGACAAGGTCGATCACTTAATGTACCGAAAATGGACTTCTTGCAGATAAACACAGCAGTGTCTCCGCTGTGCGCGCATACTGTTTTCACAATGCATGGCTAGGAAGACGTGGATAGAGCTGACACAGGATAAGGAAGCGATGGCGCGTCGTGGTCGGTCGTCGTGTTGTAGTACAAGTGTTGAAGTCACGAAGCTATTGAAGCTGCTGACAAGCGTCAAGTGCTACGTGTAGCACAGTAGCCGCCCTACACCTTACGAATATGGTGAATGATAGTGTTGTTGATTATGTAAAGGATAGACATGCATTACGACGACGTCATACTACGAGCGACAAAGTCTTCGCTAGACGTTAAATCAGTAACTGCTGCCTCTTACACACAACCCGCTAGCAAATTTGATATCGGAACACTGCCACAACCTAGTGATACGATTTTTGCAGATACTTTATCGACGTTATATTTCATTCTGTAATCGATGTCGGATGATCGATCTTTCCTGTTATATCCATTTCACGCAGCTGTATCGTAGCAACGACTGCATACTCAAGATACAACAACACGCGACTCTATGATAATATATCCGTCCGAAAAGTACGGCATTGTATTCTCGTTTACTATTACTATTGCGTTGCACAAGTTGTCATTGCCAGTGGTACAGCTGCTTAGCTCCTAGCATACGTCTAATTTACATCGTTCAAAGCAACTGTTGCAATGTTCTTGTTATGATTCGTACTACAATGCTTCGAACAGATGACCGAAAGGGTAGACAACAACATTTATCAAGTGGCGTACAAAAGCTTAGCGTTCTCTATGCTGAACTGCATTGCCTGTGTCGTTCGTCCTTTCATTTACTTCCACTCGACACCCGATCCTTCTTCGTCTCCTTCGGCAGGCGGGTGGTCCTCGTCTTCCAGATACTCCATGAGTTCGCTTGTGCCAAATTTATCCATGTACTCGTCCTCGTTCATGTCACCGTAGACTCGGTGCTTGTTGTCCACCATGTTCTCCCAATGGTCTTCCAACGCCATAATTCGACGAGTGTCTGCACGCATCAAGTGCACCACGATGTTATTGCAGTCAGCAATCATCCAGTCGTCGCACTCGCGACCTTCTACTCCATAGTCAAACTCATCCACAATGTCTCGTGCTTTCATCGACTTAATCAACATGTCGGCCATGCGCCGCATATGCGACTGCGATTTGCCCGTAGCAAACACCATAAAGTCAGCCAAACTGGTTTTACCAGCCAAGTCCACAACGTACACGTCGATGGCCTTCTCTCGTGCCAACGCTTCTTTGACCTCGTCAATGGTCAAATAAGTCTGAAGAATGGGCGGAATCAGGTCAGCATGGCGAGTTCCCGTTTCTGGAGCAAGCCACTCCATGTCTCCAGCTTCCTCCCGTGCAAACTCCATGGCATCGCGTTCAGGGAAGTTGCGTGGCGTGTCCAGGTCGCAGTAAAGCGCCACGAGTTCATCGTATGCTTTTGCTGCATCCAGTGCCGTCCAAAAGTCGCCACCGCTGATCACGTTTCCATCCATGTCCAGCTCGGCACTGTACTTCTTCACTTGGTCGGCATTGTAGACGACCCCCAAGTATTCCGAGGTCGGAATGGTCGCGCTGTCATCTTTGACCTTGGAAGACTGGGCAAAGTGACGAAGAAAGCAGTTTTTATCAAGCGGAAGTTGAAAAGAGGCGGCATGTCTCAGTTGCTTGAGATAGGAGCAACGACGAGTCCCTGCAGGACGAACGGCAGTCGTCGACAAGCGGAGCGCTCGATGAACTAGTTGCGACCGCATGATCAGAGGTATCAGCAATAAATAGTCTTGTGAAAAACCCGTGGTGAGGACGTGCAGGACCATAAAAAGTATGCTTATAAAAGCACTAGCTTTATAAAGCGACTTATGCTCTTTTATAGGTCGAATCGAACGGTATGTTGTCATTGTTTTCGTCTAATGTCAAGAGATGCCAGATGATGGTGCCTTAACGTGACGTGTAGCCTTATAACGTGACTGATAGGTTTTGATACGTACCGACGATATATATCAATCGCACCAACTTATGAACTAAAAGGTCGCACAAAGAGACAATGTCGGTAAAAACAAGCTCTCACCTACTTCGTTCGATCGCTCTCTTCATATTCGATGTCAAAGCAAATATGTTGCACTTGTGCTAAGACAACTACGAGCTGACATTGTAATACTCTTGATGGTGTTGATGTATGATGGCATAAACGTTTGCGAAAGCGACCATGTTAGAACAAGAACTGCTTTCTCGTTTTAGTGCAAACACAACACTGACATGTACACAAGGCTTTACAAGTCTTCTTCGTCTCAGGCCGTCAGTCTCCGACTGCTCTCGAACTGCACGCCTGGTCGCATATATCATCCTGTTCGCGTAGACTAAACTGTTTTCTTTTCCAATACGCCTCCCCCACAGCAACACTTCGAGCACTTGATTACCCCGTACACACCGATCATCGCCTAATCGAGTGGCTTGGTAAACGCGTTAGTGGGATTATCATCACTGCGAACTTTTACCAGCTCCACCAATTTGCATTGCACTTGCTCTCGTACGTACTGTCAACGCATCTCGATGTGTCGTGTCCGTCTGCTATACGTTGAATTTGTTGCCACTAATCTCCACACGAAGCCGAATGTACATCTTGCTACGAAGACGAGCATTTTGGAGTGACAAGCGGCAAGACTACCACGAGCGCTTAATGTTCATCCTCAGTCACGGGAGCTGATCAAAGGCTGACGACGATTCATGAATAGTACGATAACGAGCACCTAAACCACTTCGAGCACAATTTGGAGATCTAGCTCGAGCTGTAACTTGTCATTTAAGCAGCGGGATGTAATGGAGATATACTCTATACATGTCTGATCGACTGTCGATTTCAATGTGCATTTTGCAGCACTCCTGTAGTGATGTTTGTTAAAAACGATCATGTTTGACAGGTTCGAGGATCAAGGGATATACCATGTGACGGTCTCATCTTATTGGCCAGTGGTGTTACCAGGTGACATGTGGGACCACGAGGAGACGATCGGACAGAAGGGACAGGAAGAGACAGGGCGAAGATGTGACAGATGGGATGGCAAGGTGACAACTTGACGGTTGGGACTAGGCGATACCGTTGCAATATGTGACCGACGTACGAGATGTGCAGGAAAGACGGATGCCATCAGGGAAGTACATGGTCAAGTTGCAGTGCAGTTGCGGTGCATGTTGTAGCATTGACGAAGGAAAGTAGTTAATGCTAAATTTATTTTACTTTTACTTTTGACCACCTCTGCACAAGCGCACAGCAAGAATCTTAAACTAACAATGTTTTGTTCAGTCGTAGCCTCCATCATAGCCTCCATCATAGCCTCCCACGCCCGTATGTAATCGGCCTCTGCTGTGGATTGCGCAATTATTCGTTGCCGTTCAGAGGCCCATGAGACGGCGCCGTTGGCTAATACAAATACAAAGCCTCTGGGTTATCTTACGACTTTCACTACCACTAGCCCAGCCGCTGTAAAATATCCATTTAGTCTGATCTCGACTTCGTGACAATCACGGTCGTGAGTTTGGCGATTGTAGTAAATTACTTGGTTCGTGGTACCATCCAACTAGCGCAAGACACGTTTCATACACTATATGTGCTGAGTCGTGGGTGCGGCACTGAGTTATCTTAGCACATACGCCGGATTGGGTTTAGTGCGAGTTGCTTAGTACAGATGCAAACCGACAGCACCACGGTAGCCAAATCTAGCTTCCACCTTGTCATTATTATTTGCTGGTTGCAGGTGAAAATTTGACTCCATTGAATTCCAAATAGCGTGGGCGTTCTCATGCCCGAATTTGTTTAGAATCTCTTTTGCACACTTCACCTGATTGATAAATCTATAGACATTGGTCATCTCAACTTTAATGTTGAGATACGCCTGCAGACCGCCTTGATTATAATCCCCATACTGCTAATCAAGCTGCTCAGACAATGTCCTCTTCACACTCTCGTTTTTTGTTGCAAGTAAGATGTCGTACATGGCATGATTATTGGCAAGAGTGACGAGATCAAGGGCTACAGAGTTTTATTCCGCGAGACAAGGTCGTCGTGGTGACTCAACATGTGAAGAAAGTTGGAAACATGTCGAAGGAGCAGAACAAGCAATTGCGGTGCGTGCATCTCACGGACAAGCATCCACAAAGTTTCTCTGTGGGGAAGTCAAAAGGGAGCGCGCAAAAAAGATCCTGTACACGCAGGCGTCATCGCACAAGGTCAGTGGCTATCCAAGGTGATGTCTCGGAAGCGAAGGAACAGATCTGAGGGGTCTGGGTGTGCAAAAGCGTGAACAGCGTCCTCGACCCAGGTCCCAAGAGCTATAGATTGGCGATGCGAAGTCAAATAAAGGACAAGTGGCAGGTTGCGACGTCTAAAGGATTGCAGTCTCTTAAGGATTATGTAGGCAAGATGCGTGTTGCGAGAAGGAAGCCGTAAGTGAACAATGATATTCTGCGCTTAAGCTCAATGTTTCCTCTTCTACCGTGCTCTTCTTCTAATCCTTCCCCACCACTCATCTTGCCAAGCAGCTGTCCTGAATTCTTACCATCGGAACAGTTGACGCCAATCAACACAACGCGCCGAATCTACGATACACCCAATGGCACATCCCTTGTTTTCCTACACTCTTCCTCAAGTACGTCTCCGTTTTCGTCTTTTTCTCTTTACCTCTGTCGTCTTCTTTCTTTCGTCCTTGCGCTCCTCACGTGCGCCCCTGTCTTTATCGCGCACTATCACGCAGCCATCTCGCTCTCTTGCTCCTCCGTGCTTGTGCGTCCTTGAAAGAGCAAATCTCATTATCAGTACCACATATGTCCAAAAGTCCCAAAACCAGGACTATAGTTTAAACAAGTCTAAAATTGTTAAACAAATAGTGTAAGCCACATTATACTCAACTGAAACATGGGATATGAAACTGCCTGATTACTAACGCGTCTTTCCATTTTTTAGACAACTGTCGCGAGAAGTAAAAAAACGCTCTATTTTACCAACGGTTAGTTCACTTCTCAATTTGCGCCCACGAGCCAATGTGCCCATTTTGGGTTGGGCACTTTGCGTGCAAGCCATACATATGTTCTTGCTTCGTCCACTACTCATCTTCACCTTGCACTGTCGATTTTAATTTAAACAGTATATTTTTATGTACGCGGTTGCCGCAACGCCAGTTCGAAAGGTTTTACCATAGGTCAGGTCAGTAGTACCATGATTAGCGTCAATGCCGATTGCTGCAGTCACTCGAGACATCTCAAAGACTTCTTTCAGTCCACTTCTTGCGCTTACGTTTTAACGCTCAAACTAACCATTCAAAATAATCATTATGAGGTAGTGAACAAAAATTAAATTATAACTTTTTAATGCTTTTAATACCAGTACTAATTTCTGAATGAATATTATGCATGTATTACACTTGTCGTTATATCACGCCCTAGTCAGTCAAACAATTTCTTCGCACTGCAACATATCCACACGAACATAGCACAAAATTGATAAGCAGGACACTCGACACCACTTGAAACCACTCGACGCCGCTCGACGCCGCTCGATATCACTCAACGCCACTTGACATCACTCGACATCACTTGACGCCACTTGACATCACTCGACATCACTTGACATCACTTGACATCACTCGTCACGACTTAACACCACTCAAAATCACTCGACATCACTTAAAACGCACTACAACACATGCACACAGACAAAGCATACGATCGTTCGACAGCACAGTCGAGATCAACAGCATGATTACCTGCTACCGCTGCTCATAAGAGGTGATACAATAACGGAGTCCCCCGGTCACAGGCTCGTTGCTTGCGTGCGACCGGGCCCTGGCTCGCACGCAATGTGCCCAACCCAAAATGGGCACATCGGCTCGTGGGCGCAATTGAGAAGTGAACGAACCGTCGGTAAAAAAGAGCGTTTTTCGACCACTCGCGACAGTTGTCTAAAAAATGGAAAGACGCATTAGTGATCAGGCAGTTTCATATCCCATGTTGCAGTTGAGTATAATGTGGCTAACACTATGCTATTTTGCATACTCAACCCAAGTTTAAAATAAATTTTTTTAGACTTGTTTAAACTATAGTCCTGGTTTTGGGACTTTTGGACATTTGTGGTCCTAAAATAAGATTTGCTCTCCTTGAAACCCCTTAATCGTCCTTGATCTTCTCTTACCCTATGCGCACGAGCGCGCGCAGTGTCGAGAGATTCGTCGCGTCCAACGCCTTCGTGAGGAGGTCTGCGAGCAACAGCTCCGACCTGACGTAGCTCGCCTCGATGACGCTGCAACGCGAGTAGTCACAGAGGAACTGAAGGCGCATATCCACGTGATTCGCCTGCAGAGACGATGCTCGCCCGCAATCTGCACGATCGCCGGTTAGTTGTCCACTCGCATCTGCATCAAGAGCGCGGGCTCCACGCCCACTTTGCGCAACATCTCGCGCAGGCCGAGCAGATCGCGTGCTACCTCACTCGCCGCGACATAAACTCTGCCTCCATCGTTTTCAGGGATACGCCTTCATGCTTGCGCGCACCTCATCTGACGGCCATCCCTTTCAGCATCACGATGCCGTCCTTCAATGAATTTAGGTCCGTTTATTCGGCGGCGAAATCGGCGTCGCTATATGCTTCCAGACGCATAGCCGCACCCGGATTGTCTTCTGGTATCATCGCGACCTAATGTGCCGCCGTACCCTAGAGGAATCGCGCCACGTGTTTCGCTAGCACCCTGTCTGCCAATCGAGGCGCGTGTGCTCGTCTCGTGACCTTGTGTACCGCAAATGCTATGCCGGGGCGCGTGAACGCGCCAACTAGAGCTGCGAGACGACATGCGACTGGAACTGGCGCACTGTTGGTCCTGGTCGCGCGCTTGGCGTCCCGATAATCTCCGCGTCGCCCTCATCCGGATCGTAGTAGCTGTCGTCGATCGGCGTCCACGTCGAGTTGGATTTGAAGAGCCCATATTCGCGCAAAAGATCTCTAATGGCCTCCTCCTGATCTAGAGTGTAACCGCGCCGACCGTCGTGCGTCACGCACGTGCTTGGGAACTTGCTGAACGCTTTCGGTCCATGATTGAATACTACGCGAGGCTTGCGAAGAACCGCTCGATCGCCGCCGCGCCCGCCCCTGTCGCGAGGAGATCGTCGACATACATGCCGACCACAACGAGGTCGTCGCCGTCGCGCTTCCGGTAGAAACATGTGTTGCTCTTGCGCCGCGTGAAGCCGGCAACAGCGAGCTTCGAGTGCAGCAGCCAGCTGCACAGCCGTTCTGCCTAGTGGAGCCAATACATACTCTTGCGCAGTTCCAGCTCCAGCTCTCAAGCGTTCGCAACGTCTTGCGCTCGCAGCGTCTCATCCGACCGGCATGCCGAGCGGCATCTGCAGGAAGATGCGGAGGTGCGGCTCCTGGTCCGCTTTGACGTAGACGTCGGATGTCGCCGTGCTTGGCAGTCTCCCCCAAGTAGCCGCAAGCGCCAGGGTCACTTTGACCGTTGACAGGTCCATTAAGACGGCGAATGTGAGCGTGTAGTCGACGCCGAGCACCTGCTCGTTGCCACACGCCACCGATCGTGCCTTAAGCCGCTAGAGGTTGCCCTGCGCATACGTATTGGCCTTGTAGAATTATTTGAAGTGCAGCGCGTGCGTCCCTGGCGTTCGCTTCTAGATCTTCCAGACGTCGTTGGCCTCGAGGCGGCGAATTTCTTTTTGCATCGTCTTCTCCCACCAGTCGCGCTCGCCGCTGCGCATCGCTTGTCCGTAGCTGAGCATATCGCGCTTGAAATCAGCGTTTACGACCTTTCTTCTCGCGGCTGCCTCTTCCTTACGAGCAGCCGCTTCTGCGCATTTCGACAGCCGCGTGTACCATGCACCGCTCGCGTTCATCTATCAATTCCCGCTCTTCTTTCCCGTCGCGCTGTTGCCCTCCATTCACTGCTGCTGCTGCTGCTAGCGCGTCCGGCTCCTCCAAGTCTCCGGCTCGACTGCCGACGTCCATCGCGCACTAGAGATGCGCGTTTTGCGCGTCCGTCAGCGTCTCGATGTTCTTGATGCGTTGCGTGACAATCACCTCTTTGTCACACGAAAACAGCACCTTGTAGCTCTTGGTTTCCTTGCCGAAGCCGACAATGATGGTGCGCTTTGAGCGCTACAGCAGCGAAATCTTGCGCGGATCCCTGTACACGTTTCACGGGGCCAATAACGATGATTCCGCGCAGATCCGGCGTCTTACTATCAGCACCTCGAGTGGTGACGCTCTCTTAGCGTTTGCTTGCGTGGGGATCTGGTTGCGGATGTGCACGGCGCATTTCACCGCGTCTCTTCAGAATGTCAGCGGCGCGTGCAGGCAAACATCATGCTGCACGTGAAGTTTAACACTGACCAGTGCATTCGTTTCGCATTGCCACTTGACGCTTTAACACGCGCCTCTTACCCTTGGCGCGCAAAGCCCTGACGCTCGTAGATCAGGTCCACGTTGGTATATTCTCCGCCTCCGTCCGGGAGGAGCACGTGGATCTTGAACCCGAAGAGCTTCTCGAAATGAACGAGGAACGTATCGAACTTCTTCGCCGCTGCGTCCTTCGTGCGCGCGAGGAAGAATAGGCATCATTTGCACTTGTGAAAAGTGAAGTACACAAGGTAACAATTGCTAAGTCGATCCTTGCGGCGTCAAGAACCCTCCAGGTCCGATCAGATGACGTCTCCGATGCGATCGATGGGCGAGTGCACGCCGCTGCATTTATCGACTGTGCGTTGCGCGTCTGCTTACCCTCGAGGCACGACACGTACGCCATGCGTTTGTTGCTACTCAGCCGATGGCCCGATTTTGGGTCGCGCGCCATGCGCTCGATCGTGTCGAACGCGAGGTGGCCGAGTCGCTGGTGCCAGTGCAACAGCGAGGATTCGTGCGGATCGTCAGCGTTATTTCCGGTCGAATACGCTTCGAGCGCCGCCATAATCGCGCCACCGCCTGCATCATCCTTGTCGCGCGTGGTCGTCGTCACGAAATACAGCACGTTGCTGTCGATCGCGACAACGAACTTGACCGCACCATCGCTGCTCCGAGCGAGCGCTTGTCGCCGTCGTGCTTGAGGAAAAATCTCTGTTCTCGAGACTGCCGTACGAAACCATGTCCGATGCCAGTCGCGGCCCCAAGTACACATCCGTGAGCGTCACGACCGCCCCCGCGCCGCACGCGGGAACCTCGAGGCACACACTGAAGACACGCGTCAGTTGTAGCGACTCGCCGTCTGCCACCATGAGCTCGTGGATGCAAGCGGTCGAGTCGAGCATCAACGACTTGTCGTTGACGAGATACGAGCTCGCGCCGCTGTCGATGATCCAGTATCATCGGTCGGCTCCCTCGGATCTGTCGCCGCAGGCATGAAGCCAAGCGTGCCGTCCGTGGTTTGTGCTTCATCGCTCGTCGCAAGCACGAAGCCGCGTGAGTCGTTCATGGCTCGCGCCCCGTCGCTTGCATTGCTTTCTGCGGCTTCCATGGCTCGCACTCCGTCGCTTGCATTGCTCGTTGCGGCGTCCTAGCCGTGCGAGTCCTCCTTCTTTCTGTTGCACTTTTTCGTGGTCGTACTGCTCTTCTCGGCCGGCGCGAGGATAATGGTGGCACCACCAACCTCCGCGGGTGTCTTTTCGTCGTGCATGACTCGCGCGCGACAGTTGGATGCGATTTGCCCCGGTAGCCCGCATAGAAACGTGATCGTGCCCTTGATTTTTCTTTCCACGTGCACCGCGACGACCTCACGACTTACTGCGCTGCTGCCGAGCGACGTGGCGCAGATAGTCGACTCGGGAGGGTTCATACTTGGAGCGCGTCATGTTCATCAGCTCCGGCGAAGCTTGGTGACGATGTATTAGAGACAAGATAGTCGGCACCACCACGCGCCCCGCTAACGGCGACCACATACAAGAAGTGCTCGGCTCGGGTGCGTCGTGCGTCTTTCTTGGTCACGAATAACTTCATCACCTGGATCGCAGTGGCTAAAGTATTAACGTGCGCAGGAGCTGCACCATGATGTATTCCAGTTTGGCTTTCTGCGTCCACCATGTGTCGAATTGCTCGTATTAATATCTCTCAGCCGTGCCGGCAAGAACGTTCCCAGGCATGTTAAATTGACGTCTTCGGTCCATCCGTAACCACACGACGCTTTCGCGATGCTCACCTCGCACATAAAAGTGCGCTTCCGGTCGAATAATCCGCTTCCGAGTCGATGGTAATCTCTGTACCATAAAACTTGCGTTTGTTCAACTTCCGCTGGCTTAAAAACAGCATCCTAGAGCTGTTTGATGCCCGGGCGTACATGATCTTGAGCCGGAGAAGCTTGTTGCGGCGACGGTGGCGCTACAAACCCCTGAGGAGGTGGCGCATACGCAGGTGCGAGCTACTGCGGTTGCGGCTGCGGTGCTGCGCGCGTGCGGTGTGGATCGAGCGATGCGAATTGCAAATCGTCAAGATCAGTCGCGCGTTGATACCCGCGCGGCGCCTTTGTCCTCTTCTCCGCTTCTCTGATAGCGTAAATCGTCATCGATCGACCGCGCAAGTTGGCGCCGAGTTTCGAGGCGAAAAGGCCGCTCTTCACGGCCCCGAGCGTGCGCTTCTCCACGTCTCGCACTCTTTGCGACGACTCGAGGCTCGTTAGTAGATCGGTGAATGCTGGGAGCGCGGCGAGGATCTTATCGGCACGCTGCCCTCTCTCGTAAGCGTATCCAGCCTCGACGACTGAGGGATCGGTGAGCGCACGCGCTGGCGATCCGCGTCCAGGCGAGGCTTGCGGGACACCCCTGGTATCTTCGTAGTTGGTTCGGTGCTCCGGCCGTTGGGCTCATAACCTGTAGGCAAGATGCGTGCTGCGAGAAGGAAGCGGTTAGTGAACAATAAGATTCTGTATTCAAGCTTTGTGATTTCTCTTTTACCGCGCTCTTCTCTTAAGCCTTTCCCACCACTCATCTTGCCAAGCAGCTTTTCTGCACTCTTACCATCTAAATGGATGACACTAATCGACACAACGCGCTGAAGCTACGACCCACACAATAACACATACTTTGCTTTTCAACAGATAATGATATGTGGATGGTTGTGGCGCCTCCCGAAAGAGTCACGTTTTGCATATGAAGTGGGAATTTCAGACCAAAACATACGCGGATGGTTTGATCAAGCGTTTTAGATATCGTTTAGTTGGTTGTGGAAAAGAGAAGATTTTCGGTGTCGACAATGGGTTGACCTTCGCGGCCGTGATGGAGTTGAGTACGATAAAGCTAATTTTGGCTTTCACGCTGCGCTGTGGGGTACCAGACAAACATGATGCTATCCATAACGCGTATATTAAATTCAAAAAGGAACAATATTTGGACATAATTTTAGCGATTCCCCAAGGCACGAGATATCAAAAGACGAGCTCGGCAAGTGTAAGGTGAGCATAGAGAGAAAGCTGGCACTGCAGTTAAATAGGTTATTTAGCGGGCTGAAGCAAGCTGGACGTCTGTGAGGTGAATTGCTAGATGCCGAACTAGTTAAGGCTGGATTTAATCGCTGTCTAAGTGGCATGTGCCTCTACTACAAGCATTGTAGTAACGACACAATTATAGTGACTGCTCGAACGGCGCTTGTTATTCTTCAAGCGATGACAGTGATAGCATAGAAAAAGAGATGATTTTATTGAAGGTACAGCGGGGTACGCAGAGCGAGCGGTCAATGCGCTACTTCCAGTCACTAGTGGGGAGTTCGCTGTGGTTGGATTGATGCACTCCCCCCGATGTAACGGGGTGAATCGTTACATAACAATTTATAAGAAATTGCTAATAGAATATAACTATAAGAGTTATATTCTCAGAATATTGTCATAAGGACAAATATTCTGTAGCACTTACGAGTAGTTCCTAATTGGTTGATATAGGCCATTATATCAACCAACGAAGACGCGCCACGACAGACGCACGCAATGAGTGGTGAGCAGATAATCAATTTACACATTTGTATTTAGACATAGTTAGATGAAGATAAATAGTGATTTATTGCAGACATTAACTATTATAAATACAGTTCTACTTTTTACTTTAACCAAGTACTCGCTTCTTCTTACCGTCTTCCTCTGCACGTACGAGTGTACGTGGAGTTACGAGGCACCGCCTTATTCTGTCATCAGAATAAGTATCTTGTACTGTCACCAGTACAAGCTTCAGGGTGCCCCGTTACACCTGGTAGCACTTCGTAGTCCGTCCAAGGACCACGTTCACATCCAACATGAATATGTTGGATGATGAAGATGACCAAAGCTTTCACGCTAAGCGTGACGGCTACTCCCATTTGAGCGATGTCGAATGGGATGCGGTTGAACGAATGGGTTCGACCATGGGCATCCATGCTGTTAGCGTCATGCTAGAGGCTCTCAATAGCGATGCCCAACATGCTACTATCGCCAAGTTCATTCAAAATGAACTTGACGCTGAACGCGAGAAAGTAGCCTTGCTTCACCAACAAGGTTCTCAACAAGCAGAGTTGTTGAGAGAACAAGGTGCTCAACAGTTTGAACTGTTGAGACAGCAGCAGGCTGCTGCTGGCGGGTCGATGCACTCGCGTCGACCCGAGACTTTGAAGATTGACATCTCAAAGTATAGGGGGGTCAAAGAGGACTCCCTCTTGAGATGGTTCGTCGAATTGGATGACGCCATAAGGGCGCGTCGCATCGACGACGGGGATATGCAAGTTGCATTTGCCCAGTCAAATCTGGCAGGACGTGCCAAGACTTGGGCACTGGGGCTCAAGTTACACGACCCATATGCGTTTGGGTCGTTGGAAGTCTTCAAGTCGCGGCTCAGACAAACGTTTGAACCTCCTAGAGCTGAGTTCAGAGCTCGAACCGAACTCTTGAAGCTCAAACAGGGTAAGCGTGATGTGCACGCTTACGCCCAACATATACGACATCTTACGAGTTGTATAAGTTCCAATCCGGTGGATGAACACACGTTGGTTTCGGTGTTCATGCAGGGTCTTGCGGATGGTCCCGTCAAGACTCACCTGTTCCGGCTTGAACTAGATTCACTAGAACAAGCCATTTCCATTGCGGAGCAGGAAGACTTCAGTCTGAGACAGGCTCGCGCCAGCTCGACATCATGTCGTCAACCGAGACGATATGACAACGGAGGTCCAGAGCCGATGGAACTCTGTTATGTAGAGAGCGAGAAGGCTTGCTCTACAGGCTACAAGAAGTTGCAGAGATGCAACAGGTGTCAAAAGACAGGACACTACGCTTACGAGTGTAGTGCCCCTCGTCCAGTGCCTCGCGACACTGGGCGTAGTGACCGTCCACCCATGAGAAAGGGGCAGGGACGAGGGTCCGCAGTTGGTGCAAAGACGCAACAACGGGATGGACCGTCAAAAAACGGACAGGATCAGTAGGGGCGGAGCACCCTACTGGTCTAGCAACGTCAAGAGAATATGTAGGCCTCTTGATGAAGGTTGCTCCCAACACACAAACGTTGTGCGTTGCTGCTCTAGGTAATGAGATCTCACTCATTACCTTGAAACTCGAAGTGATGAATAAGTTGTCCCTTCGATCTCTAGTCGATTGTGGGGCGTCTAACAATTTTGTGCGACGCCATTCGCTAGAAGATGGTCACTTTAAGTTCAATGAATGTGACACACCTCCTACGAGGATGACGGTACGTCTTGCGACAGGCGCATCCGTAACCGTCACGAAGCGTATAGTGAAGATCCACTATACGCTAGAAGATACCCAATATGACGATGACTTCATCGTATTGGATTTGGATGACAAATTTGATGTCATCCTTGGAATACCGTGGCTCAGAAGGTACGAACCACGGGTAAACTGGCAACATCGAACAGTAACGATGCCTGCCGCTTGTTCATCAGATGGCCATCTGATGAACGTTTTGGAGCGTCCACAAGCGTGTGGATGTACTACGAGTGAGTGCGATGGCCTCACTTGTGGTACGGTCGTTAGTACGACTGCACGAAACCTTAGTGTAACAAACAGTTACACTTCGGAGCAAAGTTCCGGCGGCTGTGAGGAAACACAGGCTGCGCCGAAGGTCCACCACTTGAATAAGTCGAGTGGACCGGGACAAAGATGTGTCCCTATCGGGGAACATCTAGAAGAGAAACGATCGATCGCTCAGGTTAAGCGAAACGATAATCCTAGATCGACTGGAGCGTCTTTCGTAGAGGATCTCGCTGTGGTTGCGCAACCCCAGCTAGAGGAAGTAAAGGGAATAAGTCCCGATATTACAAATACGGCGGAAATAAGTTCCCCGAAACCCGCGGGAATAAGTCCCCGGGAAGCCGAAGGAATAAGTCCTTCGAGGCCTGAGGGAATAAGTCCCCAGGAAATGACAGAGACATTGAATGTCATAGTTAATAACGGATCAAGTGTAGGCGCTTATACACTTGATCCAATTGCGCCTCCGAAGTTGACTTCGGAGATCACTCAGTTGCCAACGCTCGAACATAAAAGGTTCTTGCGTGATCTGCGTAGTGGCAAAGTCAAGCAGATCTGCGTACTCGTCGCTGACGACGATTGTGTAGCCGACATAAGGTCAGCAACAATGTTTACTGAGAACGAGAGACTTCTCAGTAGTTCATCGATGGATGAGAGTGTCCTCGATGAAAAGACACGAATTGAGCGAAATGACTCCCAATCGTGGGAATCGCTCAAGACAAATCCTCTCTATGAAGATTTGGTTGAATTCAAGGATGTATTCCCTGAAACTGTTCCGTGCGAGTTACCGAAGAATAAAGGCACTCGACACGAGGTCGAGCTTAAACCAGGCTCGAAGTACTGTGTCATGAAGCAGTGGCCACTGCCTCGTGAACAAGTACTTGCGATCGACAAATTCTTTGCCGATCGTTTAGCTGCGGGCCATGTGAGGGAATCAACTTCCCCACATAGCTCTCCGACCTTCTGTGTGCGAAAAGCATTAAGAGGGTGGCGGATTGTGCATGCATTTAACAAGTTTAATGCTGCAACGGTACCGGCACAGACGCCGATACCGAGGAAGGACGTAGTCATTGATGGTATGTCAAAGAGTACCATCTTTTCGTCCATGGATTTGATGGATGGCATCTATCAAACCCTTATGCGAGAACGGGATATACCCTATACCGCAGTTAGCACGCCTAGCGGCATGCTCTGGGAAAGCTAGTGATGCCACAAGGGCTTAGTAATGCCCCTGCCACGTTCAACAGATGTGTATCACATCTGTTGAGACCAGTACGAGAATTCGCGCCGAGTTATTTCGATGACGTATTCATCCATAGTCGAGCTATGGATGGAAAGTCGGACGTTGAGGTTCACAGGTACCACGTCCGACAAGTTCTTACAATCATGCGAAAGCATCAATTGTATGCAAACCTCAAGAAGTGTATATTTGCAGCAAGCGAAATACCACTTCTTGGGTGCATCGTTGGTAAGAACGGTGTACGTCCTGATCCCGAAAAGATCAAGGCGATCACCGACTGGCCTGTGCCGGTCGATGTCAAAGGTCTTCGAAAATTCCTTGGGCTAGCGGCGTATTTGCATAAGTATTCACGCAATTACGCCGAGATGACTGTGCACCTCTCTCGTTTGTTGAAAAAGAACGAGAGGTGGTTATGGAACGCTGAATGTCAGCGCTCCTTTGATGGTATCAAGCGGAGCTTGATACAATCCCCAGTCCTAGCAATAGCCGATCAGGACAGGCCATTTCATGTGGTCTGTGATGCCAGCGATTTCGCAATCGGCTGTGCATTAATGCAGTACGATCTTGAAGGCGTTGAACGCGTCGTCTGCTATCAGTCGCGTCAGCTGCAACCAGCTGAGCGGAACTATCCAGTGCATGACAAGGAACTCCTTGCCATGAAGTATGCACTCGCGAAGTTCAGAGTCTATCTATTAGGAGATAGACCCTTCGTTGTTTACACTGACCATGCGTCATTACGCACGGCAGTGAACAGCCCGCACCTTTCACAACGAATGGCGCGGTGGTTGTCATTCTTTGCGGAATACAACTTTACGGTCGAGTACAAACCAGGACGACTTAATGTCGTCGCTGATGCACTCTCACGTCGTCCCGACTTTGAAACAGTCGCGAAACCCAACAGTGAGACAGTCACTGCTGCGGTTATGACGTCCTCAGTCCCATCTACAACGTTGTATGATGATGTGAGGCGGGCATACGCCCAAGATGGTGAGATAGTAAAGTTATTGTCACATCTCTCCCAACCATCTCGAGAATCGTTGAAACGATTGTCGTCTGCGTATCGATCTGCATCAGATCGATACACTACTCGTAACGGTTTACTGTATTATACAGCCGTTTCTGGTGACACACCACGTGTTGTCATTCCAGATGATACTAATCTGCGTTTGCGGATCATGTTCGAGTATCACGATGCTCCTATAGGAGGACATCGTGGCCGAGAGAAAACATATCTCACGGTAAGTAGAGACTTTTACTGTCCCCGCCAGTATCAGTTTGTGCGAAAGTATGTTCGCGCATGCGAAGTCTGTCAACGAGTGAAGTCAAGTCCTTCACTGCGTGCACCTTTACAGCCTCTACCGGTTCCGGCTGAGTGCTGGGAATCCATCTCAATGGATTTCGTCTTTGGGTTACCCGTATTCTCGTATTTGTTGACAGATTCAGAAAAATGGTACACCTTGTGGCTGTACCAGAGTCAATCACAGTAAGTGGCTGTGCTTGTGTCTTTATTGACACCATCTTCCGACTTCATGGGTTGCCCCGTGAACTCGTATCAGACAGAGATCCACAATTCACTGCTGATTTCTGGCGTTCCGTGTTCAAATCACTCGGAACGCGCTTGAAGATGTCAACATCTGATCATCCAGAGTCAGATGGTCAGACGGAACGTGCCAATCGTGTCCTTGAAGAGATACTTCGAGGATACGTACACTCCTTTAAGAGTTGGAGTGAGTTTTTGCCAATGGTAGAGTTTGCCATCAACAACTCGGTGCATGCGTCCACGACACATACACCGTTTTACGTGAATGGCTTGCGCCATCCGCGTGTACCCACCTTACTAGAGTGTAGCTCTGGTTTAAGGGGGAGGGACTCGCGCGAGCAAAAACCGAATTGGTTCACGCTCATCACGCTCTGACGAAGAAGTCATTGCGTTTGATGCCGATATCGACAACATCGATATCGAAGAAAATGATGCCAGTGAGAATGCGGAAGCCCTCACTGAAGAAGATGATCCCAGTAAGAGCGAGGAAGCCCTCACTGAAGAAAAGGTTGATGTTGCCGCAGTGCGCTCACAGCGCACTGAAGCTAACGAGTCATCAGATGAGTTCATACTGGCTCGTGAAACGGTAGTCCGTTTTGTGCAAGACTATATCGCCGAAGCGGTGGATAAGCAAAAGCAAAACACTGACAAGAATGGAAGGGCAAACACTCTTTTATTTAATAAAGGTGACTTAGTCCTACTGTCTACGGTTAATCTACCAAAGCATGTAGTGACTAACTTGGGTAGCAGTAAACTACTACCCAAGTACATTGGCCCATTTCGTGTATTGCACCGCCTAGGCAATGCATACACGATCGAGTTACCACGTAAGATGCGAACGCATCCCACGTTTTACGTTGGTCGGCTTAAGCCGTACCATCAGTACGCTGCTTCTTCCGATGAAGAACGCCCTTGCACTCAAGCATCTCGCAGAGAGCCTTGTGCTCCCGATGGTGGGCACCAACAAGGGTCTGAAGAGCAGCTATCTCATCCCGAGACCGATCAACAATCCCACGAGCTACCCTTAGCTCGTCACGAAGAGATGTCAGAGATCTCTCGTTCTCAAGCTGAGCAAAGGCAAACTCAGCTCGATGCTTCGAGGCAGTGTCCGCCATTTGGAGACGCCTATTCCGCTCATGTTCGAGATCGTCGCGTAACCCTTGCGTTACGCGATCAAAGAAGCTCTCGGGAACACACCGATCCACATGATCGTGTGGAGAGCGTCTTTCCTCCTCCTCCACCTCCATTAGAGGACTCTCGCGGTGGCCAGCGCTATCTAGTTGAGCAGCTGTTGAACCACCGCGACGTGAACCGACGTCGGACGAGTTATCTCGTCCGGTGGCGCGGCTATCCCCCGTCCTGGGATTCTTGGGAGCCCCGCTCCCAACTGATGATCGACGTACTGGGTCTGGTTGAGCAGTACGACGCGGCACATCCTGTACCGCAGAAGGACCGCCGGAGAAAGTCTTCCCGGCACGGTCGTAAAGGGATTTCAGGTTGTCAATCCCTTCGTACATCTCAGTAGAGACACGTACGCGCCACCACGGGCTGGTAAGGAGGTAAGCCTCCTTAGGTGCTCATGCAGAGTTGTTCACACAACATGGGCACGAGTCTCCCCAAGAGAGGCAGGGTCATCCTTTCTCCCTTGACAGACGATGCAGCTTGTAGCGTGCACCTGTCGGGGTTCGCTTTTCAAACTTATCACGAGCTTCGATAAGTTTGTCGTTCCAAGCGTCACGACCAACATCCTCGAGGTTATGGATGTAGGCGTTCCACGCCTGAAGTAGTGAGGGACCATCACGTTTGTGATTCCCACTGTACCATCGATGTCTAAAGAAAGCATCGATGAAGAATTCATGTTCAGCGCGATAGTTTTTCGCGCTGGGGTCAAGGTGATGGATCCTTGATGAATCGAACAATCGTGTTCGATAACGATCACTCGTCGTCGCCGACAAGTGATCCATGACTGATTTAGGAGGCATCCATGCCTTCTTCTCAGGAGCGAGACGCAACACATTGCGGTCCCGCTCTTCCTGCGACGTGCCGACAGAAGTACTGGCACCTCACTGTGAAGTGGTGTCCATAGGAGAACCGACACCACTATTAGCGCCCGAGTCTCGCGACCTCGAGCGCCTTCGCTTCGGCGATGTTTCATCTGATTCGTCAGACGAACCAAAGATGCTGCGACGCAAAGCATCGTCCATGCCACGCTTGGCAGGCGGCTTGGATTCAATCGCCGTCGATACGGATCCCTCTTCCAAATCAGGAGAGTACAAGATACCGAGCTCGTACTCTGTGAAGACACGAGTGTCTTCATGACCAGCGTCTGCATCACCAAGTGACACAGGCTGGGTCGCTTCAGCAACCGATGAGACATCAGTTGCTGTTGTTTCTGCTTCGGCGTCCGCACAGAGACGTGCAGACGCGCTCTCGGCGGCCTTGCTCGCGCATCGCATGGGCTTGTTAACCATGCGATGAGATGTTGGAAAGTGGACGCGGACCAACAAGTGCAAACCCTGTCCCAAATGATTTGGGACGAGTATCCATTTAGTCAATCAGTCACTAAAGTGACTGATGGTTAAGGGGGGGGGTGATGTAACGGGGTGAATCGTTACATAACAATTTATAAGAAATTGGTAATGGAAGATAACTATAAGAGTTATATTCTCAGAATATTGTCATAAGGACAAATATCTAGTAGCACTTACGAGTAGTTCCTAATTGGTTGATATAGGCCATTATATCAACCAACGAAGACGCGCCACGACAGACGCACGCAATGAGTGGTGAGCAGATAATCAATTTACACATTTGTATTTAGACATAGTTAGATGAAGATAAATAGTGATTTATTGCAGACATTAACTATTATAAATACAGTTCTACTTTTTACTTTAACCAAGTACTCGCTTCTTCTTACCGTCTTCCTCTGCACGTACCAGTGTACGTGAAGTTACGAGGCACCGCCTTATTCTGTCATCAGAATAAGTAGCTTGTACTGTCACCAGTACAAGCTTCAGGCTGCCCCGTTACACCCGACGTGTGCTTCGCAGTCTACAAAGCAACATGGCTTGCAACAAGCCCGGTATCAGCGACTGAAAGATGGCCAAAAGGGCTGCGCGTTATCTGAAGGCACCTTCGCTGCTCAAGTTGGTAATGAAGACCAGTGCCTAAGGTAATTAGCTGTCGGCGGCGAGTTGGAGCACCTTCAACTTCGCTCCTGAAAGGAAAACAGGAATCTTTCACCGGCGGAGTGATCACGTTGGACGAAGCCGCTATCATGTGGGTCTGTAAAAACCTGGTGTGTCTTCATCTACCATGGAGCCTAATGTTACGTCGGCATCGCATGTAAGGCGTGAGATCTTGATGATACACAAACTGCTGCAAGAGATCGGGCAGGCAGTGCACGAGCCGATGCCCGTAATCACAACCCGATAGCTCGAGGCGTAGGACAACATGTTTAGCGCCAAACAAGTGGACAATCGAACCAAGTTCATCATTGATTACACAAAAAGAGGCATTGTCAAACTGCTATACATCGAGTCGAAGTTCATGATGGCTAATCTGCTCATGAAGGCATTGCATGCCCCACGATTGACGAAACTGAGGAAACTGTGACAGTTGTATAGGCGACACATCATCAGCTGATGCCGCGGAATGTGCTCCGGCCGAGGAGGATTGTTAGCGGACAAGGCTTTCGGGCTGTGGATTCAGCCGACCTCTTCCACTATTCGCATGGCTGCGATACCGATTGAGCAGCTGATATCACGTGCAAGCTACATGCACAAGAATGAAAGAGAAGGTAAGTTACGTGCAAGAATCATACAGAAGTAAAATCAACCGTAAGATGACTTAACGAAGAAAGCAAGACACAAATCAATTGCTGACATCATCCTTAAAATCATTCTTCTTATAACTACTTGCCGTCACCTCATTGCACGTGCCTGACGATCGATATGGTGGCTTACTTCATGCCAAGCCAAATTACCATTCGTCTGGCAGACATAATGTTCAGTCGGGTGAGTTCAATGAATGCCCGCCGAAACCATAATATCGCCCAGTGAGGCTTCTAGGACGACTTGATGATCGACCCAAACATCAAAAAAATACTTTACAATTCGCCCATTGTGATCTTGATCTTCTTCGGCATCACCGTCGTAAACGCTTTTTTACGATACCTACGTACTCGTTTTTTTAATTTCATCGATTACACATCCTAACTAGCGAGCGAAAGGAAATGTATGACGTTTAAAAGAAAAGTATTTACTTAAGGGCGCGCGTCAGACGCGTTTCAGCCTGCCGCCGCGGTCCTCCTCAGTGACCTTCCGAATGCAAGTGAGATCTCTCAGTGCAGCGGCCTCGGCCGCTGTCACATATATCCCTGCGCATCAAACATATTAAACTAACCTCTTATTTACTGACCGATACAGCATAGCCGAGCAGACTTCACCGGCGTACAACTAGCTCTCGGCTAGGTACAAAGTATAATTTTAAAATTTCTCTCGCCGGTGAGAGTGTGCGACTTGATACCCGCAGTTGCTCGTGATCTTGATGGCTGTTCATCTTAAGCGTCCTTTCGGAAAGGCAGGACACTAAAAATCCGACTTTCCGTAACGAAGGCACGACAGCGCCCAAGCGATTGAATTCTACTTCGTTTAAGCAGTGAATGCCTCGACCATTGATCAGGGATACTGGGTTTGGACAGCAGATCAAATCGCCACCTGTTCGATGGCCCAGATCTCCTTGAAAATGAGGAGGACTATAATAGCTAGCGTGTGACTGCAAATTGGCGGTGGATTGTGCATCACCAAGAAGAGTAGCATGGCGTTCATGATTACTGCACGGGCAAGCTACCTTAGTACCCCTGCAAAATGTGTAGTACGCTGAATAGGAAATAAAATTTCTTATGGGCTTCTAGCGCTAAGGAATTTGGTACAAGGTACTGCGGCAAACACCGCGTGGTCACTAAATAGTGGTGGACCATCTTTCTTCGTGTCGAGTCAGCAAAATATATACTTATTGTTCGAGACCAAGATTGCAAGTACAACAACGAAGTGCTAATGACGTCTTGATGGGTGCGCTTAGCGAATGCGTGATAAAGGCCATTGTGGATGTACAAAAAGGATCACCGATGAATTATCATTAAATAATGGAGGATTTGCTCTATGACACCGTCATACGGATTGCATCTGACCCAGCTTAAGGCATACGGCTCACGGATAAAATGCTAAACAACTGTCTTGCCTGTTCTCAAGGAAAGCAGACCAAAAATCTAAATTCGAGCAAGGGTACCGTAGTGAACTCGCCTATCGATGTCATTAGAGGTGTTATGTGCTCATGTATCAAGGGACCAATGACTCCACACGACAGGCAAGAAAACAGATACATGGTGAGGTTTAGTGACCACTGGACTATCTACTGTCAAATTTTTCATCCAAAATACAGGACGTTGCTGACCAAAGCTCAAGCATTTATGGCCATCTCCGAGCGAAAGTACAGTTTGTTAGACTCACGTTTGAACAGCTGTGAATCGCCGCTTGAGATCACGCTCATGATTTAAATGGAGCTGCTGTCGTTATGGGATTTTAAATTAACAGCATCCATCTTACTGGATCACATTTCTGTCGTCGCACGCATTTCCTTTCTGGAGTAAATTGTTCACGGTGGTCAGATGAAACCGAGTGCATGATGCATCTTATTAACAATGCGTATGTTTTCTTTTACGCGGCGCGTGAACTTGCACATGAAACTGTATAATAAAAAGAGATGTCACTCTTTTTTTAGTCCAGAGGTGTATAAATATTAACTCCAATGTATTGAATTATTGTTATGCACCCCCAATTTTCACTAAGGAAATAATGATTGTTTTCACCACAATTTTACCATATTTCCACACTATAGATTTTGCTTGCATAAATGCTGGAACACCACACCACTCGATAATAACACCTCTTCTTTTAAATTTAATGAGACTTTTTTAACCGTAAAACAGATATAAGGTTTTGAAAGTAAGTCGAAGGAAGCACCTAATTTATTACTTTCCGTACGTTTTTTACCTGTCCTTCAAACTGAAATGTTTGAAGAACGCCACAGAGTCCGCATGCACAAAAAGAGTTGCTTCACACTAACCTCACAGCGTCAATATTGCGCGCGGAAGAACTTGTAATTGTTTAAATCGTCTATCATCTCTTAAGTAAGCGTTTTACCACCAGCATTACCGACGACGTTTTAAATAGGTATTATCAATTATTCTTGTTTTCGCCAAACATGCTGGGTCCCCTTGGCGCAGAGATGTCAGCGCTTGGAGCGCAGGCACAACAGCCGCCACCACGTCTCTTTATATTCATGTGCGTCTTTGTCTAGGCCCCACAAACCCGAACGTCCATCAAGGATGAGCAAGCCATTGTGGTTATGATCATCGCACTTTACTCTGAGATATCATCCATCGTCTCGCTGCATCTCAACTAATAATTAATCGTAGTTGGTAAAAAACGTCACGCTTACTTTTTCTGGAACA